TGATGGGTTTAGAGCAAGCAGGTACAATTGCCCAGAATCTCACTGTGACTAAGTGGCATTCACCTGGGACTTCTGCACAGTCTGGGGGGATGGGGAACAGTGGGCAACAGCCCAGGAGGAGATGGTCCCTTGGAGCTGGCTGTGTAAAAAAGATGTTTGGACATACTGCTATGAGGACCTGGGAAGAGGTGGAGCACTAGGAATTGTCCAGGAGCCTGAGCCCTGCTCCAGTGTGAGAAAGCCAAACCTTAGAAATCAAACAGGAGGGCTGGGGATGTGGCTCAAGCGGTAGCGCACTCTCCTGGCATGCATGCGGCCCGGGTTCCATCCTCAGCACCACATACAAAGATGTTGTGTCCGCCGAAAACTAAAAAATATTTTAAAAAAAAGAAATCAAACAGGAACCAGGTATGGTGGCACACGCCTGTAATCCCAGCAGCTAGGGAGGCTGAAGCAGGAGGATCACAGGTTCAAGGCCAGCCCCAGCAACTTAGTGAGGTCTTGAGTAACTTAGTGAGACCTTGTCTCAAAATGAAAAATAAAAAGGGTGGTGATGTTACTCAGTGGCTAAGCACCCCTGGGTTCAATCCCCAGTACAAAAAAATAAATAAATAAACAGGAGTTCACTGCAGTGGGAGATGCATCACAGGAAGTTGTCCCCTGGCCCCAGGCAGCACCTGGCTTATCCCAATGGCACAGGCTGTTCCGTGCTTCCTGGGGCTGCAGTAGAAGCAACTGGTGCCGCTGGGGGCAGTGCCCTATTTTTGGGGATGTGAATAGTGCTGCCCCTGCTGTGGCCAGCACCAGAAGGGTCACCCATGGCTGGTGCCAGCTGTGGTGGGGGTCAAGCTTGTGCCTTTTTTCCAGGGGCGCACTTCGTCTTCGACACTGCCTTCTCAAGGAACTTGAGCCTCCTTGAGAGCCAGCGAGAGTTCGTGCGGCGATTCCGAGATCGAGCCAACTCCAGAGTGGCCTTGCCTGTGCTGGCTTCTGCCTGCCCAGGTGTGTTCATGGTTGTGCAGGTGGCAAGGTTCCAAATCATGTGGTTAAAAGCTGACCATACCAGCAGCAAGGCTCAGGACCTGGAGAGCAGGTGGGGAGGCAGAGCTCTTGGACCAGTCAGTACCTCAGGCCTCTTGGAGGAGGCACCCCATCAGGAAAATGCCTGCAGTCTCTCCCCTTCTGTGGCCTGGAGGCTGGTACTCCTGGTGACAGGGGTGACAGAATGGGAATGCTATCTTTGCTGCGGTCACTTTTTGTACAAGTTGGTCTACCCCCTGAGTGTTGCATTGCTGTCAAGCAGAGAGGCACTCTGTGAGCCACCCAGGCCTGCCCTGTGCCCAACTGAGACCTGTTGGTTCTGCCGGCACAGGCTGGATCTGCTATGCTGAGAAGACCCATGGCAGCTTCATCCTCCCCTACATCAGCACGGCCCGGTCCCCACAGCAGGTCATGGGCTCCCTGGTCAAGGACTTCTTCGCCCAACAGCAGGTAACAGCCTTAGGTCGTGTAGGGCAGCACGCTGGAGAGTGGCAGCTGTGACCCTGGCATTGGTGGCCCTGGCTCCAGTCACTGTGGCTGTGGCCATGTACCCTCTGGAGGCATTTGGGGTCATAAGCATTAATGTCAGCTGCCTATGAAGGTGCTCTTCACTCACCTAGAGGTGGCCCAGCCCCTCGGGAGCAAGAGGCCTAAGCCAGGCTGCAATCAGGTGACCTCCACAGGCTGCTGGGTAAACAAGGGCACCTGCTGAGCCATGAGGACTCCAAACTGGTGCCACTGGCCCACAGGAGGCGGGGAGCCTACACTTCTCCTGACCTTAGTCCTGTGCTGTGCTGCTTCTGCACGGACACAGGCTTCCTTGAAGTCTGTGTGTGGTGCTGGAATCGAAACCCAGGCCTCATGCATGCTAGGCAAGTGCTCTGGTGCCAAGTCAGGTTCCTGGCCCTCAGATCTCCTGCACCACAACCTGCTTTTTCTGTTGACCCCAGAACCATGAAGGCTGAGGCCTCTTCCTCTGCTGGAGCTGGGTGCTGCAGGACCTGTGGCGTCCACTGCAGGGCCACGGCATCAGTGAGGAGGCTGCTGGGAAGCAGTGCCAGCCTGAAGGGCTGTTCAAGGCCAGCTGCATGGCCACCTCTCACCTCGTTTGTCACAGAGCGAGCTGTAGTCAGGTGGGACCAAGTTTCTCTCCTCCTGTAGCGCCTGGCCCCCGACAAGGTGTACCATGTCACAGTGATGCCCTGCTACGACAAAAAGCTGGAGGCCTCCAGGCCCGACTTCTATAGCCAGGAGCACCAGGCTCGAGATGTGGACTGCGTCCTCACTACAGGTATTGTCCGCACCCAGGAGGCAGGGCATTCTCAGCTGACCCCTCTGGGACACCTGCAGCCCTTGGGCCTGGGGTTCCTTGTTGGCTTGAGTGGGTCTGGGGGTTGTGGAAAGGCTCCAGTTCAGCCTTCTGACTCACATGTGCTCCCCATTTCTGAGTTGAGAAGTCTCAGAGTCTCTCAAGTACTAGCAAGACGGGAAAATGAACTGCCCAGGAGGCTGGGCAGACAGCACTAGACCAGCACAGTTACCTGGTTCACCTTATGCCACCCTGAGGGAATGAGGCAGCCATGAGGGTCTTTAGAGGGGTCATCCTTTCCCACCACTGGCTGGGTGAATATGTGGGCCTGCTGGGGCCAAGATGCAGCTGCCAGGCATGCGGGCAGCTTGAGGTTCGAGCGGTTGGAGCACCCGTGCTGTGGTCCCACACAGGAGAAGTCCTCGAGCTGCTGGAAGAGGAGGGGGTCTCGCTCTCAGAGCTGGAGCCAGCCCCTCTGGATGGCCTGTAAGTCAGCAGAGGGAACCAGGCTGCCGTGGGGTGGGCAGTGCCTCTCCTTCCCTCCCATGGCCTGCCCCAGGCCTGAGAGGCACATCCCAACTTGGAGAGGCCTGAGCTCCCCGGGACAGTGTCAGACACACCAGGGGCCCTGGGGTCATTCCAAGACGTTCCTTTGTGCCCAGGACTTGTTTCCCACCTAGAAAAGCTTGAACACAGCTGTGCTGAGGCCCTGCTCTCCTCACCCACACTGACCTGCCCCTTCCACAGGTCCAGCAGCACATCTGCTGAGGAGCCCATCAGCCACCGGGGTGGGGGCTCAGGGGGCTACCTGGAGCATGTGTTCCGGCATGCAGCAAGAGAGCTCTTTGGAGTCCATGTGGATGAGGTCACCTACAGGCCTTTGAGGTCAGTGGGGTGGCCTGGGGCACCAGGACAGGATAGCCATAAAGCTCCTAGACTGGTGCCTCCCCAGCCCTGGGTCCTCTTGGTGGGCTTGGTGGTAGACCCTGGAGCACTGGGCACAAGTGGGGGCCTCAGTTTCCCCCTTAGCAAAGATCCTGAGCCCAAGGCTGCTGTCCTCAGGACAGGTGGATACCAGTGACACCTGCATCTGGGAGGGAGGGCAAGGCTAGGTCCTCCCTTGCCATGCCTCAAGACCAGCCTTAGGAAAGGGGACTCGCATTTCACAGGTGAGGAGACAGACCTGGGAGGGGTTAAGGTCACCTGTTGGACTTCTGGTTGGAGGGAGCACTCCACTCGTTCTACCCTCTCTCCCCTGCCCAGGAGCAGGGGGTGGAAGTGCTGAGTTCCCCTATCCCAGCAGGGCCCCTGTGTGTGTACAGGAGCCTGGTGTTGGTGGTGCATATAGTCTCTCCCATCCTCAGGAACAGGGACTTCCAGGAGGTGACCCTGGAGAGGGAGGGCCAGGTGCTGCTACACTTTGCCACTGCCTATGGCTTCCGCAACATCCAGAACCTGGTCCAGAAGCTCAAGCGAGGCCGCTGCCCCTACCATTATGTGGAGGTCATGGCCTGCCCCTCAGGTGCACCTCCCGGCAGGAGATGGCAGGGGCGGGGGCTGCTGGGATGGAGTTGGCAGCACCCCTCCAGCGCTGGAGGAGGTGAGTGGGGAGAGGGTGTGCACTTTGACCCCACCTGACACTCTTGTGACCATAACCTGTTCTGCACAGGATGCCTGAATGGTGGAGGCCAACTCAAGGCCCTGGACATGTCCAGCAAAGACCTTCTCCAGCAGGTGGAGAGCCTGTATAGCATGGTCAGGGTGGAGACACCTGAGGATGTGCCTGGGGTCCAGGAGCTGTACCAGCAGTGGCTGCAGGGTGAGAGCTCAGAGCGGGCCAGCCGCCTGCTGCACACCCAGTACCATGCCATAGAGAAGCCCAGCTCGGGCCTGAGCATCAGGTGGTAGGAGGCCTCGAGGTCTGCTGGGGCCAGCGCCCAGCAGCACAGCCTCTCACCTCAGACCCCAGGGCTCTCCCAGAAACAAAAGGAGCTGTACGGTGTGTTAGAGCCCATGTTAAAGTGGGTTCCAGATACACACAGGATTTCGTGGTCTGGAAATGTGACCTGTGCCTGCACACCCCGGGCTCTGTACTGGCTTTGCAGGTAGGGTGAGGGGTGGAAGACGAGGCTGAAGGTTCTCTGAAGTTTGGGACTCTCTTCCACTGGCCCTTCTATGGACATTGCCTTTCCTGGCCATGGTGGCTCTATAGTGAGGGGCTCCGGAGTTCCTGCAGGTGCTATCCCTGAAGTCTGGAATCACCTGGAAGCCACAGGGCAGGGGGCAGGTGACGACTAGTAGTGTCAAGTATGGGGACTGCTGCAGGAAAGGACATCTGGACTCCTGAAACTAGGGTTACAGAGTGTGGGCCTAAGGTCAGCTCTGTATCTTAGGCTGCATCCCTGCACAAGTCTTCCCTGGCCATCATGCCGCCATGGCTGGGTTCCTGCCAGGCCCGTCTCTGACCCAGTTTCACCTCTGATAAAGGACATGCCCAGCACGTCTGGAATCACTGCTGTCTTGGAGCGTCTGTGCCCCAAAGGGCCTCTCAGAGATTTATTCACTGAGCAGAACCCAGGCAGGACTGCTCAGGCACAGACAGGTGTGTGGCTGCACAGAGGTCCTGCAGTCTACCTCCAGGAGCAGTGGAGGAGAGTACCACTTGCTGATCCTCGAAGGCTGGGCATACAGCCAGGCAGGTCCACAGAGGCCACCCTTGTGTGGGTCCAGGCAGACTGAGAGTCGTGGGAGGAGCAACATGGAGTTGAGTGGGCCCTGGGTGGCTCACTTCTGGTGGCCCAAGAGCCCCCACTGCAGTGCAAGGAGTGCCCGGGCCTGTGGCTGTGGTGGCTCCATAGCCTGCTGAAAGCAAGCCCGCTCCCTGCACAGCACCTCCAGGACCTCGGCTGGGGCCACTTTGCCTGTGAACTTGCGTACCGCCTCTTCTCTGTAGGGGAGGGGCACAGTGGGGAATGGCTGGACACTAGGCTACCCATGGGGGTGGGAAGGGACAGGGCACTGGATGGATGACAGGACGATACTTAATGTGGGCCTCTCCTGGTGCCAGGGACACTCAGCCCAATTAATGGCCCCCAGACACCTTAACTAACCAAATGGCTGCCAAGGAGGTCCCAGGGAAGGCAGGCTGGCATTGCCAGCTGGTTCCACAGGGAGATGCCTCCCAGGCTGCCTTAATGACTGTAGCTCAAGCCCCACCCATGGGGAGGCCCCAGACATGGCCATACTCACGCCACCCTCAGGAAGGGGTTGTACAGCAGCTCCTCGCCCAGGGTGGATGGCACAGTGGGCACATCGTCCTCATCTCTTTTCTGCAGCGACCATAGGCCCTTGTCATAACCAGGCTTTTCCTGACAGTCCCAGCCTGCTTGGCTGTGGCCACAGGGCCACATATCCCATGCGAAGCCAGCAGTGGCCACCAAGGCTAATCGTGCTGACCCTGGGGATTCTCCTGCAGCCAAACTCAAAAGAGAGCACATGCTCTCCCCACTGCACATCCCTCCCATTAAGGGGCAAGAAGTGGCCTACCTGGGCCCAAGACAGTTTGGCTCTCACGTGGTCATTGTGGGGCTCCACTGTGTGTGCAAACTCCAGGTTGCACAGTGTGTGCTCGTGGCCACAGAACACCTTCTGGAGAAAGGGCATTCAGTGTGCAGAGCACTACTGCAGGCAGAGGTGGGAGGCGCTCAGGACCTGGCCTTAGGCCCACCATCTGGACCCGGACAGGGCATGAGGGTTCCCAGAGGAAGCACAGCACTAAGCAGGGTCTGGACCCCACGCACCGTCTGTGGGGGCAGGGTGCCAAGGGTCTCTGTCAGACTCTGGTACATCTGCTGGGCAGTGCCTTCCAAGTGCCAGCCACAGCCAGCCACGGACAGTGCGTCCCCTGTGGGAGGAGGGTAGGTAAGAGGAGATGGGAAGCCTGGTCAGAGAAGATGACAGGGTGACCTCTGGGCTGTGGGTACCGGAGAAGAGGGCAGGCGGGTCCAGGCTTTCATCCTCCCAAAGGAAGTAGCTCATGTGGCCAGAGGTATGGCCAGGCGTCAGGAGGCAGCGCACATGGATGGCCCCAAACTGCAGAGGGGCAAGCGGACCTGTGAGGGCGGGTCAGGGGTGGGTCGTCCCTTCCCGCATTTCCCATGTGGCATACTCAGTACTCACCCGTAGTTCCTCCTCATGTACCAGCATGCGGGTCAGCCCACAGATGCGTTCGTCCCCGCCCATCACCACCATCCCCGGTTGTAGCCGCGCCAGCTCCACATTGCCCCGAGCGTGGTCCCTGTGGACCCGCAGTAAAGCAGTTACCTCTGGTCAGGGAAAGGCGTCTTTAAGCCTCCGTACGCCCAACCTGCACTCACCAGTGGTGGTGGGTGGTTAGCACCGTGGTCAAAGACACTCCCTCTCGGCCTGCGATCTCCAGCAGCTGAAAGGAATAAAGTCATAGTGATTTGGACGTCTGGGTGAGCTGCTCCCTCCATACTGCACCGCCGCAAGTACCTAGGACAGCGCAGAGGAGGGGCTGTATCCTGCATACAATTAGCGGGCGCCCCGCTATACAAGGGCAGTTAAGCACTGGATAAAGGACACGCGTGCCAAGGCAGCCCTAACTTAGGAAGCCCCAAGATCATCTGGAGACCAGAGATCGAAGAAGAGGATGGGACAGTCTGCTCCAGCCAGGGTGGGGGATTTGGCGTGTAGTACTCAAGGCTGCCTAGACCTTCAATGGTGTTCCTGCCACCCCCGACCGTCCCTTACCCTCTTGGGCACCGCCACATCCACAGCCACAGCCTCTCGCGTGTCCTCCTCGATGACCAGGTACATGTAGTTATCCTCAAGCACAGGAATGACCTTGACTTTCATCGTGGCAGAACTCAGCCACTCCACGCCTCCTCCAAAAGAAGGCCCCCACAGCCTACTGAGCCCTTCTGGGCAAGACGGGGACACGGACAGACACACAAGCGCGCGCGCAGAAGGTGCAAAGAGCCCTGCTTCAGGAACTCCTGAAGATCCGCGTGCAGGTTCTAGGCGGCCTCGTTGGGGCCCCGCCTTCCGCTCGCAGCCCCGCCTCCCAACGGGCCCTGCCCCTAGTCCGCAGGCCACGCCTCCTCCCACCATCCCGCCCTGTAGCCACAGAGGGACCCCACACTCCAGACAGGTGGTCCCGAAAACCCCTCACGACACCTGTGCAGATGGCCTGGAGGACGCTCGACTGACCGACGGAGGCAGGGCCTTAGGCCCAGAGGGAGCCTGTCGTTCTACCGGCGGCTGGCCTTCACTGCCCGGCCAGGGACTGATGCTGGCTGGAGGGAACGCGCATGCGCAGTGGAGCGTGGTTCCGGACACTTGCCGCCTGCTCAAAGAAACCTTCCCTGCGCAAGCTTTCCGAGACTGCTACCAGTATTGGAATGTCCGCACCCTTCCTCTCAGGCTAGGGGTGGGGAGGGCTGTATAGCTTATTTACCAGCCTATCCCAAGTTTCGGCCAGCACCTGGAGGTACATAGAAGGCATCTATCTGAAGAGTGTATGAAGCACTAGCCAGACGCGGTGGTGCACAGCTGTAATCCCTGCTGCTCAGGAGGCTGAGGCAGGAGAATCGCGAGTTCAAAGCCAGCCTCAGCAAAAAAGAGGCGCTAAGCAACTCAGTGAAACCCGGATGTGGCTCAGTGGTTGAGTGCCCCTGAGTTCAATCCCGGGTACTAAAAAAAAAAAAAAAAGAAAGAAAGAAAAGTGCACGAACCAGGTGCAGTGGCCAGTGTCTGTAATCCCAGCGCCTCAGGAGGTTGAGGCAGGAGGTTTGGGGGTTCAAAGCCAGCCTCAGCAACTGTATCTAAATAAAATATTTTAAAAGGGTTGAGGATGTAGCTCAGTGGTTAAGCAGCCCTGGGTGGGTTCAATCCTCAGCACCACATAAAAATTAATTAATTAAAGATATTTTTTAAAAAATAAACTGTCGAATCCACATGGTAGGATAGGACATTCCTCGTAAGCACAGCAGTATCAGCAACTGCATTTTTAGTTTCCATATACCGGATCCAGATGAATGCCCTGGGTGTTGGTCTGCATTTCCCAAATGAGGAAATGGCCCAGAAAGGAGCCGACACCATAATTGTAAGGAACCAGGTTCCCCGGTCCTTCCTCCTAACCGCCAAACTGCCTTGCCCTGTGGGCGTAACTCTGGCATCTCCAAGACCAACAGAGGCCTTGGCAACGCTGACACTCTGTGGAGCAACAGCCACCAGGCAGCCATCCTAGAGCAGGTCTGGGGGCCAAGTGCAGCAGGCTGGAATTCCTGCTGCCTATGGAGTGGGTGGCAGCCCCAGGGCCCAAGCAGAGGGCCCCTCCTCGAGCCTTGGAGAATGTGAGTCCTCCTAGGACACTGCTGCAGCTGTGGCCACCACCCTGACATCAGTTGGGTCCTTCATCTCCCTCAGAGGCCGGGGTGGGGGACCCTGCACCCTGGGTCTGGTCCTGGCCAGGGAAGGGCTGCCCCAGCTCAGCAGGGTTGGCATGTCAGATGACCCTATCAGCCCAGGGGCCGCAGCCCAGACCTGAAACCCACCTGGACATGGGGTGAATGGTGCCTCCCTAGGCTGTGCCCCAAGCAGAAGCCTGGCTGCCAGGAGTCTCTTGTGCCACCTCAGCCTGGGCCACCAGCCTGGAGGGAGAGCTTCCGTCAGATCTGGAGCTGAGCGAGGAACAGCGGCTACAGGTGGGGATGGGGCCTCAAGGTATTGGCAGAAGCAGGGCAGCAGGGTCTCACAGGCAGCACTCTTATCCTGGCCACACACAGATCTCCAAGGAGCTGGTCGACCTTCAGATTGCAACTCATCGCCTGCAGGAGCAGCACGAGGCTGAAGTCTTCCAGCTGAAGAGGGAGGTGAGCAGCTGTAGAAGCCCAGGTGTGCCAGATGATCACACCAGGGCAGGTGGTGCCTGGGAGTGCACACACATTCAGTATCGCCCTGTCCTTTATATACCGTCTGCTCACCCTGATGACCCACAGGTCCTTCGGCTGGAGAGCCGGGTGCTGGAGCTGGAGGTGCGTGGAGATCATATCAGCCAGGGACATGTGGACCCAGCAGAGGTCAACCCAGCACAGAAGTTCAATCAAGAAAACCAGGGGCCCAGACACTCTGCCCACCACAGCCACCAGGTCACCCTGACCACAGGAAGAGCCCAGGTGGGTGAGGCTGTTGGGGGCCTACTCAGGCACATTTGAGATGGGACTTGCTCACCCACTCCTCACCCCTGCCTTCTCACCCATGCAGGTGCAACCCAAGGATGTCCTGATCCCTAAGCCATTGAAACTGGAGAATAGTGTGAGCACTCTGTAGCCTAACCTGGGAATGCTCTGGGGTTCTCCCAGCCCAGGGTGGGAATGGGACCCAGAGCTTGGGGTCTCAGGCAGCCAGCTCTTGTGTGCCCTACAGCTGCTGGGAACCCAGGAGCTTCGGGGTGAAGTGAAGTGGGTGCTGGAACATCACAGGGCCCTGCAGCAGACACTGGAGACACGGGTGTGAGTGGCCACCTCTCCTGGGTCTGGGAGGGCCTGTCAGGGCACAATACTCACAGCAGCCATTCCCAAGGGGCTGAGGAACCCCTCACCCTGGCCTGGCTGAGCTTCACATCATTAGCAGGGCAGCCCTGGGCCAGCAGCTGCAGGGAGCACAAGAGGAAGCCAGGGCAGCTGGACAGCGGCTAGCTGCACAAGCAGTGGTGAGCATCACCCCCCACACCCTGTGTGCTTCGAGATCCAGCAGTAGGTGTCCTCCAAGTGCAGCAAGGTCCCTCCCTCACCCCCAGATGCTGTCCACCTGCCAGGGCCAGCTCCGACAGGCCCAGGTTGAGAACGCCCGGTTGCAGCTGCAACTGAAGAAGCTGAATGAGGAGTATGCCCTCCGGCTGCAGCGCTGCGCCCGAGAGGCAGTGGTGAGCACCAGACCAGGGGTCCTGTGGTGGAGAGGGGAGGCCTGTGAGTCCCAGGAAGCCCACATCTAGTCTGGGCATGCTGGACAGCTTCAGGGAGACCCTAGGGATGGGATTGGGCCCAACCAGGTCACCCTGCCAGCTCCAGCCCAGCCCCCAAACCTAGCTCCCCCTAGTGCTGCCCCAGCATCAACTCACCTTCTCTAGGGATATGCAGATGGTGCAAGCCAGGCTGCCCTTCAGACTTTCCTGGAGGCCACTCTGCAGGACATCCGGGCAGCACACCACAGTCGTGAGCAACAGCTGGCCCGGGCTGCTAGGGCCTACCGAAAGCACCTGGCTGATCTGAGCCGTAGGCATGAGGAGCTGCTGGCCACACACAGGTGGGCCCCACTCTCATCTGGGCACTTGGGGTGGTACGGCCCTACATGACCCCACGTATGGCTCAGTGTGCAGCAGGAGCAGCTGCAGGCACTGGCAGACCCAGACAGGACAACTGGGACCCTCAAGGCTACCTTTACTACAGCCACAGACCTGAAGCCACTGTCTGTGCCCCTGGCCACTGAGCTCAGCCACCTGCAGAAGGATGAGGTGAGCTCCTCTCCCTGCTAGCTCACACTGTCTAGGGGCACAGAGCTCCAGAACTGACCCCAGCCTCATCCCAGGCTCAACAAAGCCCCAGCCCCAGGGCCTCAATGGCCTGCCTCCTTCAGCCAACCAAGGGATCCTTTATAGCACAGCCAGCTCAGGATGCTGCCCTTGTGCCCACAAAAGGGACCTGGTGAAGCCTCCTCCCAGGAGACCTCAGAGCCACTGTGAGTGCCCTCCTGTGGGTGAGTGGGGAGAGGGCAGATCATACAACACTGAAGCAGAGCTTTCTGCCAGTCTAAAGTGAACAAAATGGCTGGTCTCTGGCCCAGGGTCTTCCAGTTTGTACAGGGGAAGTAAGGTGGCTGCTAGGCCAAGGGCCAATGTGTGAAGAGGGCCCTGCCAGGAGAGAGGCCAACCTTGAATGCAGAAGACAGGGAGAGCCCATCTGAGGGAGGACCATTTCAGCTGATACCTGGAGGACCCAGGATAAAGACAGGCTGGGAGCAGGTTGCCTGGTGACCTGGCCAGCCCTTGCCTCTAGGCCTCTACCTCCCCAGCTATACAGTGGGCAGGGCTCTTGAGGTAGTACTTCCCAGGGTTTGGAGAACAAAACACCCAATGGGTTAACATCGCAGTAGACTGGGGTCACCATCTGAGCTTGCCCATGGCTTACCATTCCCTGAGTGGCCATTGGGCCCCTCATGCACAGGAGCTCCAAGGCCAGGCAGGGTACGGTGTCCCAAATCACTCCAATAAGTTCCAGGTCAGCCCTCAAGACTGCCTCTTCTCCCCTCTCACAGGAGCCTGGATACCAACTCCTGGGCCCAGATCTGCCAGAAGCTCCAGGACTTCTCCCGAGGCACTCAGGTAGTGGGTAGGGCTGGAAAGGGCCCCTCTGCACACTCTGCCCTGGCTTAAGGCTCATGCTCCTCCCAGGCAGAGCTGGAACGTGAGCGAGCACAGCTGCTGGTGCGGGCCACCAAGGCTGAAGAGCAGCTTTCAGAGCTGCAGGAGTATGTGGACCAGCACCTGGGAAGGTGAGCTGAATGGGAGAGAACCTTAGTCTGGGTGGGGGAAGATACCATAGTCAGGTAGATGATTTTAACCTGATTCCTCTGAGCAGGTATAAGCAGGAAATCCTGAGGCTGAGGAAGCTGGTGGGTGCAGGGGACCCCTGGAAAGCGGGAACCACACCTCCAGCCAATCCCTAACATCCAAGGACACAGCCGGCCTTCTGAGGAGCACAGAGCAGACCCCTTCGTAGCCAGCAATGGAGGTTCCACCACACCCCAGTCATCCCTGCACCCCACAACCCCACTATCCACAAAATAAGCCTTTGATCTATGAGCCTTTATTGTGTCCAGTTAGCCAGCCTGAGAACTTGGGAGGCTGGGGGCCAAGGCAGAACCAGGTCCTGGGGTGGGCAGGATGGGACAGGATGTGGCAGCAGGTCTGGCATGGTGGACGTCCATGTCGACATCGTAGGCCCAGACCCGATCTAGGCCTTCACCGATCACAGCCACAGGCTGCCAGGTGGGTAGGGGGAAGCGTCCAGATACCACACGAGCCCCAGCAGGCAGCTCCGCCAGCAGTTTATCTTCCAGCAAGGGGAGCTGTGGGAGAGAGAAGTGGTGAGAAGGCGGCAAGGGCAGCAGGACCCAACCTGCCCTTGTACAGCACCCATCCCCAGGCCTCAATGCAGCGCATGCCAGTGTGTGGCCCCAACTCCCAGTGGGGCTGCAGACCTCAGACCTACCACGCTGGGGGCCAGGAACACGGACACGTTTCGGCAGTCCCTCAGGCTCACCTGTGAGAAGGAGAGTCACCGGCAGGGGGAGGGGGCTGGCGGCCCGGGTCCCTGCAGTTTCAGACCTGACCCCTGGCCCACCCAGGAGTCAGAGAAACCTGGGGCTGCCAGAAGGCTGACCAAGGCAGAATCTGAAGCATAATCAGGTGTGGATCTCAGGGGTCTAGGTCCCCTAGGTTACCTTCCAGAGATCCTCACGAAGGTAGCAGACGCTGCCAGCACAACCGGCCCTCCAGGCATGCAACCTCGCAAGCCCCACAAGCCACGGGTTCAGTTCGTAGCCCACAGCTGGGCGGAGACCGCACCTGTGGGCCGCCAACACCTGCCGGCACGGCACCAGCAGTTCAGGACCCGAATGTTGGGGAGGGACGACCACACGAAGGGCAGGGAAGACACACAGGGACACATACGCGCCTTACAATTCTGCCGTCTCCAGAGCCCAGATCCACCATTTTTCCCGGGCGACCACGCAGCAACGACAACACATGCTCAACCTGCCGTGCACTGGCGCCTACATAGGGTACCTGGGCGAGATTAAGTGGGCGGGCTGAGGGCCAGAATCCATGGGCCACGTCCCCTCGCAATCACCAGGTGGGGGCAGAATTTGCCTCCTGGACAAGAACTGGAAGTTCTGTGGTGGACTTTCCTGCCGCACCCAGAGCAGGTGTCAACCCAAAGCCTCGCCCAGCGTTTAGCTGCAGTCACTTTTCCGCACACCGGCGCCGTCCCTGCCATTCCAAGGCGACGCCTCAGCCCCCCACCGCAACCCACGCCGCGTACCTGCCCAGAGTCCCACCCTTAGTGGTCTCGCCCTTCCACACACCCCAGTCCCACCCACCGGCCGGGCCCGCACCCTTCCTAGTCCCACCTCTTCGCAGCCCCGCTCTTTTTTTTTTTTTTTTTAATATTTATTTTTTAGTTATCGGCGGATACAACATCTTTTTTTTGTATGTGGTGCTAATGAGGATCGAACCCGGGCCGCACGCATGCCAGGCGAGCGCGCTACCGCTTGAGCCACATCCCCAGCCCCGCAGCCCCGCTCTTAACCCGGTTCCGTCCCCCGGTCAGGGACCGAACCACTCGTGGTCCCGCCCCTCCGTACTCCCTGCCCCCGGCCGCGGTCCCGCCCAGCTGAGGTTCCGCCGCACGGCCAAGCCTCGCCCGCACCTGCAGCCGCAGCGGCACTCGGCGGAAGCCTGGCTGCAACAGCAGCGCCCACACGGCGTAGGCGGCCAGCCCCGAGCCCGCCGCCGCCTGCAGCAGCTCCAGCGCGCCCAGCCGCCGCTCACGCAGCTCCGTCAGCGCCTCGGCAGGGTCGTCGTGCTCCATGGCTGCGGAACACGCGGCTCAGGGTCCTCCCGCCTCCAAGCCCTTTCCCTCCGCCGTGCCCCGTCGGTTACGCGCCTTCCTAGCGCTGCTCGGGAGAGTGCCGGTGGCTGAGCGGAGGCCGGGACTAGACGCCGGAAGTTGCCGCAGACCCACTGGCTGGTGCGTCGCGCGTTCGGCTCCGCCGGCCCCAGCCCAGGGCTGTCCCGCGGGTTCCGGGTGGCGGCGCCCTGCGGTTGCAGCGGCCCGGGTGTTCAGCAACCCTCGCGGGACGCACGGGGCCGTGGCCTGCTCTTAGCCGGCGTCAGTTGGCTCGGTCGTCCCACAATGCGGGCGACCATTGGGGCCTGTCCTGGCATGGGAACGTCCGAGCGGGGGCGGAGGCCCCAGCCTCCCGAGCGTGCACCGGAGAGGGGTGCGTTGGTGGGGCCGGCGGGAAGGGCTTGCTGCGGGCCTTGGGTCATAGCCAAGTCCTCACAAGGCTGACTTGGAGACCGGCGCGGGTTTCGCTGACCAGGACACCCTGGAAGTCAGCCAAACCCAGAGCGGTCCCGGGAGGACATCCTGCAGGCTCCCTCCCACAGCGAGGACCGTTAAGCGGGAAGGGAGGATGCGCTGGAGTTGGAGGGCCAGGGAGGAGGGGCTTGACAGGAAAGACTGGGGCGAGGAGACAGATGTTGGCTCTCTTCGGAGTGTGGTGGGAGGGGCGCCGGATGCGAGAGGCTGGGCCTCTGGCAGCTGGCCCAGCATTGGGGGTGGAAGGCAGCCAGGGGAGCCCTGAGATCACCTCCTCCAGAAAGTGAAAAAGGGTCGAGTGGCTCCTGGTAAAGCCCTGGGGTGGAGGCGGCAAGGAAAGGGACAGAACCTTGGATCAGGCAGCTGGTCACCTCATCACCCCAGACTGAGGACGAATGTTCTTGAATGTCATTGCCATGTCTGTGCACACAGCCTGGCTTGGCTGCTCAGCCATTCACGTCCTGGTCAGGGGACCCAACAAGGATGGAAACTGCTTCCAGAAAAGTGGGTGTGCCCAAGGCTAACCCTTCAGCCCCAATTGCAGAGTGTCTTCCATGCCTGCCTGCACATTGGCCCTAGCCTAACCAGACTGAGGGACAGTTGAGACAGTTGTCCCTGGGCAGCAGCAAAGCCTCCGTGCACTGCACTGGGAGGAGGCCTGTACACCAGCTCCTAGGGACCTATATCCTAGGGGGCTATAACTGGGCCCTCCCAGAGAAGGAAGGATGTGCACTGAGCTCCAGGTGTGGAAGCCCTGTTCTTGGGGGACTCCTTGCATTATTTCCAGTACCTGGAGCCATGTCTGGCTCCAGTAAGGCTCTCTGAAACTGCACCTGGTGACTCTTACACTCACACCAGAACTCTGCTCTTCTGCCTTTGGGCACTCAGCAGCCAAGGCCTGCCTGCCTAAGTTCACACACATGGAGGTGTCTCTGACCTTCATGGAGCCCTCAGGCCAGCTCCTGCAGCTCCAGTCCACTTCTTACCCACACCATTTCCTTTGCTATCTCCTCACTCACTTCTTAGGCCTTGGCCACTTGTCTCCTGGGACTCCTGGAGCACCAAAGTCTCCTGTGCCCTTCTGTCTGAGAAGCAGAGCACTGTTGGAAAGTCAGTGAATTCTCTGGATGGTTGTGTGGGTAGGATGTTCAGGAACCTTCCAGGCTACATGAGTTGAGGGCCCCCCAGTACACCTTCCCAGTGTATTTGTGGACTGGTGAACTGGGAGGTGGTCTATAAACATCAGTGGATGTGGCCCAGAGGGGAGGTTGTGGGAACAGGTCTCTGCACTGACTGTGGGAAACGGCCAGAGAATTAAGCCAGGTACCACAGGTGAGGATGCTACTCAGCCCTGGGGGAAGAACCTCCCCAGAATAGGTGAGCACTGGGAGAGCCCAGGGTTCCCTCTTTTCTCTGCTCCTGAAGATGCTGGGGGTGGAAGTAAGGGTCTGGAGTCCAAGTAGGATGTTCATGAGTTGAGGGCCCCCCAGTACATCTTCCCCAGTGTATTTGTGGACTGGTGAACTGGGAGGTGGTCTATAAGCACCAGTGAATGTGGCCAAGAGGGGAGGTTGTGGAACATGTCTCTGCACTGACTGTGGGAAACTGGCCAGAGAATTAAGTCAGGTACCACAGGTGAGGATGCTACTCAGCCCTGGGGGAAGAACCTCCCCAGAATAGGTGAGCAGTGGGAGAGCCCAGGGTTCCCTCTTTCTCTGCTCCTGAAGATGCTGGGGGGTGGGAGTAAGGGTCTGGAGTCCAAGGGGTGGTCCATGTTGCAGATGAAAAGTGGAGGTCTGAGTGCTGAGGATGCATGGTTGAGGAGATGAGAGGAAACAGTGGGAGGAGACCCAGTAGCACCTGCCATCCATGGGTGCTCTCCTACCCTCCTCCTCAGTCTCAGGAAGCAGGCAGTTGAATTCATGGGCACTTAGATAGCCTGTCCCCTGGAGGTTCCAAGGCAGCCACTGAGCAGTCTGTGTGGCACAGGGCACTCGGTCAGCCCAGTCTGGAGGAAGGGTGTCCCTCTCCTAGCCTCAATTTCTTGCCTGAAAGACGACACCCATTCAACCTCTAGGCTCCATCCCTGCCTCTGCCCCTTTCCCCAGTGAGAGCAGACAAAAATGAAAAGCTTGGCCCTGAGGTCCCCCAGCATTAGAGCTGTGGCTCTTTCCCAATAGCTGAGGGGTTGAGGGTAAGCGGAATCTACTCTTCCAGGGCTGGAGAGCCCTAGTGCACACCCCCATGCAGGGGCTTTCAGCCTTAGGGCCTTGAGCTTTGTCCAGGGCCTCACTAGCCCTTATGCAGCTGGGAGGCTGAGGAAGAAGGCAGGGACAGCAACAATGGGACCAGTGGCGGGAAACGGTCCTTAGAGACCCTATTGTGCACCCCACTCGCCGGAAACAGACAAGCAGGATCCCACAGTGGAGACCCCACACCCTGCAGGCTCCTCGCCATGTCTGGATGCTCAGCACGTTGCAGGGGCCTCTGGACAGAGGGGCCCATTCTTCCCGGAGGGCGGGACTGGGCCAAAGATGACTGGCTCACAACAGCTACAGAGGGAATTGGCACTCTGCCAGACTGCAACCCCTTTCCTTCACAGGATGGGCTTAGAGCTGGGGGTGATGCCTACCTGCCTGCCCTCACACACCTGAGGGACCCCAGACCCCCTGGCCTTGGGAGTTATGGCACCTTTCGCTCCTGCTCTGAGCCCCAGAAGCACCTAGTGTTGGAGGCAACAGCCAGCCAATAAGCCAGACGCATGGGTAAGGTCCAGGCTGAGAAGGGGTGGGCAGAGACAGTAGAGGGAGAAGGAAATTAAATGAGGCAGGTGCAGGGTTGTGCTGGCCAAAGGAGACCAGATCTACCATGTGATCAGTATTCTTATTGATTATCCCTAACCCTTGGAAGCAGCTGGGAACATAAATGCATCCAGAAGCCACCCCTCCCCACCTCCCTCCCACACACCCTCCCTAGCACCCTGTCCCCTGAAAAAGGCCCTCAGTCCAGTGTCACCTCACAGGGGTGGAGGTGGGCAGCCTGGGCAGATGTGTAGGCTCGGGTGAATTCTTGGACTCGAGGGGCACAGCCCAGCCAGGCTTCACCAAAGCGGCTCCAGCCCATGAAGAGGAAGGTGCCTGGGCCAGGGCGGACACCACAGCGCAGCTGGGTTCGAATGAAGGCCTGCCCCTGGCCTGCAGGCCCCCCCATCCCCAACAGTGGCAGTGTCTGGCGGAGGATATGGGTGGCCACCACAGTGATGACAGACTCCTGCAGCTCCATATCATGTGTGACCCTGTGGATGGTCCCGCGGATCACTGCGGGGAAACATGTTGGCCAGGGGTGGGCCATCAGGGGAGGGCAGGCCCCAGGCTCCCCCACACGGGGACACTCACCAAAGTCACTGGTGCATGCAGCCAGGAGGAGCTCCTCATCACTGCAGGGCCTGCAGGCACCTGCATGCAGGAGGGATCATGAGCCCAGGCACCACCAGAAGTGCAGTCACATGGCATGTATGCACACCTGTAGTCAGGAAGTACCCTGGCAGGCAAGAGCCTGTGTGACACCCACCACATACATGGGCCTGGGGGCTGTGTCCACCCGGAGCTCAGTGTCCTGGGGCACTCTTGAACACCCATCTCATATATACATACCAGCATTCGGGAACCTTCTGTGACTTCCCAGAGTGGCCTTCTGGGACCCAAAGAGCAGCAGCCCTGCCAGAGTGGCAGGAGATTATTGTGTGCTCTGGCTCTGGGGTTCCCATCTTTGGGGAAAGAGGTCGAACAGTGAGAGCCCCATCCCCTGCGGGGTCAGGCTGAGAGCTCCATGAGCAAAGAGCTGGGCCTGGTGCCCTGCAGAGGCAGGACTGCGTCTCCATGGTGACCGGGAGGCACACTGGACTTTTGTTGGCTGGGCTGGGGGAGGGGCATGAGGTCACCGCTAGGCCAGTGAGGACAGCTTTTGCCAAAGGCTTTGACTCTGCCCGCCATCCCCTCCCCCCCAGCCCTTCAGGGACCCAAGTTTGCCAGCTTGGCCACCCCTTCCGCATTGCTCCCTGCCCGTTCTTTTCCTTGATAAGAATCCCGAGGGTGGGGAGCTCAGCCAGAACCAAACAGGTGGATGGCTGACAACCGGCTGGACACTCTGCAGGGGGCTTACAAGTCCTATTCCAGCCAGTCCAAGGTAGGGCGCAACCTCGTGACTCCAACCTCCTCCCATCCAATCGGTCACTCACCATCCTCACCAAGGCCGTGGACTTGTGGAGGCAGTTCTGGGCTTCGGTCTTCACGCAGCTCAAAGCGGAAGGCGGCCACCCGGCGGCTGATGTCGCGGTGCGGTGTGGCCTGCAGGAAGAGGGCCCGGCGCTCGCGGGGACCCCAGTGCACGCAGCGGCCCCCTGCCAGGCCTGGACCCTCGGTCAGCAGCAACTCCAGGGAACCGCCCTCCCGTTCAGCGAAGACCTGGGCGCCCGCGAAGGGCCGCGCTGGGCGCAAGCAGGTGATGCCCGGCCTCGTGCCAAAGTCAGGAGCGCCCAGAGTCAGGCGAAGCGCCCCAGCCGGGTACAGCCACTCGATGGCGCCCTCCACACAGGCCAAGGTCAGCTGCCCCACGCTGCCGGGCTCCTGCGTCAGGCCGCTGGGGACAGGACAACAGCGCTGAGGCGAGCTGCTAGTGTCCTTGGCCCGCACAGCCCGCTTTCCCGTAGTAATCGTAGTAATCGCAGAACACCGGCGCCCCCTTTGTGAAGGACACCGAGGTCCAGCATTCCTTGGATTCCTGGGGGAAGCGCACTCCCATCTCAAGGTGGGAGCGACACAGTCTCCCAGATTCTCCAAAAGGGAGCACAGCCGGGCTTGCACGTAGGGCCCCTACCTGCCCCTCCAGCTGCAGCGGTCCTCCGAGTAGCCGGCGCGCGCGGACACAGCCAGGAGGCCGCAGCAGAGAGCACAGAACAGCGCCGGGGGCGGCATGGCTCAGAGACGCGCCGGGGCTTCGGGTCTGGGGTCTTGGGGTGCTGCCTCTGGGCGGGGCGGCGGCGGGAGCAGCCCGGGCGCCGCCGCCCAGCCCGGCGCGGCTAGTCCCGGCCGCCCTCCGTAGCTCTGCGCTGCCCTACCCGGCTGCCAGGGCGCAGGGGGCCGAGGGCGGGGCGGCACGCTGGCCAATCGCGGCCCACCGTGGAACTTTCTGCCAATCGCAAAGGCTCTCGGGGGCGGGCCCAGTGCTCGGCGGGAGGACTGTCCAGCCCGCAGGGCCAACTGGGACCAGTGGCTGTCCCTGCTCTTGCGCTGCGTCGCCCTTGCCGTCCTCCATCCCTGCCTTGCCTGTACTGCGCCATCCTGGTCACCACTGTCCTCCGAGTTCTGGAGCCCTAGATGGAGTGGCTGAGGGCTTGGGTCCACCAGAAGAATGAGGGGCAGCTCACCCAGATGTTCCTGCCACGCCCCCTGAGTGGCAGCAAGTCTGGTCCTTTATGAGAGCGGGAGCTGCACTTCTAGTCCACACAACATCCCACCTGGTTCCTCTGCCCCTTCCCCTGAGGCAGCTGGTACTCAGGGAAGAATGGTCAATACCAGGGGCTGGGGATATAGATCAGTTGGTAGAGTGCTTGTCTTGCATGCACAAGGCCCTGGGTTCAATCCCAGCACCAAAAAAAAAAAAAAGATCAGTAGCAGGAGGTAGGAGGGCTGCCAACCTGTTGCTGCCCTCCAGGACGGGCAGGGTTGAGCTCTCTTAACTCTGTCTTCAGATATACAGGCGTCACACCTCAGGGTTGTTGGATGAATTCTGTGGAGGATGGAATCGTCTGGAGGAGCTAGTATGGGGAAGCCACAGACCTGTGATACAGGTAAATTGTCAGGTAGAAGGATACCCTGTGCCACAGAAGCAGACCCAAGTCCAGACCAGCTGGCCTTCCACTTTCAAGTGAAGCAGGGGGTCAGGTGAAGCAGGGAGTGGTGAACTTCTGAATATTAGGGGTCTCTGAGTTTGGCCTGAGGGGTGTGTTGGGGGAGGCAGCAGGAAGAACAGACAGTGTGGGCAAGACTCTGAGGGAGAGTTGTTGACCCACCAGGAAACCTCGAGATGCCAGCCTAGACTCTGAACCCTGTGCCCATTGCCCCAGCTTCCCCTGTAGCCCTGGATTTGCAGCTTATAGCAGGCAGATGAGACTGGAGGGCCCCAGTGGGAGGGAGTGGTTGGAGTCCCCAGCCAGCCCCAGCAGGCTCTCTAGTACTGATGCCCTCTCCTGTCCCCAGAACCTTCCCAAACCAAAGACAGGCCAGGAGCCATGGGACTCAGGTGGCCTGCTGCCTCTGGCTAGGGAGCCAGAACAGAGCATAACAATAGCCAAAAAACGAAAGTAACCCAATGTCCATGGCAAACATATCCACAATAGGTTATTATTACTATTATATCATTCTGTTATTCAAAACAAAAGTTCCACACCTGCTATAATATGGATGAGCCCTGAGGAAATGAGCCAGTCACAAAAAGACAAATACTATGCGGTTCTACCTATATGAGGTTCCTAGAGCCGTGACATTCACAAAGGTAGAGGAATAGTTGGGTTTTACAGGCTTGGTTTCAGTTTGAGGAGATGGAAGGAGCTCAGGAGATTAGTTGTACACTAGTAAGAATGTGCTTAATACTACTGAGCCTAAGAGGGTTGATGGGCTGGGTGCATTGTCGCACACCTGTCATCCTAGCTACTTGAGAGGCCAAGACAAGAGGATCTAAATGTTCAAGGCCAGCCGGGGCAACTTCATGAGACCCTGTCTCAAAAAAAAGGGGGGGGCCTGAGGATATAGCTCAATTGGTAGAGTACTTATCTTGCAAGCACAAGGCCCTGGGTTCAATCCTCAGCACCCCCCCAAAAAAAATCCAAAATAATAAATGAAAAAAAGGGCTGGAGCTCCATAGTAGATCACCCCTGGGTTCAATCCCCAGATCCAAAAATTAAAAAGGAAAAAAGCGAGAGAGCCCGGTGTGAACAGAAGGTTCATCAGATATTTGAAGAAGGAAGGGGGACCCTTGGGTCAGCTGCCACAGCTGTTCTGGCCCAAAGGCTGCACCATCACCTTCTCCATCATCACCAGGCTGCAGCTACCCAAGACCAGGCCCCAGGGGCATTTAGTGGGCTCCAGGCGCCCTCTGGAGGCATGTGAGGAGTCAGCCTCAGAATCGCGCCACTAACTCCAGCGTTCACCCAGAGAAGGGGACAGTGTCCTGGGTGCAAGAGAGGGGTTCCCAGAGGGTGACCTGGTCTAAGCTGCCTCCTCAACACTACGCTCCTTCTGCTGCTTGCACCATGCCAATCTTTTGGTGATACTGCAATGATGTTGTTACCAAGGGAGAAAACCCAGAGAGAAACCATTTCTCATAGCTCCTGTCCCACCCAGGGAAGCACCTCGGTGCTTCAGCCATTGAGCTCCAATGCCATGGGCAGGGATCCCGAAGGCCATGTGTGGCCTTAGTTGCTATGGGTACAGGATACAATGCACCTGGTGCCTGTGCTCAGTAACTACCTGGAGAGCAAATCAGGGAAAGGTTAAGTGAATGAATAAGGGGAACTTGGGGAACTTGCTGACTGCTGCCAGTTGGGGCTCGCTTAAGTGTATTCACATCAGACCTCGAAGGCTTGAATTCCCCCTGTGAGAGTGAAGAGATCTGAATGGCTGTGCCCCCCTCCCCAGCTTCTGCTCTGCCTGGCTTTGGCCAAGTGGCATGCAGCATCCCAAAGCCTCCTGTCCCAGAGAGGGGTGGCCAGCCTGGGAGAAAATCCTGAGGCCTGGCTTCCCCAAAGGAGCCTTGGAGGAGCAGCCTGATGGAGGTGAGGGGCAGTGGAGCCTCAGGCACTGCCATAGGGTGTCACCTCTCAGATGCCCACCTCTGCTATTGCACAGCCCCCAGGAACAACCCCCAGAGCAGTCAGAGTTAAGGGGGGCAGGGGGCAATGGCCTCAAGACTGATGGAGCTCAGAGCAAACCCAGACTACTTGGAGTGGATGGTGGGGATGGCAAGGCCAGCCCTGCCAGCTTTACTGACCAAGGTGAGCTTGCCTCAAGGTACCAGTGAGCAGAACTCTGGAGGAAATTACCAGAAAACCCAGAGAGAATAGTCAAGTCTCCAGCTTGCACAGGGTTCTCTGCCCAAGTCTCAGATTTCACTGGTAGCCAGGTGAGGGAGAGATGTGGGTGACCTGAGGCTGGCCCTCCCTGTGTCCTCAGATAAGGACTTGGCACTGAGATCCCAACAACCAGGAATGGTCGCATGTGCTGCTCTGGATGGCCCTGGCATAGTGCTATAGCCCTGGGTATAAGGAGATAGTTTCTACAACTGAGGGATGGGGCTATCAGAGCCATCCAGTAACATGCTCAGTGGCATCCATCATGAGCACTGACCTGGGTCATCCACACAGCTTAATCTATGGAAACTCGGAGTGCTCAAGCCACCAGCTCTTTGGGCTGGGGTTCCCAGGAACAGTCATAGCTGCCGACTATCCCAGGGAGTCTGTGCAACCTATGGCTCCTGCCCACCTTCTGCCCTGCACCTCAAGGTGTAGGAAGCAAGATTCCTATTTCAGATGTTTTTCTTCACATGCTGAGAACCCCCCCCCAATCTTTGGAGCTGAAAATGCAGCTGCTGATTGATTTGCACTTGAGCTAAAAATAGCTGCTGGCTCCAGCCAGGGCCAGGAAAATATCCCATTGCTAGGAGACGACCGTTGCTGGGAGACCGCCATCGCTAGGCGACTCCGTGTTGCTGCGGTGACAGATGGGCCCTGAGTCATCCTCAGCCGTGACAGGGGGCGGGCCAGGACCGAGCAGGAGCTGAGGGCAGCAGTGCCACACCATCCTCACCCATGGCCACCACAGCCACCTTGGCCACCATGGCCATGAAGTTCTCACACCTGTGGACATGATCTTCCACAGCCAGATGACCCATCTGCCTATCCCCAAGACTCTCTGCCTATCTCCTCTGCCTCCAAGCAGGGTCAGGGGAGTGGAAGCAGGGTGCCCCCATCTGGTCCCAGGATAAATCATTTTGCTCTTGAAGGGGCTCTCACCATCAGTACTGTGCTGAGATCTTCAGGTCTCCCTGTAGAGTCCAGACCCATTTCCCAGGAAGGGCTCAACAAGGGGGAATGCCTGAGCCCCATCTGGGGAGGGTGTGACCTAGGTCTGTGGCTCCAGGGCACAAATTCCTTCTCAGAGCCCTCAAGGACCTCCCATGAAAAGACTGCAGCAGGCTTCAGAGCCCTCACTCCATGTGGGGTAACATTTTTAGCTCTGATGTTACCATTACCCCCTCTCACAGCCCTCCAAGGCCTCAGGGCCAAATGTGCCAGCAGCCTCTGGTCCTCAACCCTCCTTGACTCCAGGACTGAGGCCCACAGTGGCACAGATGTGGAAGACTCCTCTGTTCTGAGGCATCAAGGCAAAAGGTACTCCAGGTGAGGGTCTCTCTACGTGAGGAGTGCTCCAGGTGAGAGAGTGCTTTAGTTGAGGGATTCTCTAGGTGAGAGGGTCCTTCAGCTGAGGATCCTTCAGGTGAGTCCAGTGAGGGATGCTGCATGTGGAAGGTACTCCAAGTGCCCTCAGGAGCCCAGGACACAGGCCCTCGCATACCAGTCCCCAGAACTGATAGAGGAAATGAGCATCTTCTGTGAGCTGGCCCCAGTTGGTGCCCCACACTTATACATTCATTCATATGTATATAACTTTATTTTTTTTTAATGTGGCTCTGAGGATTGAACCCAGTACCTCACATGTGCTAGGAGAGTACTCTACCACTGAGCCACAACCCCAGGCCCAGTAACCCATGTTCTCTTTTAAAAATATTTATTTTGAGGTACTAGAGCTTGAACTCAGGGACATTCAACCACTGAGCCACAACCCAGCCCTATTTTGTATCTTACTTAGAGACAGGGTTTCTTTCTTTTTTTAAAAAAAAAGAGAGAGAGAAAAAGAGAGAGAATTTTTTAATATTTATTTTCTAGTTTTCGGCGGACACAACATCTTTGTTTGTATGTGGTGCTGAGGATCGAACCCGGGCCACATGCATGCCAGGCGAGCGCGCTACTGCTTGAGCCACATCCCCAGCCCATAGAGTCAGGGTTTCACTGAGTTGTTTAGCATCTCACTTTTGCTGAGGCTGGCTTTGAACTTGTGATTCTCCTGCCTCAGCCTCCCCAGCTGCTGGGATTACAGGCATGCACCATTGTACCCAGCTTCGTACCTCACATTCTTTAAAGGAGATTAAAAGCCACTTAGCGCCCAACCTCATTGAGGTCAGTTTTCTCTGGGGGTAAATGCTGTTCTCCAAAGACATCTTACAAAATGGGACATATCCCCACCAAATCCTGGTGCTGGCAACCTGTCCTTCCTCCTTCCCCACTGTGTGCTGGGCACCTGTGTTGTGCTCAGTGCCCAGGGGCACAGCAATGGGAAGGAAAACACCCTCCTGGCCCCCAGAGGCTGCTGTCAGCTGACAGCCCACTCAAACACAACAACAGACAGCCAGCAGACAGACCAGGAGGGCATAGGAAGGGAAGGTCTTGGGGGAGAAAACAGCTGTCAAGGTCACCAGAGTCATCCAGGTGCATGGGGATGAGCAGCAGGAGAGACAGCTGATGCAGGTAAGGGATAGACCACGTTAGGGTGCTACAGGCAAGGGACATGGCACCCTCCTGGCCTCAGGGGATGACCAGCATGGCAGAAACTCCAAGAGCCAGGGATTAGGTAGAGCATGAGGCTGTGGGCCATCAGGGCTTGATGCTCAGGGCTTTGAAGACTGCATCCTGGAATGGACAGAGCCCTGGGAGGGACTGGACCATGCCTGGCACCTGAGGAGAACAGAGGGGTAGAGAGATCATGCTGGCAGCCATGGAGGAGGGAGAGGAATGCACCTGACATGGGGAGGGTGACAGAGGTGGAGGGAAGCAGGTGGGACCTCTGGTGATAGGAAAGCCAAGCAGCCTTCTAAATAATAATCTCTAATGTCCCTGTGAGCAAACACTATCCTTGCTCAGATTCTTCAAAGGCAGGGCTGCTGGTTGGGGCCCATTCCAGGGCTGTGTGATCCCAAATCATTATGTGCCTTGGCCTTTCCCACGTCCCCCCTGTGCACTTGGGTGTGCTCATCTGGTGGAGCCAGGAGCCAAGTCTCAGTGCCACCTGAAGCACTCATAGTGCACACCTGCTCACAGCAGGTGGCAGAAGCAGCTGCTGGAAGGTGACGGCACAGGTAGGACAGATGCCCTCTTAGCACCAGCATCTTCTTGGGCTTCATCCTACCCATCCCATGCCAAGCTGCCTTCTGTGGTCCACATTCAGGCAAGACCACACAGATGCTGCCCTCACCTGGCTGCAGCACCCTGGACCCAGTGAGGACAGCAAGGAGAACACTCTCCACTGTACCCCACCAAACCAGCCTGGATCCAGCCAGCCTGACCCTGCTCTCTATTGCTCTCAGGCCTCATGCCAGTCCCACTGGGCCCTGCTTCCCAACACCAGCTGGCTTCATTTTGTTAAGACACCGAGTCCTTTAACTTTTCCCTGCTTCCAATACCCTGCTCTGCTGTCCCCCACCTGACACTTCTGCCATCCTGTTCCCCAGGATGGGGCACCATTAGCATCTCTCCTTCAGCCCTGAGGCTGCTGGGAGATCTGTGCACCCTGTAGCCTCTACAGGGACTCCCATATCCATCCTTACCCTGCCTGCAGCAACTATCCTTCCTGACCTCTAGTCCATCTCTGGGGACCTTTGCACTCCACTTCCAGAAACACTCCTTCGTCTCACCCTTCAGGTCTCAGCTCACGGTGACATCCTCAGGATCACCACCCTCTAGAGGTCTCATCATGGTACCCTTTCATCATCACCCTCTGAAGTGATATTGAGTCACTTGTTCGCATGGTTCCGCAGGTCTGTGCCTGTACCAAGAGTAACAAGAGGGTTCCTGGGTCTGGCCCGCAGCAAGTGTCAGGGATTGGAAAGCCATCAGGCCTGGTCTCCAGCTCCCCTGGAGGGTGCCAGAGGGTGGGGACAGACCACCTGGTCTCCTCAGACCTGGCTTCCCCTTCCTCGGCCCAGTAGGTGGCAACTACAATCCACTGCACGCGCGGGGCCGGCTCCCAACCCCGAAGGACCGCTGCCTTGGCCAACCGCTGGCATCAGGGATCCTGAGTTCTCCGCCCGCAGGTTGCGGGGTCGCCACAGCTTCGCGCCGGCAGGCCGCTGGAGGCTGCTCTCCGGCCGCGCGCGCTGCCCTTCCCGGTCCTCCCCTCCCGCGACCTCCGGGTCTCACCGCGTGCCTGCGTTTGTTATTGTACGGGCGCCCGCAGCGAAGGCGGGTGCCGAGGCGCGCGGGTTCTGGCGCGTGCCCGTTGACGACGAGCCAGGCGCGCGCTGAGCGGGGGTGAGGGTGGGGGTGGGGCGGGGCTCAACATCCCAGGCGCCCCCTCCCGGCTCGCGATCCCGGATTGGTTCTGACTCCGGGAGCGCGCGAGGGCGCGGCGCTTAGGGCCGTGCTGGGGGCGCGCGCGGCGCCGCGAGCGGCCGCGGAGGAGCGCGGGGAGGAGCGCGGAGGAGGAGCGCGGGGAGGAGGGCGAGGGGAGGGAGGAGACACCCGCCCCGCTCCCTGCAAAGCGGCCTTATTTATCTGGGCACAGCCATAGCCTCCCCGGTGGGAGGCTCGGGCGGCCGATCCTCTCCCACCGGGGAGCTCCGCTCCGGGCGCGGCGGAGGGGGCCCGGCGGGGCGCGGGGCGCGGGGCGCGGCTGGGCTCTGCCCGCCAGTCCAGCACCTCGGCCGCTTCCGAGCTCGCCGGCGCCCATGCTGGGCTCCCTATGACGCGAGGTCGCCGGGCGGACAGCGTGGCATGAGCCAGGAGCCCAGGCCAAGGTAAGGTGTGCGCGCGGGGCCAGGCTGCGAGGCGGGGAGGGGTCCAGGCCAAGCCACGGCTGTGGCCACAATGAGGAGGGGACAGCGTGGGGGCTTAGGACCTCACAGCCGCCGCCGTCGCCAGGAAAAGGCTTACGTAACGGCAGCCCCTTCCCCACTGCACCCCGCAGCCGCTGGGCCTTCAGCCCTACCAGGCCCTCCGTAGCACCTCGCCCCAGAAGCCCGCCTGATCAAGGCCCGCTCCCCAATGGCAACGCGGTCAGAGCTGTGGATCAGTGCTACTGGAGCCGCCAAGAGGAAGCTCCATGCCCCCGCCCCAGGACACAAAATTGCAGATCCCCAGCCCCCACGCTTCCTGGCTGGGTTTTGGACTCTGGGCCCCCTGCTCCAGTGTCCTTAGCCCCTGAGTCTAGTGACAGGTGTTCGATGTAATTAAACTCCAGGAGGAACCATGTGGGTATGTGGCCTGGGGGCTGGTCCCCTCCTGGATACCTTCCACTGACATGGACCTGTATGGAGCTGCCACCCATGATGTGGGGTGGCAGAAGGAGAAGAGGGAGTGGGCTGGCATGTCCCTGGTTTGGGAAGGCCTATTAGGCCTTAGCCAAGGCTGAAGGGCCTTAGATGGGAAACTGGGCACAGGGATCCCATGCCCTCCTGGAGGTTTGGGTGGGTGGGGAAGGCTTCCCACTCACCATCCCAGGAGAAGCCTGACTGTTAGAGCTTCAGAACCCATGGCCCAGCAGTCACTCCTCCGGCCCCTCCTGGCTCCGAGCAGGCAGATTGACCTCTGCAGGAGGACCAGATGGCAGATACCACTTCACCTGCCTCCCTCCCTCAGGCCCCTAGTCCATAGCCATGTTGTCTCTGGTCAGTAGGCAGCTCAAACCTCCATGGTGCTTACTGGACACAGGGCCCTCTCTCCCAGCCGCCCCTTCAATAAAATGCTGGACAGCAGCCTCAGAGCTGAAGGCCTGGGCTGGGCAGGGAGCCTGAAGCTTTGGGGCTGCCCAGGCCAGGGACTGGATGAGGAGCCATCAGGAAGGAAGGGACATTCAAAGCCCAGCTGTAAACGTGGGCAGTGCATGGGGATGCCAGGACTCAACTGGCATTGTTCCTATCACTTCCACTACCTTCTTCTCAACCACTGCTTACCTTGCGCCCAGCCTATCAGCTGAACACCCCACCACAGGGGATGTTCAGGGAGCAGGCCCACCCCTCCAGCCTACACCCACTTTCAAGGTACTGAACAAGTTCTATTCTCCACTGATGAGAGGAAAACAAGTCCCTAGGTAGGAGGGACCTAGGCCCAGGAAACCCTGAACTGCTGAGATGTAGGCACACCCCTACATTCCAGGGTGGAAGAGGGGCTATTCCTCTGGCATGCACTGACTGCTTGCAGAACCTGTCTCCTCCCCTGTGCTATGCCTCCAAGGCTGGTGCAGGGGGGAAGGTAGGGAGGGCAGCAATGGAAGCTCTAGAGGACTAGTGGATAGCCCAGAGCCTTCCCACCAGTAAGTAGTCCAGTAGGAACCAGTGGCTGCACCCACTGCAGAGGGTGCATGCAGACTATGTCTTTTAATTTGGCAAGCACCCAAAGCAGTAGGTACTAGGGGAACTATCCTAAGCCTTGGATGCTCATATTCTTTAGAGCAGGGGAGCCAGATGAGCCTGAATCCAAGGTCCACTCCTTAGCCCTGCATGACTGAGCTGCCCTGGACTTGATCACAGGGCCTCAGTATGCTGGAGCATCTACATAGGTCTGTCTCAAGGCCCATGTGCACCCTGGGCTAAAAGTCTTGTGCACTCCAGAAGCATCTCCAACTGAGGGTGGAAGGTGCTCCCCTCCCACCCTCAACTGGAGACACGTGCAGTGGCAGGGATGTGCCTGAGTCACGGGGTTGTCATGGAATGTGTCAGCCTGCACCGTGCCCCCAATCCCAACTACTGTGGTTGTCACCCTGGTCCATGGGGGCTGCCACTGCAGACAGCCTGATGTGAGTTTTTGGTTACCCATGCCTTGCCTAGCTCCCAGGTCCTCAGCAGGCAGAAGGAGCTGGTCAGTACAAGTTCTCTGGAAGTCACACCTCCCAGAATCCAAGACAGGTTATATCCTGACCTGGTGCTCAGAGATGGGGCTATCAGAGATGGGAGAAGAGTCCCCAAAACTGGGGGAGATAAGAGGCAAGGATGTTGGTGGGCATGCAGATTGCAGCCTCTGGAAAGAGAGCAAGAGGACAGTAGGAATCCTGCCGGGTGAGGCTCAGAGAGACCACTAGCCTGAATCCCAGCAGAACACAGAGAACCCCATGAAGCAGAAGAGGACAGAGCAAGGAGCCATGGATGTGCACCTATGCAGGGGCACTGGGGAGCAGATAGCCTAGAGGTCTTGGGTTAATCACAGCTTTCACAGCTTCTGAAAAATCGCCCTCTGAGCTTTGCTTTCCCAACCCCTGGTCAGGTGGTATGGGAAGAGCTCAGGCCAGCAATGGGAAAGAACTAGGCAGAATTTCCCTTGTCCCTCTCTCCTGGAGGCACCTGCCCTCTTCCCTAGGGTCAGGCCAGATTATGGGGGATGGACAGCCAGTGTCTTTATCCCCATAGCTCCAGAAGGGGGACTTAGCAGAAAAATAGATGCAAGGTGTCTTCTTTCCCCAGGTTCTGCGTATTCCAAGGCCTATCTTAAATCCCCAGGGTCTTGGGAGTCTTCCCAGCGACCACAGTACCAACTCAGTCCCAACCCCAGTGGCCTCCCTTCCCTATGAACACTGATCCCTATCACAACTGTGATTAAGTTCTTGATAGCCTGCCTCCCCTCTCAGTCAGCCTCCTGTTCTCCCTTGAGCCTCTCGGACCTCTGTACAGCCTTGCTAACTGGGCTGCCATTTCTCACCTATACGTGCTGTCTGTTCTCAAGAAGTCCCCAAGCCAGCAAAGAGGTGGATAGTGATGACAGCCCAGGAAGTGGGTGAGACCCTGGAGATGCCCAGTCACGGAGGCAGGAGTGGGGCTCACACCTGCAGCTGGAGTAGAGGAATGGGGGACTGGCTGGGCCAGGTGTGAGGGCTGGAGGGGAGGCTCTGAGGCCTACCTGGGTCTTAGGGCCCAATGACCTGGTAGGCAGAAGAGGTAGCTCCTTGTAGGGCTCCAATATGGCCATCTGTGAATCATAAAACTGCCCAGAGCTGGAGTCCTCTTGGGAGCCCGCAGTGCCCACTGCACTCCTTTAGCTCCTGATGTGACTCTGAGGAGAACAGAGTCCAGTCATCACTCCCCAGGAGCACCCTGATCTGACCCTGGCTTGGGCTCACAAGTTCAGGAGAATAACCACTGCTTCCCTTTCCCCCAGTAGCCCCTCCACAGCCTATTCCAACAGGGAACCTCCCCAGAATTCCACTCTTAACTGACCAGAACACACCAGGACTGCAGTTGTCATGCAAGCTTTGTTGACGTTTTCAAAGCCTCTCTTCCCAGGGTCAGCTCCTAAGGTGCTTGTCCCTAAGGAAGAACCAGCCCTGAACAGCCTGGCAGCTGTGCCTGCACTCCTAGCAGGAAGCTCCAGGCAAGCTCTCAGAGTCACCCTGTTGGAGAGCAGCTGCAGTGCCAAGGCAGGGGGAGAGGGCCTTGGTCACCATCCAGCAGAGTGGCAGGGACAGGCAGAGGGGCCCTTCTTAGAACCCTCCAGGGACCTCTTATCTAACTGGCAGGAAGGCCCCAGTCTCCCAACGTGAGCTCCGCCTTTTCCCAAGGCCTCAGCCCATGGACCCAGGTGTGGTGGAGGCTTCTAGGGCTGGGTTAGTCAGGCCAGGAATGTGAGCAGCCGGAGCCCCCATAGAAAGTGGGCACAAAGTTGGGGAGTGGTGCGCTGTGGTGCAGTTCCAAGCCAGGGCAGAAGGCCTTGGATGGGAGTGTGGGTTGAGGGTCAGTCAGAAGCCATCCTCAGCCTGTTCCTCCCTCCACAGACACTCAGACCACCTTGTTTTCACTAGCTCTACCCTGAGGCCTGAAGGTAGGGATGGGACTTGAGCTCCTGCACATGTGAGCTCCCATGGAGGGACCGCAAGGAGTCCCGCAGATGCCCGGGGCACCCACGTGCGTCCCCCCAATTTGGGTGCTCCACGTGCACACCCGCGGCTGGGAGCATTTTCAGGCTAAATCCGCACAGCTCTTGGAATATTTCTTCCTTGGTGCCGCCTCCGCGCCTCCTCCGGATCCTAGCCGAGCAGGCCGCTTCTCCCCCCGCCCCCCTCCGCCTCTGGGGGCCCCTCCCTGGTGAGCTAGGTTTGCCAGGCTTTGGGTTTATCGGAACCTCCCCCTCAACCCCGTCCTCCTCTGTCAGCGGTGCGGTCGGCCGGCCTGGCCCCCGGGAGCATGCACGGCCGCTGTCCATGGTGCTACAGGCTGGGCGCTGAAACTGGTCCGCGGGAAAGGGTGGAGTCCGGGTGGGTGGGGCATTCTGGACGTGGAAACCAGGGCGCCCTGGGTCTAGGGAGCAGGGGGCCCATTCTGGGGACATGGCATATATTCAGCCGGGGGCTGCCTCTCCATTCTCTGTACAACTTCCAGAACGGCCTTGCTGGGGCAGGAGTGGAGGCGGTCGCGGGCCTCACCCTGGTCCTTAGGGGGTGCTGCTGTCCTACCGTGGTCCACATTTCCCTGTACTGACACTGGAGTAGCTCTGTGTTAGGCCTCCTCCACAACTGTGATGACACTGTGACTCACCAGCACCTCAAGTTCCTTATCTGAAAACTGGGGTACCAATAATGGCCACCCCCCCCCCACCTCCCTCTGCCTCCCACGGTGGTTCCTGTTCTCTTGGAAACTGTGGGGGATAGACAGACAGCGTCCTCAGTCCTGCAGCTCTAGATGGAAGATGGCCAAAAGGGGGACAGGAACTGTTCTCTTCCTGAGGGTCTGCATATTGTATCCACCCCAAGCCTTGGGAAGTCCTTAGGATTCTTCTCAGACACTACTATGGTGGTTCTGTGAGACTTCTGTGAGGTGATGGCCCATCTTCATCAGGCAGGAGGAGAAGGGAGAACTGGAGCAGCTCCTGCCCTTCCTCTGAGACTGTGGGGCAAGAAGATGGGGACCTGCATGTAGGTTCCTGCTTGGTCCCGGGGTCACCTACAGACCCAAGAAGGTAGATCATGCATTGTTTTTGGTTCTGCCCTGAGGCCCAAAAGCTAACTCCAGGTCGCTGTCCAAGATTTACTGGGCACCATGCAGGGGTTGAAGTGAGGAAATGGAGGCTCTGAAAAGGCCAGTGGCTACCTGAGACCACAATTCAAAGTGGGGCCTGTTTGGGGTCCAGGGTATGGGACCTCAAGTGTGTACCAGTGAGACCTCTGGGTGTTCTGCTTCCTCAATGGATGTTGGATGGGGGTGAGCAGGAGCAGATGATGGCACTGTGAGTCTCACTGTTTCCTCCCACCATAGCTTTCTGTGCTGTGTCTTGTGCCACCCAGTTATAGCCCTGAGGGCCTGAGGAGGGGAGCTGGACTAGGTGTGGCCTTACTCTCATCCTGTGGGCAATGACCCTGGCCTGAGAAGAGTCTTCCTTGGGGCTCTCATCAGCCAGCTGTGGTCCAAACTTTGACTCCATCATTTAACTGATCATAGCCTCAGACAAGCAATTCACCTAACCTTGGCCTTGTCTTCCTCATCCATACAATGTATACAGTCACCACAGCACTATCCTCATCAGCATAGGTGAAGAATTATAGAAAAAGCATGTGTTGGACTGGGATGTAGCTCAGTGGCACAATGTTAACCTTGCATTCCCAGAGCCCTGGGTTCGACCCCCAGTTCCAATAAATAAATAAATAGTGTGTCCAGGGCTCACCATGCTGGGGAAAGCAGCTTCTCTCTCTCTCTCTCTGGGCAGACCCTGAGGCTCAGAAGGGTACAAGAGGCCCTTCAGAGAGCTGTGCTGGCATCCTGTAGAGGTGGGTTGCCAGAGACTGCCCCAAACTCTATCCTCAGTTTCTCAGTCCCTGACCAGTAGAGTTAGGGTCCTGGTGATAGGCAGAGGAACACAGGTGAAGGGAGTGGTCAGGGACTTCATCTCTCCACCTCCATTCTCTCATGTGTGAAATGGGAATAAGCATCCAAGAGTACCATGAGCAGAGCAGGTTGAGTTAGTGCACACAGTAGGTGCTAAATGAGTACAGAGATCATTGCCTCCCCTTGCTGCACTCAACCAGGGAAGTACACACTTAGAGCTTGGTTCTAGGAGTACCATGGTGGGGGGCACCCAGGGATGGGAAGGAGCAGGCTTCCTCAGCCTTCCCAGAGACTATCAGACTCACTTGCCCCTCTTGGCCTGTCTGCAGAACATTCGAGGAAGATGTCGAGCCCCGGTATCAACGGCGACCCCAAACCTCCATGCTTGCCTCGAAATGGCCTGGTAAAGCTGCCGGGCCAGCCCAATGGCCTGGGAGCAGCCAGCATCACCAAGGGCACTCCTGCTGCCAAGAACCGTCCCTGCCAGCCACCGCCCCCACCCACCCTTCCACCTCCCAGCTTGGCCTCCCCGTTGTCCCGGGGCACACTTGCTGGGGGCCCCTGCCCCCTGGCAGGTGGACCAGCCTCAGCCTCGGTGCCTGGACCCCCAGCAGAGCGGCCGCCACTGGCCACAGATGAGAAGATCCTCAACGGCCTCTTCTGGTACTTCTCAGCATGTGAGAAGTGCGTGCTAGCCCAGGTGTGCAAGGCCTGGCGGCGTGTGCTCTACCAGCCCAAGTTCTGGGCAGGCCTCACACCTGTACTGCACGCCAAGGAGCTCTACAACGTGCTGCCTAGTGGTGAGAAGGAGTTCGTGAACCTGCAGGGCTTCGCTGCACGTGGCTTTGAGGGCTTCTGCCTGGTTGGGGTCTCTGACCTGGACATCTGTGAGTTCATCGACAACTATGCGCTCTCCAAGAAGGGGGTCAAGGCCATGAGCCTCAAGCGCTCCACCATCACGGATGCTGGCCTAGAGGTGTGCCCCCAAAGTGGTCCAGGTGGCAGGGACAGGCAGCAGAGCTGTATGGGTGTGGAAGGGTATGGAGCACAGAGGAAGCTTAGCACAACAGAGAACAAAGAAGAATATCATTGCCCTAAGGAGGAGCACTGCCAGGGGTCAGGGAGGACTGGCTACATAGTTTGTGGGACCTGATGCAAAGTGAAAATGTGGATGCTTATTCAGAGATGATTAAGAATCTCAAGATGAGCTAGGTGAGGTGATGTATGCCTATAATCCCAGCAGCTCAAGAGGCTGAGGCAGGAGGATCACAAGTTCAAAGCCAGCCTCAGCAATTTAGTGAGGCCCCTAAGCAATTTTGCAAAACTTTGTCTTGAAATAAAAAATAGAAGGGGCTGGCTCAGTGGTTAAGTGCCCCTGGGTTTAATCCCTGGTACCAAAAAAAGAAAAAAAGAATTTCAAGGGGGCAACAGCAGAGCAATTAAGTATGAGACTGAGAAGGAAAGTCACTTTTCACTGGCCTTGGGTGGGTAGGATGCTGGAGGGAGGTGAAAGGTAGTTGAGGAAGGGTCTCCTATTAGCAAAGGTCAGAGGAGCAGTGAACAACCTGCCCAGTCCCCACTATCTGGACTATACCAACTGATCTGAGCACCTACTCTGGTAAAGCCATGGCTCCTGGGGCCCCTGTGCCATGCCCCTCTTTGGAATGTTGTTGAGGTGTTACACTATAAGTGCAGTCCTCAGAGTTCAACATACTTGCACAAGTCCACACCCAAGAGACTACTGCTTCCTGGCTCCCAGCAGCTCATTCCAACCCATCTCAGGCAATCCTCACCACACCCTGAGGGAGGAGCCTACTGGGGAGGGTTGGGGAGCAGAGCCAGGCATGGCCCTGACCTGTGCTGCCCACAGGTGATGCTGGAGCAGATGCAGGGCGTGGTGCGCCTGGAGCTGTCGGGCTGCAACGACTTCACTGAGGCAGGGCTGTGGTCCAGCCTCAGTGCGCGGATCACCTCGCTGAGCGTGAGCGACTGCATCAATGTGGCCGACGACGCCATCGCGGCCATCTCGCAGCTGCTGCCTAACCTGGCGGAGCTGAGCCTGCAGGCCTACCACGTGACGGACACGGCGCTGGCCTACTTCACGGCGCGGCAGGGTCACAGCACGCACACGCTGCGTCTGCTCTCTTGCTGGGAAATCACTAACCACGGCGTGGTCAACGTGGTGCACAGCCTGCCCAACCTCACAGCACTCAGCCTCTCAGGCTGTTCAAAGGTCACCGATGATGGTGTTGAGCTCGTAGCGGAGAACCTACGCAAGCTGCGCAGCCTCGACCTGTCGTGGTGCCCTCGCATCACAGACATGGCTCTAGAGTATGTAGCCTGCGACCTGCACCGCCTGGAGGAGCTTGTGCTGGACAGGTGCGCATGTCCCCGCACCCACTGCAGGGTCACCATGTACCAGAAGCCTAGAGTGGGTGGGTCTGAGTCCATGGGCTTCTGGTGTGGGTGAGGCTGCTGAGGGGACAGACAGTGACAGATTATGGTGTAGTGGGCAGCACCAGCGAGAGCAAAGTGCCAATAGTCGGGGGAACTACAGCAATGTTTGGTTGAACCCAAATCCTTCCCAGAAGCTAGTGCTAGGACGTGCGGGGGCGGGGTATTGAAGAGGGGTGGGCTACAGGATGGTGGGGCCATCATGGGTGAGGTGGGGGTTTGTGCTAGGGACAAGGTGGGGTAGGGGGTAGGGCGCAGCAGTTTAGGGGGCGGGTGAAGTGATTTGAAGGTGGGCAGTCCCCCTCTGGTGCCACCACAGGTGTGTACGCATCACGGACACTGGCCTCAGCTATTTGTCCACCATGTCATCCCTCCGCAGCCTCTACCTGCGATGGTGCTGCCAGGTACTGGACCTTCATGCCTTCTGTGATAGGGGGATAGGCGGGCGTGGTGGGGGGTGAGGGGAAAGCACCAGTCCAGCCTGCTTACCTTTTTCCGGCCCCACTCAGATCCCACAGGGGTCTAAGATCCATCTGTACCCATTAGCGAACCTAGACAGAACAGGTGGGGACCCCAGGGTCCTCAACAGCACTTCCCAGCCTCTGGCTGGTGGGAGGGGGGGCGTTGAGAAACCTCCATCTTGAACCCTGCCTCCAGCAACTCCTGAGGCTCCAGGTTCAGTTAACTTGCCCTCTCCCACTTTTGCCCAGGTGCAGGACTTCGGGCTGAAGCACCTCCTGGCTATGAGGAGTTTGCGTCTCTTGTCTCTGGCAGGTGAGACCCTCCCCCCCCTGCATGCCTCCCAGGCAGGGTCCACTACACTCATCTAGTCCTCCCTTGTGCGGATTCACACCTGACTTTGGCTGGCTGAGTTGCAGGTTCAAGTTAGGAGAGGGGCAAGCTGTAGTCCATCTCAGGCAACGCGGGGCTCCTCCCAGAGCCACTCGGCCGAAGGAGGCCCCTGCCACTCAGCAAGGACCTAAGAGCCCAGCATGGGCCTCTCCCACTCAGCTCAAGGCCCATCCACAGAGTGCTGGCCCGCGGGGTCCCAGTTTTCTGTCTGGCAAAGCTGAGCCCCACCATTGTTTCCACTGGTTTGATTCAGGCTGCCCACTGCTGACCACCACGGGGCTGTCGGGCTTGGTGCAGCTGCAGGAGCTGGAGGAGCTGGAGCTGACCAACTGCCCGGGAGCCACACCTGAGCTCTTCAAGTACTTCTCGCAGCACCTGCCCCGCTGCCTAGTCATCGAGTAGCGCTGGGCTCCCACCCAGGCCTTGGGAACCCGCCACACTCTGGGCGGGGCGAGGGGCTCTTCCAGGCCCCTCAGTGGACCTTGCCCAGCAGCCGCGTATGATCCCACGCGGGAGGCGGGACGAGTTGAGGACAGCCCCGCCCCGCGCCGCCCTCGGCCCCCTCCGCTCCTCTTTCTGTCCGCCCCGGGCAGGGGACGACCGGGCCAGCCCCACGCACGCACGCACACTCGGGGACTTTGTGCATGCCCCTCGTGCCCGCACTGCACGCCCGCCCTCCACCACGCCACAGCCGCCGCCATCACTCGCCCGCCCCGCTGCGGGGCTCGGTCCCTGGGGGGCACTCTGAGCCCACCCGCCCCCCTCCCCCGCCGCTGCCTTCCCTGCCACACCCCGCTCTCTGCCTCCCTGCTGTCCCCCATCCCGGGCAGGGCCCAGAGGATTGGGGGGCTGGGTCCCCCAGGACTTAGGGGCCCGGAAGAGCCTCAAGGACCTTCAACATCTTCCACTGCACGGCGCCTGGAGCCCTCTCTCTTAGGGGCGAGGGGACTCAGGCCACTGCCAAAGCCATGGCCCGATGAGGAGCCCAACTCCAAGCCCCTCCTCCTCCCCCATGCCTGCCCAACACAAGGGGCCTTTTTCCCTTACTGTTGAGTGGGCAGTTCCTGTTGGCTTCCCCCCCCCCCCCCCCCCCAACCCCACCGCCGCCCACACTGGCCTTTTACAGATCCTTGGCCCCTGGCCCCTAGGATAGCATTGAGATGACTATGACCTTGGAATAGTCAACATTAGCCCAACCTAGTGCAGCCCACCTCAGTCCAGGAGCGGTACAGGCACCTAGAGAGACCCTAAGTTGGAGTCATCCTTGGGGTTGTCAGGCTTGGGAGCAGTCTTGCCCAGCCACAGCCCTGCGCCAGTGGGGCTCAGGCCTGTCAGCACCGCGATTCATCCTGGGCAAGTTTGTGCAGAAGCGGGCCCAGACAAGGGGTCAGGATCAGCACTGACCAGCGACTCTGATCTTCCAGTGGCCAGCACACCATCCACACTCTGCAAGGAGGGAGGGCTCCATTCTAGCCCCACCCCATTTGCCCCTCCCCAGTTTCCCAAACCTCTGCCTGCCCAAATGGGCTCCAACCATGTCCCGTGTCCTGTCTGATCCCAAGAAGTTTGGAAGTTCTGGGGGATGCTGGCACATCTTGACAATGCTGAGGAGGGGGCTGGGACCCCTTTCCATCCCAACCTTGATCCCCAGATTTAGCATCCACACCAATCTTGGGACACCCCTATTTGGTTGGAAGGGAGTAACCAGTTTTCAGAGAGCCAGAGAGTGAAAGAGCGAGAGAAAGAGAGCGAGTGAGAGAGAGAGATGCTGTTGAAGCAGAGAAACAGTTCAACAGCCCAAAGAGTTCCCTGCCCCCGAGTGCCGAGGAGGCTCCATGTGGAAGTGGTCAGGAGCCAGTTTCTTCAGGCCCTCCTCCCATAGCCCCCCCAGTAGGGAGGGGGCAGCTGTCCATTTGCCCAAAGTATTAATGCAACTGAAGCTGTGATATTTCCAACGACTGTAGGAGGAAAATTTAAGGGGAGAAAGGAAAACAAAACCAACCAACCCCTAAAATCATTTTCTTATTGTACATAACGACCTCATTCTCCTGTATATGCGGAAGATATAACCTTATATTTGGTAAGTGTTTCTTGTGCTATTTTATCACGTGACCTGTTTATAAAAATATATATTAAAAAAAGTTGTAAAAATATGAGTCTGGGTTGTGTTCAGGTCACCACATGATAGTGCAGGAGGTTGTATCTGCTGTGGGTGGTCCTGGTCTCTAGACTCTCAAGCACCTCTGGATTCATCAGATGTTTGTCTTTACAACAAATATGTAGAGGCTGCATGCCCCTGCCAAGAATAAAAACTCGGCAGTGATAAGCACAGAAGTTCCCTAACCCTCTACTGCATACAGGCAGGGATGGCACTAAAATCATTACCATAATATTCCCACAAAAATATTTAGGGTTAGCAGGGTGCATTGGCCCATGGCCTCGAATACCAGCAGCTCCCAAGAGGCTGAGGCAGGAGCACTGCAAATTTGAGGCCAGTCTTGGCAACTTTTTTTTTCCTGTCTCAAAAGGAAAAAAAAAAAAAAGGCTGGGGATATAGCTCAGTGGTTGAGCACCTGGGTTCAATCATCAGTAATACAAGGGGAAAAAAAGTAAGTATCTAGGATCTAGCCCACCACCTATCCAGAAAGGCAGAAATGAACCTTTTGTCCTGTGCACAGGATAGCTGAGATTAAGCAGGGGCGAGGATGTCTCAAGAGATGGCACTGTGAATTGGCAAGTTAATTTACTCCCAGAAGAGTAAGGGAGGCTGCAGGTGAACAGGGCCACCAACTGAATGGGCAATGTCAGGCCCTGGGAGATGGAATCCCTCTGTGGTGGCCCTCACACCTCTGTGTGACAGACAACTACCAGTGAACAAAGGAGCAGGCTGTGACAAGCGCTGGGGAGGCGACTGTGACTGGTCAGGCCCCGTTTGATATGGTGCTAGAGAAGGCAGAGGCTGAGCATTGAAGGATAAGAAGGGCGGAGCTGGCGCTCTGTTAACTGGACGTGGGCGCCTGGAAGGGGACCGCGCGGCACTGCTGCGGAGTCCGGAGTCTGAGGTTTATTGGCAGTGCGGTAGGAGGCCCCAGGAAAAAGAGGGACCGGACTGCCGCGCGGGGTTCAGACGGGAACCCGGACAGGCGGGGATACTGCTCCCGCGAGCTGAGGGAGGGAGGAGGGTGGAGGAGCCCGGCATGACAGACTCCGCTGAAGAACCTGAGCAGAGAAATACGCACCGCTATCACAGAACTGAGATTGAAATAAGAAACACGCCTGCCACTCCAGCGACGCCGAAGGCTGAGGCAGGAGGGTCGCAAGTTCAAGGCTCCAACCCGGGCCGCTTAGCAATACCCTGTTTCAAAATTTTAAAAAAGAGGGGGCGCTGGGGATGAAGCGCAGAGGAAGAGAGCCCCTGGGTTCAATCCCCATTACCGCAAGAGAAAAACGAATTAAGAAATACAGGAACAACTATCGAGGCGGAACCGGAGAGCCCGCAGGCCCGTGTCTGGGCTGCTCCGGGACCCTCCACCCGTACTGCGCCCTGACCCGGAACTATTATGGTGTGGGCGAGAGTTCCTGCCCGCTTCCGGCGAGGGGCGAGTAAATAACGGACCACTTCCGGCGAGGGGCGTGATGGAGACGGATGGGTTCCCCACGCCACGGTGTGCTGCCGGTACATGACTGGAGTGCTGAGGGGAAGGCCACCGGCCTTGAGCAGCTCTGTTCCCTGGGTCCCTTCAGCCCTCTGCCTCCTCCCCTCGTTTGCGCCTCTCCGGAGCCCCGCTGCCTCGGACGCCCCGGGCTGACGGGTGTGGACTGCGGGAGCCACTTGGCTCCCCTGCGGAAATCGACTGACCTGCGGTCCAATGGCGCAATCACGGGAGGTGGCTGTTGGAGAGATGAGTGCCTTTGGCCAGAACCAGCCATATAAGGTCTTCTGGGGAGGTCAGACGTGGGACTAACCAGGCTTAGGGCAGCAGCGGAGTCTTCTGGCAGATTCTGGTGGTTTGGAATTCTCCTGTGATGTTGACTAGCTGATGGACTGCCTTGGTCTAGACAGCAAGTTTGACCAGCCCAGGCAAAGCAGTGAAAGGTCTGAACTGATTCGACAGACACCAGACTGACTAGACCAGCCTTCTTCACTGATCTCCTGACCCCACCACCAGTCTAGCCATGGAGAAGATGTCCCGTGTGACAACAGCCCTAGGTGGCAGTGCACTGACAGGCCGCACCATGAACTGCCACTTGGATGCTCCAGCCAATGCCATCAGCGTCTGCCGTGATGCAGCCCAAGTAGTCGTGGCAGGCCGCAGCATCTTCAAGATCTACGCAATAGAGGAGGAACAGTTTGTAGAAAAGCTGAACCTCCGTGTGGGCCGCAAGCCCTCACTCAACCTGAGCTGTGCTGATGTGGTCTGGCACCAGATGGATGAGAACCTGCTGGCCACAGCAGCCACAAATGGTGTGGTGGTCACATGGAACCTGGGTCGGCCATCCCGCAACAAGCAGGACCAGCTGTTCACAGAACACAAGCGCACAGTGAACAAAGTCTGCTTCCACCCCACTGAAGCCCATGTGCTGCTCAGCGGCTCCCAGGATGGCTTCATGAAGTGCTTTGACCTCCGAAGGAAGGACTCTGTCAGCACCTTCTCGGGTGAGGCCCACAGAGGCAGGTCAGGGCAGGTGTGTGACTCTGCAGGTACCTGTCTAGGCAAGCTAAGAAGTGCTTTGTGCACCAGAGGCTCTCAGATGCACTCCTGGAAATAAGCCAGAAGTAGAAGAGTGGATGGGGGCAGGCCTGGGTGAGGTGTGAGCCAGAGCATCAATAGTGGGGAAGAGGCAAGAGGCAGGACTACCAGGAATTGAGGCTGGGTGAGGCATGAGAGAGGGCATAGCCCCACAGACTCAGCCCAGCTCCAGGTTACCTCATTGCAGGATGTCTACCAGAACCTCCAAGGTTCCCAGCACAGGGATGTGGAGGAGGTGAAGTACACTGTCTAGTCCTTGCAGGGCCATCCCTGAGCCTGCTATCACTTGTCCACCTTGATGAGACCAGGTGAAGCACAAGGCAGAGCCCTGGGGCCTTGGAGAATTTGTGGGCTTCTTAAGACAGATCATGAGCTATCTGTGTCAGAAAAAGGCTGAACACTGCCCTCCCAGGCTCTTGGTGTGGTGGATTTGTAGGGCAGATGTGGTCCCTTGTCCTCTAGTCCTTTGGGCTGTCCAGGCAGCTCCAGCCCTAGGTAAAAAGGTTGGATTCCTTGGTTCTCCTACAAGCCATGGCATCCAGGGGAGTTGAGCAGATAGCCAGGTGGAGTTTCTGTTTTCCAGTACTCTGAAACTCAGTTTTACCAAGGACTAATGCAACATGCAGATTCCAGGGGAAATAGGCCTGGGAGTTTGTGCAAAAAACCCACCCTAGGAAGACCCTGGGGGCAGTCCTTTTTGCACTCTTGGCCATCTGGCCAGAGGCAGGTGTGTGACACCATCCCACAGCCACTCCAAGTGCTGCCCCCCACACACACCATAGGCCAGCTCCCTCACCTCTGCTTCCAATGATGCCCTGCCTGCAGGCCAGTCTGAGAGTGTACGGGATGTCCAATTCAGCATCCGAGACTACTTTACTTTTGCCTCCACCTTTGAGAATGGCAATGTGCAGCTCTGGGACATCCGCCGTCCTGACAGATGTGAGAGAATGTTCACAGCTCACAATGGGCCTGTCTTCTGCTGTGACTGGCACCCCGAGGACAGGTGTGGTCTGGGCTGCAGGGACCACAGGGCTGAAGGCCTGTGAGAGAGTGGGGAGTGGCAGGGCTTGGGGGGGTCCCTTCTCTCTTAGGAGAAGTCACTGAGGGTTTGGGGGCCTTCCTACAGGGGCTGGCTGGCCACAGGTGGGCGTGACAAGATGGTGAAGGTCTGGGACATGACCACGCCTCGTGCCAAGGAGATGCACTGCGTGCAGACCATCGCCTCTGTGGCCCGAGTCAAGTGGCGGCCCGAGTGCCGCCACCACCTGGCTACGTGCTCCATGATGGTAGATCACAACATCTACGTGTGGGATGTGCGCCGGCCCTTTGTGCCAGCTGCTATGTTCGAGGAGCACCGTGATGTCACCACAGGCATTGCTTGGCGCCACCCACACGACCCCTGCTTTCTGCTCTCAGGCTCCAAGGACAGCACGCTGTGCCAGCATCTGTTCCGTGATGCCAGCCAGCCTGTGGAGCGTGCCAACCCTGAGGGCCTGTGCTATGGCCTCTTCGGGGATGTGGCCTTTGCAGCCAAGGAAAGCTTAGTGGCTGCTGAGTCTGGACGCAAGCCCTATGCTGGCGACCGGCGCCACCCCATCTTCTTCAAGCGCAAGTTGGACCCTGCTGAGCCCTTTTCTGGCCTTGCTTCTAGTGCTCTCAGTGTCTTTGAGACAGAGTCTGGTGGTGGCAGCATGAGTTGGTTTGTGGACACAGCTGAGCGTTATGCTCTGGCTGGCCGGCCATTGGCCGAGCTCTGTGACCACAATGCAAAGGTGGCTCGGGAGCTAGGCCGTAACCAGGTAGGTAGGGCTGGGCTGCGGGGAAGTGGGGGTGCAGGGGCCATGACTTTGGGGTAGGGATCGGCTGCTCTGCCAGCTGCATCCCCATCCCAAGATCAGCACCAACCCTTGTCTTAGTAACAGGGTGTCAAGATCACATAGGCAGAGTGGACCAGATCCTGGGGCTGCCCTCTTGGAGGTAGAGGTCTAAGGAGTCACAGTTGATGCTGTCACCATTTGGGCATGTGCTCCATGCCTTCCTCTTGGTGCTGCACCTCTTAACAGCACCTAGCCCTCCTGAAGAGAGTGCCTGCTCTGTGCCAGTCTCTCACCCTTGGGTCACTCTGCTCATCTTCACATTGGCTGCCTCCTGGTTTTGCTTCTTCTGCTTCCCATGGGCTACATTTTCCCCAGTATGGTTGGGGCAGGATATTGGGATATTGGTGTGATTCTATTCAGGCAGGGGGTGGTGTGTGTCTGGGGTGTTGGGTGCCCAGGACCCTCTGAGTGGCTGGTGCCTGCCCCTAGGTGGCGCAGACATGGACCATGCTGCGGATCATCTACTGCAGTCCTGGTCTTGTGCCGTCTGCCAGCCTTAACCACAGTGTGGGTAAAGGCAGCTCCTGTGGCCTGCCACTTATGAACAGGTAGGTGTCTAGGGCTAGCTCTCCCCAGGGGGTGGGGCTACTGGAGCCCAGCCACCCATGAGCCTTTCCTGTCCCCAGTTTCAACCTGAAGGATATGGCCCCAGGGCTAGGCAGTGAGACACGGCTAGACCGGAGCAAGGGGGACACACGGAGCGACACGGTTCTGCTTGACTCCTCAGCCACACTCATCACCAATGAGGGTAGACTGGAGGGCAGGTGGGGATGCTGGCAGGAGTGAAGCTGAGGCACTCCACAGCAAACCACCCCTGAATGTCCTCCCTCCCTCACGGGCAGATAATGAAGAAACTGAGGGTAGCGATGTACCTGCTGACTACTTGTTGGGTGACGTTGAGGGTGAGGAGGACGAGTTGTACCCACTGGACCCAGAACATGTGCACCGTGAGTGGGGGCTTTGGTAGGGTGGAGGGAGGTGGCGGGTAGGGCAGAAGCCTAGGCCTACAACATGCCCACTGTGAGTGGGAGCTGGGCAGACTGGGGGTTTGGGGAGTGCAGGGAGGCAGTGGGGTGGCCTAGGCCCACTTGCCTGACCCTGCCTCCCAGCCGAGGAGCCCGAGTACGTGCTACCACAGGAAGCCTTCCCATTGCGCCACGAGATTCTGGACACACCTTCTGGGCCCGAGCACCTGCAGGACAAGGCCGACTCACCACACGTGAGCGGCAGTGAGGCAGATGCAGCCTCTCTGGCACCTGTGGACTCTTTCTCCCTCCTCTCCATCTCCCATGCGCTCTATGACAGCCGCCTGCCAACGGACTTCTTTAGTGTGTTGGTGTGTGACATGCTGCGCTTCTATGCTGAGCAGGGTGACGTGCAGATGGCTGTGTCTGTGCTCATTGTGCTGGGTGAACGGGTGCGCAAGGACATTGATGAGCAGACCCAGGTGTGTGCTGGGGTGGGGAGGGTCTTCCTAGAAAAGCTCCCATGCCCTAGGCTGTCTGACCATCCTGACCTCCTTGGGTCTCCCTGCAGGAGCACTGGTACACATCCTACATCGACCTGCTGCAGCGCTTCCGCCTCTGGAACGTGTCCAACGAGGTGGTCAAGCTGAGCACCAGCCGTGCGGTCAGCTGCCTCAATCAGGCGTCCACCACACTGCATGTCAACTGCAGCAATTGCAAACGGCCCATGAGCAGCCGTGGCTGGGTCTGCGACAGGTGGGGCAGTGTGGGTTGGGGGGACCCAGGGACACGTGGGCAACCCAGGAGGCCCCAGCTGAGGCATCCCCCACCCCCAGGTGCCACCGCTGTGCCAGTATGTGTGCTGTCTGCCACCACGTGGTCAAGGGTCTGTTCGTGTGGTGCCAGGGCTGCAGCCACGGAGGCCACCTGCAGCATATCATGAAGTGGCTGGAGGGCAGCTCTCACTGCCCTGCTGGCTGCGGCCACCTCTGCGAGTACTCCTGACCCAGCGCCGGCCCGCAGCTCCAGTGCCGGGGTGGAAGGGGACCAGACTTGTGAACGCAATAAAATAAGTGGGAGCTGAAGTTGCTGCTTATCCCCGAACGTACCGCGGGCGGGCGGGCGGGCGCTGTCGCCGTGGCCACAGGCGAAGCCTCCACACCACCTTCCGGGGCGGGGCGGGGGCGGGCCATGTAGGCTTCCGGCCGTTGCCATGACGACAGTTCGGTCGGGCGCTGGCTCCCAGCGTGCTTCGCGAGGCTCATGGCGCGGGGGCCGCGGGCGCTCCTGCTCGTGCTGGCGGCGCTGGCTCGACCTGGCTCCGGCTCCTGGGAGGCGGGCGGCGGGGGATGGTGAGCGGCGCGGGCGGGAGGGCGCGCTGGGCGGCGGGGCACGGGCGGCGCTGACCGGGCTGTGCCCGCAGGCGGCTGGGCGGGCCGGCGGCGGCGGCCGTGGCGGAAGAGGAGCGCTGCACCGTGGAGCGTCGGGCGGACCTCACCTACGCCGAGTTCATGCAGCAGTACGTGCGCTCAGAGCCCGGGAACGGCTGGCTCGGCCCGCAGCGCGCGGGGGGGCGGGTACAGGCGTGCGCCGAACCTGAGCGCGGCTCCTCCTTCCGCAGGTACGCCTTCCTCAGGCCGGTCATCCTGCAGGGGCTCACGGACAACTCGGTGAGTGCTGGCGCCCGCCGCGGGCCGCCGGCTCTGCCCGCCCTGCCGCTAAGCCTTCTGCTGGTTCCCGCAGAGGTTCCGGGCCCTGTGTTCCCGAGAAAGGCTGCTGGCTTCTTTTGGGGACAATGTAGTGAGGCTGAGCACTGCCAACACCTACTCCTACCGGAAAGGTGAGCTTCCACACCAAGGGGGACCAATATGCTTAGTCTTGAACGCAGAATCACCCGGTCCTGACCAGTGTTTTTCCCCATAGTGGATCTGCCCTTCCAGGAATACGTTGAGCAGTTGCTACACCCTCAGGATCCTGCCTCCCTGGGGAACGGTGAGCCAGACCTGATAGCAGAGGTATGGGACACTTGGGAGTCCCCGGGTGCCAGATCCTGGCACCCGGGGACTTCCTTCTTTGCTGGCAGACACCTTGTACTTCTTTGGGGACAACAACTTCACTGAGTGGGCATCGCTCTTTCGGCACTATTCACCACCCCCGTTTCGTCTTCTGGGAACCACCCCTGCCTATAGCTTTGGAATCGCGGGTAGGTGCTCTTTGGGAGTCATGTGTGAGGGTGTGTGGCAGCCAGTGCAGGTTGTTTTAGTCACCAGCTGCTCATAACTGACTCCACAGGAGCTGGCTCTGGGGTGCCCTTCCACTGGCATGGGCCGGGGTTCTCGGAGGTCATCTATGGCCGCAAGGTCTGTACAGGCTGAGGGCTGAGGCTTGAGGCTTGGGACTTGCTGGCTACAAGACCCAATAGTGACTTCATGCTCCTGCCAGCAGCGTTGGTTCCTCTACCCACCTGAGAAGGCACCAGAGTTCCATCCCAACAAAACTACACTGGCCTGGCTGCAGGACACATACCCAGCCCTGACATCATCAGAGCGGCCCCTGGAGTGTACCATCCGAGCTGGTGAGGTCAGTGACAAGTAGGGGGACCAGGCCAGGCCCAAAGGTGCCCAATCTTTATGCTCCACATCCCCCACCAGGTGTACCATCTGGGCCAGTGAGATTAGTGGCTGGCAGCAGGGGCCAGACCCAAAGTTCCCTGACTAATCCTCTCTGGTCCAACCCTCAGGTGCTGTACTTCCCTGACCGCTGGTGGCATGCCACTCTCAACCTGGACACCAGTGTCTTCATCTCAACCTTCCTTGGTTAGTCAGAGCAGGCAGCTGGTGAGCTTGTCATACACCAGCACGTGCCCCTGTAGTGCTCACAGATTTTATTACAGAGACAGTGGCAGCAGCAGGGGCCTCAGCCCAGCCCACCCTCACCTGCTTTTCCTGCCCAGAAAGGGACAGGGGAGGCTCATGGCCCAGCAAGGGCTATGCTGAAAGAGGGAGCAGTCCAGAGCCCACCAGCAGAACTGATGGGGATGGGCCCAGAGACACAAACTATGTACAGGTTCTGGGGCTTCTGCCTCAGGACCCTCTGGGGCGAGGTCCTCAGTAGTCCTCCACCCAGCCGTTCTCAGAGATGAATGCATCGATGACTTCCTTCATGGCCAGGTTGGGGATGAGCTGTTCCTGGGTCAGGGGGCTCCGAGTCACAGGGTCAAAATGGCCCACACGCTGCAGTTACAACAGGGTCAGGGGGCTCAGTGTGCTGGAGCTGCGCCTCTAGCCCTGGTCCCCAGGCCCATGGCCTTACCTGCAGATGCTCCTCAATGTCTTTGCGGTCATAAGTGATGCCACTTGGCGTGATGCAGGGTTCCCGCATCAGCTCAAAGCTGATCTTTCCACACAGGTAGTCAGGGATGTCTCGTTTCTGTAACATAAGAGCAGTATCAAAGATAGGAAGAGACACTGTTCTAGTACCTTCGATTCTCAGGCTTCAGGGAATAGATGCTCACCTTTCTCTTCTCGTCTACCTGAGAGAAGAGCTCATCCATGTCCGCCATGTATTTGTCCTGTGAAGAGTGGAGCATGTGTGGGCCACGCGCAGGCACACAACCCAACATCAGTCGGGGGTACCCTCTGTCTCACACACACACCCCAACACACACACATGGGCCAGGGGCACCCTCACGTGCTTGGCCTCGATGCAGGCTTGCTGGGCACGGACGTGGCCATCATCCTCATCACCTTCGTGGTTCCGCTGACACTCCTCCAGCTCCCTAAGGGTTGACCAGGAGCTGGTCAAAACGGACCTGGGCAGATGTCAGAGCCCACCCAGCCTTGGGCATCTTCCCCCAGCTTCCTCTGTGCCACCTTAGCTTTCAATAAACACCTGTGCTGGTGACTCAGTTTAACCCAAGAAGGCAGCCTGACAAGGAGCGGGAGGGGCCCACCTCTCGCGCTCTGCAGTGATGAGCCGTGAGAGGTAGGCATGCAGCTCGCTCTCCTGGTGGATGCGCCGCTCCTCGATGCTATTCCAGCGTTTTTTCTTGGCGATGCGCAGAGCACTAGGGATGTCATCCCCAAAGTTGAGCCGCTGCTCCTTGGCCAAGCTGTAAGCTGGGAATGGAGATTTAAGATTAGTCTGGCCAGCCCATCCCTGGGGCCCCAGGTGCCCAAGGCAAGGCAGGGTGTTGGCCCACCTCGCTGCAGATTGGCAATGGCCTCGTCGTAGCTCTCCATCTCCAGCTGGCACTGACCCAGAAAGAAGTGTGCCTTCACGGACTGCCCATCCAGCTCCAGGGCTCGCCGACAGTCGGCCAGAGCCTGCTCTGGCTGCTGCATCTTCAGGTAGCACAGGGCCCGGTTGGTATAGTACACTGCCACCAGGGGGTTCCGAGTCTGGGGACCAAGGCCAGCACGAGAGGGTGTGGGCCCGCCTTGCCCTTCTGCCCCAGCAAGCTGACAACCCCATGTCCCAGGTCCAGTCCCGGCTTTGGGGCCATGGCTGGAGTCGAGAAACTAAAGGTTTCTCAGCTGTCAGACCCCTGGGTTCTGGCTGACACCACCCTCATGACTCTAATTCACTGACTTTGTTAAAGTAAGTTTCCCAATCTTGCTGAGGACCCCGGCCCAGCCGGCCTCAAGCATCCCACCCGCCCGATCCGGGATCGGGTCGCGCATAGCCGCCTGTGGAATGAGATCGCCACCGAGTCTCCGCAGCCCAAAGCCCCGCGGGGCTGGCGGCGCCCGGGCTGGGGAGGAGCGCCGGGCGCGCCCCCGCCCCGCGCACTCACGATGGCGCGGCCGTAGCAGGCCGCCGCCTCCGGGTACTTGCGGCCCACGAAGAGCCGGTTGCCCTGTTCCTTGAGCTCCTGCGCGCTCGGACTCTTCTCTGGGCTGCCGCCGCCGGCGCCTAGACGCGCGCCACCCTCCTTCTCCTCCTTGCCCTTCATGGCGCCGCGCGGCACGGACTGGGTTCCGCTCCCGGGCTCCGCGCCCGGCCGCCCCTCACCCGCCCCTCACCCGCAGCCCGCGCCGCGATCCGCTCGGCCCGGTCGGGCGATTCGCCACCGGAACTTCCGGCGCGGGGCGGGGTTGCAGAACGGGAACGCGCGCGGAGCCGCGCGACCGACGACCTGGGGGCGGGGCGCTCCGGGCGGGCTCCGCCTCCGACCTCGCCCCGTGACCCCGCCCCTCCACACGAACATGGCGGCCCTCAGCAGGCTCTGGGGCAGCGAAGACCCGAAACGCTGGGCCGTCATCTCGACGCGCCGCAGAAAGGTGCTTCGGGAGCGCGCGGGCGCCAGGGGACAGCTGGAGGTCCTGGACCACTAATAAGGCGGCAGGGAGGAGAGGGCCAGCAGGTAGGGCGTCATGGACTCCCCTCACCATCCTTCCTCAGGTACTGGGAAGGAGCTGTCAGCGGCCAGCGTGAGGCGAGTGGACAGGCGGCGAGGGACAACGGCCAAGAGAAGAGCTGTGGCGGCCGCCGGCGTGGAAACCACGGCGAGGGGCGGGGTCACGGTGGGCCGGGCTTCCTCCGGGGCGGGGCCTCGTGCAGGATGGGCCTCGATGGGCCGGGCTTCCTGCGGGGCGGGGCCTCTCCGGGGTCCGAGCCTCCCTGGCGAGGTCCCGCACCTGGGCTTCCCTCAATGCACTGTCTGCAGCAGCTTGTGGCCAACAACCCCCAGAGCTGGTGATGCAGCGTTCAGCCACTGCCTTTGGCAGCTTTCCGAGGGAGCGCGCCGCAGTCACGAAGCTGTGCACCCTCGGTGTTGTGGGTGGCGCCACCGTCTTGGGGAAATCAGGCGCAGCCTGGGCACCTGAGTGCCCTTGCTTGTGGAAAGAGTTGGTGATGTATGATATGGTCTTGAGATCCGTCTTGAGAATCCCCCCATCTCTTGGGGGGCAGCTGGAACCCCCCAATTGGCCACATTGCCAGGCCGGCCTACCTTGCAGTATATTCTCAGGCACTACCTGCTGTACCTGGACCAGGGGCAAGAGAGTGCTGCAGCCCTGAACAGAGGTGAGTAAGCAGCTGGTGGGCTGGGAGGACATCCAGGACCTTATCAGGGAGCACTGGTTGGGCCCTCGGGGCCCACTCCGGCTTTTCCCCAGCTTGTGCCTCAGGGTGATGGACCCCCTCCCCTTGTGAAGACAGTACAGTGGACGTGGTCTGTGAGCCGAAGCTGTGCCAGACCTGCTGCCCGATCTCAGCACCAGCTCAGCCACCCACAAGACACTAGGCTGGTCAAGAAGCACAGGACTCCCACCAAGTGAACCTGACCATGGGCCAGGGCCTGCTAACCTGCCACAAGACCTCAGGACACAGGTCTCTCTGGATGGCAGGCTGACCAAATAGGAGACTGGGTGCCACAGGAGCTCAATAAACATTTGCTAAACTCAGTTTGAGCAGAAGGCCCACAGTCCCTCCCCAGGTACCACCAGCTCCTTTATAGCATGGGGTCATTGGTACTCTAACTCCACTCTCATCTAGGTTCAGAGGTACAAGGAGGAAGGAAGTCCAGGCTCTCTTCAGTGTGTGGCGGGTCCCCTGTGATCTGGGTTAGGGGCAGAGAAGCCTCCAAAGCCCTGGGACAGGTTCCTGTCACCGTGTAAAATATTTATTCATTCTCCCCAAAAGGCTCAGACTGCAAGTCCTGGGGGTGGGTTGGGGTGGGGTTGGTGAGGTGGTGTCTTCTCTGGGGCTGTCTTTAGGGATCTCCGTCCAACCCTGGCCCAGCAACCTTCTCCCCAGGACTGGGAGGGGCAGCCAGGGCTGGTGTTAGGCTTGGCCTCAGCTCAGTGGACTGCAGGGCCCACTTGCCCCACAGAGAGCAGCAGCCTTGAGGTGTCTGTTCACCAGGGGCAACATGCAGGCCTGCCTGGTGGTCAACCCACCGCATGCTTGGCCTAGCCTAGGTGCCTGGGAGTAGGTCAGGGCGGTGGGGGGATGTGGGCACCCAGCAGATCATAGGCAAAGATGTTCCAGAAGATGGCGAAGAGCAGGAAAGTGCCATAGGCGAGTAGCACCACCCACCAGCCGCACTGGTCCTGAAGGCGCTCCTCGTAACTGCGCAGGATGGTGAGGCCCATGCTCACCCCCACCACTGCGCCAGCCAGGTGTGCCATGAAGCTGGGCTGTGGGCCCGAGGAGGGCAGTGGTGGGGAGAAGCGCAGCCACACGGCCCGGCCCACCTCAGAGCTCACTGCAGAGGGAGCAACAGGTGGGAGTTGTCCTGTTTACAGACTGCGGCCCCCCATTCCCCCATCCAGCCCCCTACTCACTGCACACCAGGGCCAGCACCATCCTCAGCAGCTTGTAGGGACACCTCATCCCAGCCCAGTTCTGATGGCATGCAGACAGAGAGGCCGTGAGGCAGGCCAAGTGGGCCCCTTCCCACACCCAGCCTCCAGGTGGCCCCATTACCATGACAACGTTGGCCAGGTGTGCTGAGCACAGGGCATAGACCCCTCCAGAGCCCCCCACCACAGGGGCCCGCATGTCCGTGATGGAGACAGTCAGGGAACCTGCAGAGCAGAAGGAAGTGTGAAGAAGCAGCCAGCCAGGGCAGTGGGCAGAGGGCCCACGCCTGCCTTACCTGCCAGCACACCCGCCAGGTAGAGCAGGCTGATGCGGAGGAGACCATGCACCATCTCCAGGGGTACTCCGATCATCAGCTGCAGGAGGGCATTGAACCCCAGCTGCTCCAACCTGGCCGCAGGAGGGTGGGGTCAGCTGTGTTGCCCACCTGTCTCCAGGCCCACCTCAAGACTGCATTTTTCTGGCTGAGCTGGCCTGACCATAACGGTGCTCACGACAGGCACAGCAGCCCCACTCACCCAGCGTGCATGAACATGTAAGTGAGGAAGCGCCAGGCGCGAGCGCGGTGCCCAGGGTGGTACACCAGGGGGCTCTTCATGTACTCGGGGTGGTAGGTCTGCAGCACCCACTTGTTGAGGCGTGCCCCATAGCACAGGAACACGATGATCTGGGGACAGGAGTGTTAGGGCTGGGTAGGGCAGGGCCGTGGGAAGCTCCTAGGGCAGCAGGTGGGCAGGCCCACCTGGGTGAGGGTGACTGAGGCCATAAACACAGGGGGCGGGCAGCTGCGGTGCCGGTAGAAGTACCAGCGGCGGTCTACTTCACAGGGCAGTATCTCATAGGCTACGTAGCGCACAAACCGCTTGTAGACACCTAGGCCAGGCTCATCCAGCAGCCCATCTCGGGGCAGTGACCGCTGTCCATTAGCGATGGCCCTCTTGAAGCTGCTGGAGCGCTTGCTGCTGATCTGGGGGACAGGGATATCAGCATGGGCTGTAGTGTCATCCCCCACAGCACCCTGCCCCTTAGGTTGCCCACAGGGTCTGAGGCCCTGCACTGCCCCAATCTATGAGCCTTCCCCAGGAAGAAGCCACCTGCCTACCCTGTTCTGGCCAGGGCAATGTGCCTGTCCAGGTCTGGGCCACCCCCCTGCTGCCCACCCACCGTGGCACTGACCAGGTCCACCAGTTCCTGGTAGCAGACCTGACCCCGCTCGTTGCTCTGGGCCAGGGCCACCAGCATGTCCAACTTGGCCGGGTCCAGGGGCAGCTCATGGCTGTGCACCAGCCCAGCGAAGGTGTCCGCACCGATGAAGCCTGTGTTCTCAGGGTCCAGCTGCTGTGGTGGGGGAGCCGCCGACCAAGGCTTGAGGGTGCGCCCACCCGGACCATGGGGCTGAGCCGGGCTGGCTAAGAGCAGCAGGCTGGTTCCTGGGACCTGGCTTGTTCCCAGGTCCTTCCAGGGCACGGTGCCCGGGTCCCCAGGGCTCCCCCCACCTTATTTCCACCCTCCCCGTCCTGGGAGGGAGGGCCCGAGTCAGAAGACGAGACCACCCTCTCACCGCTCTGTTTTCCTTGGAAGCTCAGGCATAGGGGCCAAGGGGCACGCGGAGAGGGGGCTTGGGTGGCGGGTGTCCGGCGGGGCTGTCTGGAAGCCCGGTCCCTCCCCCAGCCCAGCGCCGCAGCGGGAGGATCGTCGGGGGGCGGTGCCGGCCCCCACCCCACGCACCTGCTCCTGGATGAGCTGCAGCAGCGAGCTCCTGTCCATAGAGCCGGGCCGGGCAACGGGCCGGGGTCGGCCGAGGCCGGGAGGGGCTGCTCTGCGGACGACTCCGCTCCGCCCCTGCCGGCCCACTCCGCCTGCTCCGCTCGGCGCGCGCCGCGCTCAAGTCGCGTCACGGAACCGCCCGCCCCGCGCACACGCCGCCACGAAACGCGCGCCCCTCGCACACGGACGCACCGCCCCGGATGCACGCCCTGGGTAGGAACCGGCCTCCTCCAAGCGGATGGTTCCGATGCAGGCACTGTGTGCGCCCTCCGGGCAGCTGAAGCTCCTTCTGCCAAGCTCAGACGGCGATTCAGTCAAGGTGCAGTTTCTAAAACTCCGCCGAATTAAGACCTTCAGCTTTCCTTTGCAGCCTTCTGGGGCTCAAGCTTCAGCATGGGCCTCCCTTCCTCCGAGAAGCTTCTCCTGACCGCTAGGCTTCCTGACTCCCCAAGTTGTGACATTGCGCTCCCGTCGCTGGGATGGAAGTTCCTTAAGTGCATCTGTCCAGCAGCAGGTGACCCCTGTTCCTCTCCCCAGTGCCACAGCAAGGAAACCTCATAGCCCCAGGTGGGTAGCAGAGGTGGGAAAGGTCCTGCCACAGCTGCTCCTGCTCAGACGACCAAAACAACCCATTTGCATCCCCCGTCCCCCACCCCAGGGGCCTGGAGGAATGTGGGAGAATCAGGGCATCAGGGCCTCCCAACCGGGAAGCCCCAAACAGGATAACACGGGGCATCCACATGGACAGCAGTCTTCAAGGGCAGGGCTGCAGCTGGGAGAAGAGCAGCTGCTCCTGGGGAGAGCAACTAAACCCTTCTAATGATGGAGGTGATGGGTAAAGAGGACATGAAGCGATGGCAACCGGCCAAGGGCCAAAGTTGCCCACTGCTGCAGATACAATAGAGCTATTACTTCAGGCCACTGGGCCTCAGGGGACATTGTGAGCTACAAATAGCATCTCCTGTCCAGCCTCAAAGCCAGTGGAACTAAGTTGGCAGAGAGGTGGGGGATATCAGGGTCCAGCTCGAGACCCTCAAATCAGGCATTTCTGTTAGAGCAGGCAGCACACAGGTTCACTGGGACACCCACTTGCTACTCCTTAAAGGCAGATGAGGAAGAGGGGCTCAGGTTGGGGAAGCCATGCTGTGGTTGAAGGCCCTACTCATCTCAGGCCAGAGCTCCCTCTGTCCATGTTTGTGGTGGGTTGTTACAGCAGCTGGGTCACAAGAAGCCCAGGTACTCAGTGCAGCTCAGCCAGGCTGACTGAGTAGAAAGGTTTGGGGAGGCAGTGTTGGGGGCCCAAGGAAAGGGAGGGAGCACAGAGAATGCATGTCAGTGGACATTAAGGCTCTTGGACCACAGGTTACCCAAAACTGGACTTTCCACATTGGCCTGAGGTCACATGATGGGGACTTAGGGATGGAAGGGAGGTGAGGGGGTCCAGTGACACAATCACACCAAGACAAAGAACATACTTTAGACTGATTCAAGAAAAGCAGTCTCCAGAGACTGAGATCCCAGAGAGGAAAAAAACAAGTGAGGTTTAATCAGGAAACCCAACCTCATGTCTTCTGCCACGGACAAGGCTTCAAACTGGATGGGAAGGTGGGGTTACACAACAGCCTAGCCACTTACTGGCCCCTGCATACCCACTGACACCAGAAGCAAGGGAGAGCCCTAAGAATTCTGGATCTAGGGTCAATGGTCACCTTACCCAATACCCACAAAGGTGAGGAAAGGGCCTCCCACCAGGAACATCTGCCAAGGAGCCCTCAGGCCAGGCAGTGGAGCTTCTGGGTCACAAGCCCAGGTTCTCAGCACAGCTCAGCCAGGCAGACTGGGTAGAGCTTTCGTGAGACAGTGCTGGGGGCACACCCAGCCCTGAGGAGGGGCCTGAGGAAAGGGCAGGGGATGCAGGGGCGCCAGAGCAGTGCCCCAGGGGCTCATAGTCATGCTGTGAGGCCGAAAGCCTGCACCAGACTGCCCCTGTGGAGCCCCACTAGGTCAGGAGAGGGGGCTGAGAGGCATCATCTACTCTTCACCAGGATTCTATAGAGTGAGAAGCTGAGGACTGCAGCCACGGTGGCCCCAACAGCCACCAGCATTCCCCGGAGCCAGGTAGAGGTGGGGCGCAGCTCTGTGTGCACCAGGTGTCTGTGAGGGAAGATGGGTACTTAGGGTGCATATCTCCCCACTGTGTCCCAGGCCGCTGGCAGAAGCTAGGCCTGGAGGGCTGCACCAAGAACAGCTCTCAGTGCCACAGAACCCCACTCCACAGCCCCCACCCAGCACAGCCAGGTGATCAGCACCCTTAGAGCCCTGGTATAAGGCAGGCCACCCTCCTCCCAAGGCCTTGGTGGCAAGCACCCACGGAAAGGCAGCCATGGTGGCCAGTTGAGTGAAGATATCAGTGCTGGGCTGGGCCAGGCCGCTGCAGGAGAATGGGGTGGGGGCAGGCAGCCGGTGCCTGCGACAGAACTCCCCAGGTGACAGGCCTGGTGGGGCGACACCTGCAGGCAGGTCGGCCTTGGACGACACAAAGAGGCAAGGGGTCTGGCCATCCATGTAATGGCGCTGTGGGAGGAGGGGCTGTGTGAGGCAGGGCCCACCAGCCACCTGCCCCAGAGCTGTCCTCCACCTGCAGGGCTCCCAGTGTCACCCTGCCTTGTACACGGTGGCGCAGAATGCAAAGGATGCAGGATCACTGCCATCAAACATCAGGCAGGCAACATCACAGGCGGTGTCCAGGGAAGTGGCCAGCATGCTGTCCACATCCACCTCACATAGCTGGAACAGATAGAGCTCTGAGGGGTGTTCCCAGGAGTTGGCCACCCCAAGGGCCACCCTGTGACAAATCTACCACGTGGCATGGGCACATGGGTATCTCACTCCCAGCACTCACAATCAGGTACTTCTCTTGTCCGCTGACCAGCACTGTATTGATGACGTGGATGGGAGTCTCCCCAGGGGATGCCCTGGTGTCCTGGTGTCATAGGGACAAAGAGAGCCTTATGCTTCCTGGTCCCGCACTCCCCACAGTGCCCTCTCCTGCCCCTGGGTCCCCAGGTGGGACTGGGGTTTCTGCAGATGCTTACCCTCAGGCTGTGGCCAAGAAAGGCCTGCAAGAAGGAAGACTTGCCCACTCCTCGGGCCCCTACCACCTTGCACATGAGGACATTCCGCTGGGTCTGCCCCTTCTCCTGATCCAGCCTCTTCTCACGAGTGACTGTGAGCAGAGACTCAGGTGAAGGAAAATGCTGGGGAGAGGCTGGACCCAGGGCCTGGTGAGGGTAGGTGCCCACCTGTGATGGCCTGTGCCTGGGAGTCCTGCTCACAGAGGGTGGGGTAGCCTAGGTAGCCAAGGTGCTCGAGGCAGCGCTGGACATCCAGGTAGGTCACTAGGCTGGAGGCACGAGGCACAGCGTCAGTGAGGAAGGCAGCAGGGGGTGGGGGCAGGGGTAGAAGGGATGTGCTCACGTCCACTGGCAGAGGAAACCATGCAGGGGTAGCCGGCTGGTGTCAGTGCGGACAGTGCGTGGGAGTTCAGGGCCCCAGGGGGCCACTGGGAACACACTGAAGAGGTTTTGCAACTCCAAGGGTGAGAGGGCGCCATCATGGTCCTGTGGGCAGAAGGGCCATAGTCACAAGTGCTGGGGAACGGCAAGGGCTGACCAGGGTGGTAGCACTCACCTGGTCATGCTTCTCAAACACCTGCTGCAGAAACTGGTAGCCGCGGTGGTTAAGCTCAGTGCTGCAACCAGGGGGTACATGGAGCCTGCAGGAATGTATGGGACATCTAGCTCCCAGGGGATCCTGTGCTCCACAGTAGTTCAGCTCCTGCCTCACCCTGCCAGCACCATCCATGTGGCCAAGGCCCCTCTGAGGCTCCTATGGCTCCTCAGCTGGGGCCAGGCAAGGAGGATGGCATGGTCTCTGGTACATGAGGCCTGATGCAGGGGGCCCCACTCAACCCAGTCCTCTACACACACAGGGACCCAGGCAGACCAGAGTGAGAGGCCCACACTGCAGAACAGTCTCAGCTGTCCTCTGAGCAGGACCTTACACACAGGCGGGTTGGCCCCAGGCCCTACCTACCACTCACCGTGGGCAGAGGTAGTCTGCTGTCAGCTCAAGTGAGTCACTGTAGCCGAAGCGTCGCAGAATAGTCCATGTGGTCTCGTGCCGTCCACGCTGGATGAAGAGTGTGTTCAGGAAGAGGAAGCCTGTAAAGGGCAGAGGCGGATAGCACCTGGAACAACGCGGCCCTCTCCCCACATACTCAGGCTCAACAGAGCATCTGGCCTCACCATCCAAGGTTAGTCTGTTGTCCTGCACGCCGCCCACCACATTCTTGCACACTACCCTCTTTACATCTTCCAGGGCCTGTGGGGCCAGAGGGTGGCCAAAGCAGGACTTCTGTCTCCAAAAAGGAAGTGGTTTCAGATCAGCCAAATGCCCCAGAACAGCAGGGCTTTATTACCTGAGGATGGGCAGTTGGGTCAGGGCACACCTGGAAAGCACTGAGCTCCTCATCGCTCAGTGCCTGGTCCAGGTCCTGGTCGGAGAGCCTGAAGATTCGAGTGAGGGCCTGGGTGCACGCAGGCTTCAGCTGCAGGAACATCTACTTAGCACCCTAGCAGCCTTTGGAAGGTCCACCCTGCCACTCCCATCTGCTCACTCTCCATACCCAGAGAAGCCTCTGCCCACCTGCTTGGTCTCAGGGTCATACAGGGGGGCTGTGGGATGTAGAACGGCCTTCTGGGCATAGTAGAACAGCTCTGAGATGTTCTTCAGATGTTTGGCAGAACACTGTAAGAGCACAGCACAGGCTCAGAAGGCAATGGAAGAGGACACAGATGTGAGGTCAGGCCGGCCACCATGAGCACCTGCAATAGCAACTTGGTGCTTCTGTACTCACCAGAGCCCCTCTTCTTCTCGGCCTTCTCCCTGCTTACCTCCACACAGGTCTCTATCTCAGGAAACTGGCTCATGATGGGTAGCACAGCTTCCATGGTGCTTCCTGACCGCAGGTCCACCTTGTTGCCCACCAGGATGATGGGCAGCCTGGGGAGAAGCCCATGGTTACCAGGTACAGGGAGCCACTGGAGCTCAGTCCCACTCCTCCTCCCTGCCAAGGTCCTGCTTATTACCTGGGCCCCCTCTCAGTTCTCCCATTCACCAGTGGAATCCACTTGGTTCGAATCTGAAAGGCAAAGCCTGGCCATGAAAGGAGGCATCCCACCCAGTCCAAGGTGCCCACCCAGGGCCTGCACCAGGCTCAAGGAGAGGAGGGGAGCTTGAGGCTAACTGAGGCCAGTAAGAGAAAACAAGGGAAAGCAGGGCCATGTCTAATCTGAGCAGCTACAAGCCCCTCCAGGCACACTGAGATCCTAGACCTCAGGCAGGCCCCGGACCTTTTTTCTAAGGCTATCTTTGTTGGAAAGGGAAAGGAAATGCTGGCTTAAATAGAACAATCATCCAGGTGCTCTGTGGAGAAATCAGTACCAGAAGCCTGACCTCAACACAGAGATGTGGGGCTTCTTGAAATGCTTAATAGAGATAGGGCTGGTCACAGGCATGGACAAAACTTCCCCTAGGCCACTGACTACTACCTGGTCTGCACTGGGGACTGTTGAAAGAGCCAGTGGCAGGGACTTGGGATGGATGGGGTGCTCCCTCCTGCTCACCTTCTCAATCGTGGTCTCGTTAGACACATCGTACACCACACACACCACATTTGCCTGCAAGAACAGCAGCAAGGCACAGGGTGACCAGAAGCTGCCCACTTACAGTGGACAGCTCAGACCATTCCACACACCCCAAGACTCCAGCATGTCTCAAGTGCTTCTGAGCAGCACAGGGTGCAGCTCCAAAGCCTGGCAAGCCCACCCTACCCTGGAACCTGACCAATTACAGCAAGTACTCACAGGGCAGGGTATCCCTGGCTGGATCACCCTGGGCCAGGCAGCTTCAGACAAGTCCCTCCCTGCCCCCAAGAGGGAGACACCAGGCCCCAGCACCACAGCTCTGTTTTGTAGGCCCAAGTGCTCAGGACAGACCCAGCCACACCCCTGAAGAGCAAGCTACTTGTAAGATGAGACTCCTGACTCCACCTCCCACTTTCAAGTCACAAGCAGCCAAAGTCCAGAGAAGGACAGCAATGTGCCCTGTGAGGGCTGGGGGGCTGCCCCTGGGTTGCTGTGGCCTGCGCACAACTAGTGATGGATACAACCAGGATACAATGGAGACTGCAAGAGCTAGATCCAGGGGCTCTGAAAGCAGATGAGCCTGGAGATCCTGCGCAGTGGACCAGAGTACAGGGCAAGGGGACTGCAGAGGAGTTTAAGGGGAGACTGTGCCTCCTCAGATGCCGGGAAGGAGACGGAGGGAGGGCCCTCTGCCTCTGGACAGCACTGCAGGCACTAGACTGTCCTGGATCCCTGAAGGGGGTGTTGCAGGAGTCCCGCTCCGGATGCTGACTGTCAGGGTCGAGGACGGCCGGCGCCTCCATCCACGCAGCTCCCGCACCTTACGGATCTCCTCCCGGAGCTCCTCATCCGTCTGCTCGGCTTCTGGAGAGAGAGAACCCGCTGCAGGCGCGCGCGGACAGGCCCGGCACGGGCGCCGCGCGGGGCCTACCTGAGAAGTCCACGATGTGGGTGGGCACCCGCTCTGGCGTGACGGCGGCGGGGATGGTGATCTCCTCGGCGCGCGCGGGCACCTGCAACAGGCGGCCTCAGCCCGCGCCCGACCCGCGCCCGGCTCGCGCCCGCCCGCCACTCTGGGCCGCCCGCGCGCACCTCCTCGGGGAACTCCTCGCCCACCAGCGACAGGATCAGCGACGTCTTCCCCACCTGGGCTGCGCGGGCGGGTGGCCGGGCGGTCACGCGGGCGGCGAGACCACGCGGCCCCGCGCCCCCGCCAAGGTCCCCAGCCCAGCGCCTACCCTCGCCCAGCAACAGGATGCGCACGTCCCGCCTCATGGCTGTGCCCGGTGCCCCGCCCCCGGCCCCCGGCCCCAGCCGCAGCCCAGACCCTCCCCAGCCTTCCTCCTGGCGTTCCCCTAGCGCCCTCACTTCCGGTTCCCACCGCGGTGCTTGAGGGACACTTCCGGCCCCGACAGCGCAGCCGCATCAGCGAGCCCTGCGGGGCAGAGGAGTGGAACTGTGCGGTTGCGCCACCACACGGGCGAGCCCGACACTGCAGGTGACGTGGGCGCAGGTTTGGAGACCTGAATGGCCCTCCTAGCTGGTAAGTGGAGCGACAGGGCCTTTGACTAGGAATTGGGCGGGCTGGGGGAGATGACTTCAGGACTGGAGTGACCAGCGAAGGTGAAAGATCGGGCAATAATGAAACAACGTAGCACAATGTAATAAATGTGCATGTTTATTTAAATTCTAAAAGATAGGAACATCAACAACTCCTTAGAGTAAAAGGCAACAGGTCTTTTTGTTTTTGTTTTTAGTGCTGGGGATAGAAACCAGGGCCTCATAACATGCTAGACAAGTCTCTGCCACTGAGCTACATCCCACGCCCTATTGTCTGTTCTGGTCACTCGAATTCAAAGGAGCTTGGTGCTGATGACTTAGAGTCCCAGCCTGTCCAGGCCATCTGGCTCTGCATGCCACGATCCCAACCTGGCTTTTCTGTAGGTGCCCAGCAGGCCATCAGGGACCTAAGACTGCAGTCACTCTGCATCCATGGCCCATGACCTCCCACACCAGGATCTCATTGTGGGCAGCTGTGAAGAGCAGCCTGGCAGATGGGGTGAACCTGCACAGATGCACAGAGTCATCATGGCCAGTGAAGTCCTGCGCTACCCCTGACATGCAGTCCAAGAGCCTCAGTGTGCATTCTGTGGGTAGACAGCACAGGTGAGGAGGGCTAGGCAGTGCTCAGTGACCCCCAACCCTCCCTGGCCATGTCCCCAGCTAGGCATGGTGTTGGCATCAGGAAACCTGAGACCAGAGGGGTCAGGGCTGTAATCTCCACATGCTGGGGCCCACTGTGGAGGTCTTGGCAGGGTGAGGCAAGTCCTCCTTGGTGCTACAACTAATCTTCCACTCACACCCAGTGCCTCCCGCTCTGTCTTCTGAGCCTGTGACGCTCTGGGACAGGTGCCCTCACGCTGCTTCAGGAGTAAGCATCCTGAGGCACATGTAAGCTGCGTGTCTGGGAGGCAGGTGAGCCTGCCTGGCCCCACCTAAGACAGGCCCAAGTTTGTACCCACCACACTCACCAGCAAAGCCAATGGCTATGAAGCGTGCCCCTGGAGACAGGCTCAGGGACATGGCAAAGAAGGGCAATGACATCTTCTCCACTACCTGTGGGGCAGCCGGTGTGAGGCTAGGGGTCTTGGCCTAGGCAGGGGGCACTCCCGCTTGGGGCCCAACCCAGGATCCCTTGACCCCATGGCCCTATGGGGCTGCTGGCCCAAACAGGTATATACACACACCTGCTTCTGGCGGAGGCTGTAGAAGACCACCTCTTCATGTGCACCGAGGCCCACGCACACCAGCAGTGCCCCATCCCAAGGGCAGAAGGCAGCAAGGGAGGGTGGAGGGAGGCCTGAGGCCTGAAGAGGGATGCAGCATGCTGTGGTGGAGTGGGCAGGCACTGTTCCCCCAACCCTCCCTTTTTTTTTGAGGGGGGGTACTGGGGATTGAACTCAGGGGCACGCGACCACTCAGCCACATTCCCAGCCCTATTTTGTATCTTAGAGACAGGGTCTCACTGAGTTGTTAAGTGCCCAGCCTAGCTTTTTTTTTTTTTTTTTTTTTGCTGAGACTGGCTTTGAACTCACGATCCTGCCTCAGCCTCCCAAGCCACTGGGATTACCAGAATGTGCCACCACACCCGTGCCCCCCCCCCCACACTTTTTTTGTGGTGCTGGGGATTGAACATGTGCATGTGAGGCAAGCACTCTACCAACTGACCTATGTCCCCAGCCTCCCAGCACCCTCACCACACTTTTTAATCTTTATTTGTTTTATGTTCTGTTAAGAATCAAACCCAGTGCCTCACACGCGCCAGGCGGGCACTCTACCACTGAGCCACAATGCCAGCCCCACCACTGGGATGCTTACCTCCAAGGTGGCAGGTGCTGGGAAGCTTAACCAGTCCAGGAGGTCACAGCAATCCCGAAGCCAGTCAGAGGCCCAGACGCTGATCCTTTGGTCCCCGCTAGCAGCCAGCCACAGGTCTGTGCCCTCCACCCCTAGATCTCCATACTGGGAAAGTGAGGGCTGTGGGCACCTCCTGCCCCGTGCACCACCCTCCTGCCCTGCCACAGCCCAGGACCCTCCCACAGCCTGCTCAACCTTTTTACTTGTGCTCTGGATGGTAGAGATGGGGGCACCCTGGTGGTCACTCAACACACGAAAGGTTATCCCTGTGCGGAGGCGGCTCACAGCCACAACCCCATCCTTGTCTCCAGAGAGGATGGTTTGACCTGGGCCAGGTGGGAACATGGATACCTTGTGAGTCAGACCCCAACCTAGAGATCTGATCTGGGCCTGGGCAGGGGAAGCCACTGCTGCCCTGTGCAGTCCTGGTCCTCACCATCAGTGGAAAAGGCCAGGGCCATAAGGGCAGCCCGGTGGGGTTGCATCTTGAGCTCCATTGAGGTACGGGCAATGCTGAATACGCGCAGTGTGCCATCGCTGTAGCCGGCCACCACCTGCTGCTGCTCTGGATGTCCACAGGATGGGGGGCTCCATGCAAGACAGAGGCAGCTCTGGACATCCATATAGGGGAGATCAGCACTACCCCACGGACAAGGCCAAAGTCAGAGGGAGGGCTCAGCAGGCAGGATGCATGGTGGCCTGGGCCCTGACATACCTGGTTCAGCACCTGGAACTGAATCACCAGCTCCATGCTGGCCAAGGACCACACCCGTACACTGCCGTCCTCACCCCCTGTGGCACAGTGAGACTCGTCTGGACTGAAGACCACCTCGTTCACCTGTAGAACCCGGGCAGCTGGGTCTGGGCCTTTCTTTTCTTTTTCTTTTTTTGGTACTGGGGATTAAACCCAGGGGCACCTAACTATTGACCCAGCCTGCCCCCCCCCCCACTTTTTTAAATGTAACTTTTTTCCTATAGTTTTATTTATCTATCTATTTATTTATTTATTTGGGTACAGGGGATTGAACTCAGGGGCACTCGACCATTGAGCCACATCCCCAGCCCTATTTTGTATTTTATTTAGAGATAGGGTCTCACACAGTTGCTTACTGCATCACTATTGCTGAGGCTGGCTTTGAACTCATGATCCTCCTGCCTCAGCCTCCAGAGCCCATGGCATTATAGGCGTGTGCCATTGCGCCCAGCTACCTTATTCATTTATTCTTATGTAGTGCTGAGGATTGAACCCAGGGCCTCACATGTGCTAGGCAAACGCTCTACCACCGAGCCACAACTCCAGCCCTTATTTTTTATATTAGTGACCCTATCTCACTAAGTTGCTTAGGGCCTCATTAAGTTGCTGAGGCTGACCTTGAATTTTCGATCCTTTTGCCTCAGCCTCTAAGGTGGCTGAGATAACAGGCCTGGCCACTGTGCCTGGGGTGGGGCTGGGCCTTTCTGATCTATGCTTCCAGGGTCAAGGCAAGAATACCCTTCTGCTGCCCAAGTCTGCCTGGTCCACTACACCCACATGGGTGGACCCCACATGCCCCTGGGACTTGGGATTCCACAGAAAACCCTGGCAGCATCTGAGACACAGTGATGTGACTTGTCTCCAGAGGGATGCAGATTGCAGACGAGCCCAGCAGACACCCCTGCTGTTGTGGTGGTCATGACAGTGGTGGCATGCAGTGCTCAGCACACGTCAAGGCAGATAGCAGATGTGTCATCATGCAGCTGCCAGTTGGCAATTGAGATTTTGGAGAAAGGGTGGCACAGATGCCACACTCTAATGTGGCACAACCAAACAGCCTAGAGCTGAACCTGTTTCGGGTACCCGTGTGAATTCTTGATATGTCTCACCCAAGAGGACTCAGGGTGCAATAGCTCAAGAGGCAGAGGTCTGGCCTAGCACGCATTTGACCCCAGCTCAGTTCAGAAGAGCAAGAGTGGGCCCAGAATGTGGCCTCTGAGCCCTGCAGTCCCACACCACCTGAGTGCCACCAGTGACAACCAGCTCAGCTCAAAGACTCGGGACACACATGGTATGCCAATACACTGGAAGTACTTGGCCATAAAGTAGAAGCACTAACAATAGCGACAGCTGGGATGCACCTGAGGACGGGTGCTCAAGGAGGGAGGCTGGACACAGTCCACTCATAGGAACTGACCAGAAAGAGCACATCCATGTGGACAGAAAGCCAACTTGTGGCTGCCGGGGCTGAGAGGAGGGGAAATGGGGACACTGACAGGTATGAGGTGTCCTTTTGGGGTGATGAGAATGCTCTGACATTGAGTGTGTAATGATTGATAACTCGATGGAAGATGCTAGAACCACTGACTTTAATGGGATGATGGCTGGGTATGGGGTGCACACCTGTCCTAGTAACCTGGGAAGCTGAGGCAGGAGGATCCCAAGTTCAAGGCCAGCCTCAGCAACTTAGCAAGACCCTGTCTCAAAATAAAAAATAAAAAGGGCTAGCAATGTGGCTCAGTGGCAGAGTGCCCCTGGGTTCAATCAATCCCTGGAACAACAACAAAAAAAAAAATCAACTCAACCTCAGGCTGGCTGGGCACAATGGCACACTCCTCTAAAAGCAGATCCAACCAGACCCTGACCAGACCCTGACCCTCTAGAGACCCAACCAGAATAGACAACAACCCATCCAGAACTGACCCGACTCCGAGCAGACCTGACTCAGATCTGACCAAACCCTGACTAGACTCAAGCTGACCCAGCCAGAACCAAACCTAACCAGACCTGCCTGGCCTCCTACCAACCCCAGGCTTCAACTACACTGGATGGTGTTTGCACAGCCAGTGTGGGAGGTGCTGGGGCAGATGGCACAGGCCTTCAATAAGTGAGTTTAAGAAAGGAAGGAAGGAAAGGTCTAGAAGCCTGCAGAGCACCTCAGACCCCTGCCTCACATAGGCACCACAGATTCTGGCCATCCTGAGGCTCCCTATTGGTCACTAGTGAGACATGAAACCTCAGGGGGCAGCCAGACAGGCTTGCTTCCCTGCACAACCTGCCCTACCGAGGTTGGAGACCTCTGAACATCTCAAGCCACCCAGTGGCTCACCTTGCTCCTGTGGCCGCTGACGAGGCGGGTGCTACTTCCCTCAGCCCAGCTGACATACCACAGTGTGCCAGCCGTGGTGCCCACGATGCCCATGTCCATGCTGCTGTCGAAGCTGGCACTCACCACAGCCCCATCCAGGGTCAGCTCGCGTTCCATGAACACAGAGCTGGACCTAAGAGCACAGAGACAAGGGGCAGCTGGTCTCAAGGCAGGAGATGGGAGCCAGCTCAGCTTGCCAGGTGAAAGCCGACAGCCATCATGTCTGAGGCCCAGCAGTGCTCCTGGGTGGAGATAGCAGCATGGAGCCTAGGGCTGTGGCCTCTGGGGCTCAGGCCATGTGGAGACAGACCCCTAGGTGACAGCTCTGCAGGCAGCCTTGCCTAGGAGTAGCAACGTGTGCAGGAGTGCTAGTGATGATCTTCAGGGCTACTGAGGACACCAGAGGACCCGCAGCCAGAACCCATGGGTACCGTGTGCAGCAGAGGCCCCCCCCAGCTCACCTGGCACCAGAGCCCTTGCGTCTCAGCTCTGGCACAGCCCCCACGGACCACAGGCGCAGCCGTTTAGTGTTGCTACCACTGACCAGCCTCGAACCCAAGCACAGCAGTACCCCTAGGAGGCAGGGGTGGTCGCAAGCTGCCTTCCACGGGCCCCGAGACTGGAAACCAGGTCCCCCATCCCAGAGCTAGGTCTGAGCCCTTAGCCATCCAGGGGTCCTCCCATTGGGCACCTACCAATCTCGCCATCATCTGCCTCCCAGGCCAGGAAGCAGCGGCCAGCACACGTGTCCCAGACACAGACCTGGCCAGAACTGGAGCCACAGTACAGCAGGGGAGCAGCCCCATAGCAGAGTGCGGTAAGCTCCACTGCCCCCACCTCCTCAGGGACTGGCTCTCTGTGCATCTGGCAGGGCACAAGGGTGACTGTAAGTTAGGGATGTCCAGACTCCATCCCTGAAAACCTCTTGGGAACCTAAGCACCCGAGCAGGGCCTGGCACCTGGAGGTTCACGTCTGCTCCACGCTGCTGCAGGAACCAGAAGGCAACAGAACCTGTGCCCACGCAGGTAAGCTCACTGGCATCCCAGGGGTTAAAGGCCACACCATGCATGGACTCCAGGAGGCAGGCAGAGGACACGAGCTCATAGGTGGCTGTGCTCCACAAGGCCAGTGTGCAGTCACCATAGTCCCCTGGGGATGTGTGGGCAGCCATGTTGTGAACTCAGCCAGCCTCCCCAGGGTCCCAGGAAGCTCTGCTTCTGCCTACCCTACTCACTGACCCAGTGACACAAGAAGCTTGTCATCTGGTGAGAAGGCCAGTGCCTGCACGGCAGTGTTGTGGTGAGAAATGAGCTGCTGGCAGAGGCCCCCAGGCACATCCCAGATGCGGATCTGGCAGCGGGCGGCTGCGCTGCTGCAGCAAGATGCAGAAGCCAGGACCTGGTAGGTGAGAGGTGGGCGGTCAGTGGAGAGCATGCAGCAGCTGGCCTGCCCTATCTCTGCAGAAGGGAGGCTGGGACAGGGTCCTTCCCACTGACTGGGCAACAGCCAGCTCTACTGAGCACCGTGGCCCTGGGCAGGCACCTGGGAGTTGTGGCTGAGAGCCAGTGTGGAGATCTCTTCAGGGTGGCCAAGCCAGTGCTTCTGGGCACCAGAGTGCAGGTCCTCCACCACCACCAGGCGGCCGCAGGTATAGGCAAAGAACCCTGCAGCAGGGAGAATGCCAGCCAGGGCCCCTGGGGTGCCTTCTCCCTGTCAGTGCCAGCAGCTGTGCAGGCTCACATTGACAGGTCCTGCAGCAGCAGAGCCCCCCCCAGAGCTCCCAGTTGACAGCCAGCACTCATTTGTTGAGAGACCTGGCCTGGGATGGAGTTGGGTCCTGCCTGCACCGCTGGGCCTACCTGTGTCCGGCTTCCAGACCATGTTGGCCCGCCCGTTCCCATTGTAGCCCACCACGGTTCTCAGGCGCAGTTGCTTGGCACCCTCGGGAGGGAAGGAGGTGCTCTGAAGGGAAGCAGACCCGGATGCTGGTGCTCAGCACAGTCACCTGGACCCCTGACCCGAACGTGGGAGCTGCTCTGGGGGACATCCGGGCCAGCTAAAATTGGGAGCTGGGGACAGGTGGGGACCCCAGAAGCTCTGGGAGCCTAGAGCATGGGGAAGTTGGGGAGGGGCAGTGGTTGATAAGAGGCAGAGGGTGGCTAAGCAGGCCACCACCAGGTCCATGCTTGTAGCAGAGGGATGAAAGGAGTGTGAGCGCAGGAAGGAAGAGTGTCCCTCTAGGAACAGGCCCTGGAAGTCCTGGGAAGGAGGGCTCCCAGAAGCCACCTTTTTTTTTTTTTTTTAAAAAAAAACATGTTTATTATATTTATTTATATGTGGTGCTGAGGATCAAACCCAGGGACCTCACACATGCTAGTCAAGTGCTCTACCACAACCCCAGCCCCAGAAGCCACCTGTCTGCAGACAGGGCACAACAACCTCGGCCAGTGTGGAGGCCTTATAGCGAGCTGTGAAGTGCTTGTAGGAATCTGGGCGGGCTAGAGGCTGAGCCCTCGCTTCCTGGATGCTCCGGGTACCTGGCAGGGAGAAGAAAGAGGCCACAGGATGTTGTGCTTCCTCAAACCCTTCAGAGACTCCTCCCCTCACACAAAGTCCCATACACTGCTGGGCAGTGAGAGCTGTGTCCCACCCAGCCCCATGGACATCCCAGCCTGGCCCTGGCTCTGCAGGTTACCGCATCTTTAGGGGGAAACACCCCAAAGGTCAGGGCAGTCAGAGCCACCTAGGCCCCTTAAGGCCTCAAGACACTTGCACACTTGCGCCTGAGACTTGGTACTCTGTCACCAAGGGTCCCCACCCACCCAGCTGCTCTGAACTGCTTACTGGACCAGCTGTGGCAAAGGGGAGACATGAAGAGTCCTTGGGATCTCCTCACAGACCCCCAGGCCGCACTGCCAGCCCCACCAGTCTCCCTCTCCACAAGCACGGGTGGGCCCTGGCTCTCCTTGCAGAGCTCTTCCTCATTCGACATGCAGAACGTACCTGGGGGCAGCAAGAGGAAGAGGAACCCACACCACCTGCCCATCTGCACCTCCCTGGGGCCCCAGGACCCCTGCCTCTCACCATCATTGCCCTCAGGGGGCATGGCACACATGTCCAGCCTCGGTGGGGGTCCCTGAGATGGCACAGGCACCTGCTGCCGGGGGAGCCCGTCGGCCCCACATGCTGCACCCTCCAGCTGCCCGGGGAGCCTGTCGGCCCCACATGCTGGACCCTCCAGCTGCCCGGGACCTGGGCCTGGGGATGCAAGGAGCATGTGGTGTTCAGAGCTGGGCACAGCAGGGTCTGCCAGGGGAGGCGAGCCTCTGGTGGTGACGGGTACATGGATATGGGAGAAGAACAGGTGCCACTCTGCCCAGTCTGCAGAAGGCCCCGCCCAAGCAATACCATGGTGCCGCAGGCATCCCCACACTGCCCTCCTGCAGAGCCAGACCACTCACCAACGTCATGGGCTAGGGGCACTCTGGGCATGCTTCGGCCACTGGAGGCAATGAGAGAGGGTGTCAGGGGGGCCAGCAGGAGGCCCAGCTGGATATGGTCAAGGGCAGACACTTGCCTGTCAGGGGTGGCCAGGACATCCCAGAGAAAGATGGCGTCCCCGACGCTGAGTACATGCTGCTGGTCTGGGGTGAAGGCCACAGCCTGCACTGGCTCTGAGTGGCCAATGTACACCTGGGGGCAGTGGGTGTCACATTCAGGGACCCTGACTATGGCCAGAGAATGACTGTGCTCCCAGTATCTCAACCTGGCAGTGAGCCCCAGACCTGCAGGGCCAGAGACTAACAGTCAATCATGTGACATTAGGCCTTGACAGGCAAAATGAAGGTCACCTTCCCTCCCATCCCCTACCCGTCTTATCCCTAGAGAACACTGCTCCACTCCTCCTAGGCCCACAGGGGTCTCCCCAACCCCCTGTGGAGGCTCCCAACAGCAAGGGCCTTCTGCCTGCCCACAGCATCTACCTGGCAGCTGGAGTCAGCCTGTGTCCAGTAATTCCACACCCTGATGGCCCGGCTGGTGGCTGTCAGCAGGAAGTGGGCATCTTCACTGAGGGCCAGGGAGGAGCAGGCTATGGGACGGACACTGGGCAGCTGCAATAGAGAATTCTTGGAAAACACCCCCTCATGGTGGGGCGGCAGGCAGGCTGGAGCTTCCCCTTCTCAGAGTGCATCTGTGGCCCCCTGCCTGGCTAAAGGGAAGCGAAGGCCAGGCCACAGCCCCAGGGCTTACCTCCCGGATGGTGCGTCCTGACAAGGCATCAAGAACCACAACCTTGTCAGATGAGATGGACACCAGGAGGTGGCCCAGGGCTGCAGGCCCAAAGCAGATGGCCACAGCCCAGTCCAGGTGGTTGCTGGCCAGATCCAGGGTGCTGACATCAACCCGCAGCAGCTGGGGGTAAGAGTGGCTGTTGGTCTCAAATGAGCCAGGGATGGAGGCAGCTGGAGGCACAGACCTGGGTACCCAGCACCACCCCCAGACAGGAGCCCCGCTTTACCAGGACACAGGGCTGGCTTAGTAGTCCACTTGGCTCAGCGACATCTCTGCCCACAAGTGTAAGGGAAGCTAGAGCTCGCTCCCGATGACCTTGGCCTCCTGCCTCCCCCATGAACCCACCCAGCCAAGGAGAGCCCCTGGGCCCACAACATCCTGCAGACTCACCTCGTTCAGGGAGGCTGAGTCCATGACTGTCACTGTGTACTTAGAGGGGCCCACGAAGGCCAGCAGGCGGCTGTCCCCACTGACTGCCAGGGTATTGGGGCCTGGGTGGGCATCCTGGCACACCGCGTTCACTGTGGTGGCACAGGGCAGTATGTGGGGAAGCACCTTGGGCAAATGGGCCTGAGGAGGTCCACCCAATCCTGACCCAAAGGACACCAGCCAGGGAGAGCAGCATGTTCCACAAAGGCCTTGGCCTCGGGCAGAAGAGCACCCAGAGGCCAGCACACCCCAGGAGGGCTGAGGGCCAGGAATGACCAAGCAAGAGCTCTGAAAGCAGAGTCCCAGGTCCACAGGGAGGCAGATGCCTCTATTAGTGCTAGAGCCCACCTGCAGCCCCAGGTGATCAGCTGTCTGTTGCCTGGGGCAGGACAGACGCAGACCCTTCGGGTGAGCTTTGAACCTAGCCCTTGGTAGGGGTCTAGATGAAAGGTTCTGGGAGGCAGCCATGCAGTGCCTGTGGGTCCTGAGTGTCTGGGTGCTGGCCTCCTAGGAGGACCTGCCTAAATGGCGCTAGGAGCCTCACCTGCTACACAGAGGACGGGGCACTGGGAGACAGCACAGCTGTACTGGGCCAGGGAGCCCTGGGAACAGGAGCTGAACAGGAAGTTGCCATCGGGGGTGACAACCAGGCCAGTGATGGTTCCATGGTGACACCTGTACCACATGAGAACAGCCATTGGCCTCAACCCTAGGAACCCAGCTAGGATACAGGAGCCCAAAGAGCCACAGAGGGCAGAGCTCTGGGTACCATTGGCCTTCCTGAAGAAGGCCCTCCTCCATCTGGCCAAACCCCCACCCAAGGGATCCCACAGGCCACCCCAGCTTCCACTGTGGGGTCACTGTGGGGTCCCTGTGGGGTCCAAGTCTCTCAAGGACTGGCAGCTGGCCAGGCACTCACGTGTGTTCTGCCAGGACCCCAGCTGTCTCCAGACTGAAGGAGCGCACAGCCCCGCTGCTGAAGCCACAGAAGACGGCTGGGCTCTTGGGGTGGAGGGCAACAGCACTGGGGGCCTCATCAGAGGACGTGCAGTCATACAGCTGGAAGGCAGAGGCCACTGTGAGGGCCCACACACTACTGGAGGACTAAAGGCCTTGTGGGCATCCATCCCCTCCCTGCCTAGCCTGCCTTTGGCCGCTTCCCACCTGCCGTAGGGTGGCCAGGTCCCAGATGCGGACAGTGTGGTCCAAGGACACAGTAGCCAGCTGTCCACGGCTCCGCTCTGTGGAGATTGCCAGCACGGGGGCCATGTGGGAGCGTGCCAGCACAGTGTACTCCTGGGATGGGATGTCCAGGAAGCCCAGGTGGCCTGAGGAGGTGGTGGACAGCACACGCAGGCCATCGGGGCTGAAGCAGACGGAGCTGACAGGGCCTTCCTGCTCTGTGGGTAAGGCAGGATCAGCAATTGCCAGGCCCACTGGTACCAGAGCTGGCCTAGGCAGATGTGCCACTGTGCTGCCTGGCACAGAGGTGCCGGAACAGATAATCTGCTCCCCATAGGCCAGGAGGAACAGCTTCCTTAAGACCACCACTCCTGGACCAGATGGGGCCAGGGCTTTGAGGGTACTTTCCCCCTCATCCCTGCCCTGTGCCCTTCTGCAGAGCTGGCCTGCAGGCGTCAGTGGACCCCATGGCTCAAGACACAGCCCCTGGTCCCTTAACTCCCTGTCTAGCCCAGAGACAGCACTGCCAAAGTGAGAGCCAGAGGACCTGCCCTCACCCATAGGACTCCAGTGCCCCGCAACCCCACACAGGCCAGGGTCTCATTGAGCAGGTACAGCCAACACACACATGCAGCCCACCTGCCTCCAGGAGCAGTGATGAGAAGTCCAGGGGCCAGAGTCGCAGACAGCCGTCCTCAGAACCCACAGCGCAAACAGTTGGGGAGATGCTGAGGCTGCTGATGGCAATGCCCAGACCTGCAGAGTATGGGCATTAGCACCTCTGTTGGCCTGAGGCCACTTCCACCAGAGCTGTGTCCACCTACCTGAGCTGAAAGTTGACTTTTGGGGGAGGGAGCTGCCAGGGGTCCGTGAGGGCAGCAGGCGGCGAATGCACCTCACAGCCATGCGCTGGTGGTCAATCTCCAAGATGTGGCCATTACGGCTGCATACATAGCTGCCCCAGGAAGTGACAGGTGAGGGAGGTCTGAGGGCACAGGGAAGGCTGGGTTATGGGTAGTGGGGAAGGGCAGGGCTCACAGTGTGTAGTCCAAAGGTGCTCGGTGGCCATCCTGGGCCTGCACGAAGGCAAGGTCAGTGAGCTCCAGTGTACAGTACTCTCCCAGGTCCACGGAACAAGAGCGTAGCGTCCCACCTCGCAGCCGCCACAGCCGGAGGCTGCCTCGCCCACAGGAGGCCATCCTGTAAGAAGCAAGGAGTAGTGAGCACCACCCAGGGGGCAGAGGGGCTGAGGCCAGGACCCTGCTCCAGTGCCAAGGACTGATTATTACCTGGTTCCATCAAAAAAGGCAACCCGGAAGGCCTGGATGTCAAGGTCAGTGTGCACCTTGGCGAGAACCACTACCTGGCCACCACGGCCCACCTGGCTGGTGCTCCAAGCCACCACCACCTGCAAAGAGCCCACGCTGAGCCCTGGGGCAACCCCCAGGGCCCCCTCTACTCCTTGAGGCCCAGGTGAGTCCACAAGTCAGCAGCTTTTCTCTTGTGCAGAAACCAGCCTGTGAGCACTTGGGTGGGGGATCAGGCCCCTACACAGATGCTCCCCAAGATGTAGCCAACTCTGGGACTTCTACAAGACAAGCCTGAGCTGGTATCACAGCCGTGTCTGAAGAGACAATAGAATGTGACCCGGAATTGAGTAAATGAAAAGCAAGAGGCAGCTGGGTGCAGTGGTCACTCCTTTAATCCCATGGACTCACTAGGAAGCCTGAAGCAGGAGGATGACAAGTTTGAGGCCAGCCTCAGCAACCTGGCAAGACCTTGCTCAAAATAAAAATAAAAAGGGCTGAGGTATGGCTTAGTGGTAGAATACCTGGTTCAATCCCTGGCACCAAAAGAAGAAGAAAAAAAAAGAAAAGAAAAAGCAAAGTCTTGCCAGGCAGGAGGCAAAGGAGCATGGTTTCCTAGGTTGCTTGGCTATTCTTTTTTTAGTTTTGGTCCTTTACTTTTTTATTTCATTTCTAGTTGTCAACAAACCTTTATTTTTATTCATTTATATGCGGTGCTGAGAATTGAACCCAGTGCCTCACACATGCTAAGCAAGCATTCTACCACTGAGCCACAACCCAAGCTCCACAGCTCGGCTTTTTTTTTGAGACAGGGTCTCAATATGTTGCCCCGACTGGCATCAACCAATCCTCAAACCTCAGCCTCCTGAATAGCTGGGAGTATAGGTGCCACTGCACCTGGCTTGACTTTTTTAAAAAAAGAATGAGTGTTACTTTGATAAGTAGAAGTGGAAACGGATCTTTAGGAAGCACAAACTGGCTACAGCTCCTGTGTACTTGATGGGGCTGCCCCATCACCCTGTGCCGGGCTCAGTACCGTCCTGCCATGGCCATCCTTGCCAACGCCATAGAGAAGAGCTCCGCTGCCAGAAAAGCTGTGGATGTAAAACAGGGGTCAGCACCACCTGGGCAATCCCCCACCCAGCCCCAGTGTGGAAGCCTGGTGCCCACCTGAGGGAGTAGATGGTATGCATTGGGCTCTGGAACAGGGACAGGCATCCCCCAGTCTGGAAGTCCCAGAGCCGCACCACGCTGGGGGGCTGTGCCTGGGCTGAGGCCAGCAGTGCACTACTCCCATCCAGGGCCAGGGCAGAGACCTGGGGAGGCACAGGGTGGAAGGAGGATATGCAGCTGCGGGAGCAGGCCCACAGGCCCAGGCAGCACCCACCTTGTCTGTGTGGCCCAGGAAGAAGCGCTGCTCCCCAGTGTCAATGTGCAGGACAACAATGACGGCATGGCAGGGGTAAACAACAGACGTCCCATCCTTGGTCCACAGGGCCTAACACACAAGGACCAAGGACCACAGTCACCAGCAGCACCCAAGGCCCCTCCTCACTGCCTGGAGGACAGCTTCATCTACCACCCAAGTCCAAGGAGGAGGTGGAAGGCCTGGTACACAGGTATGCACAGCACAGAGTACACCTTCCTCCATCACAAGCACAATCCATGACTGCATACATACAGAAAGGATGGCTAAAACATGCACGGCCTCTAGTACCTGCCTGCAGTACAAGAGCCTGAGTCCAGGGGAGCTCAACAAGGGCCAAGGGCTGCCATGGGCAGGTGGTGAGCACTGCCTCCCCCAACTGGGGCTCTTCTCTGGTAGGCCCCCCTCACCTGTCAGAGCTCCACACAGCTGGTTGAGATCAGGGTGGGCCACCCTCATGGAGCAATAAAGGTGCAAACCAGGGCTCTTGGTCTTTGGAAGCACTTTAACCCAGCCATGGCTATCAGGCTTTGCAGAACAAACAGGGAACACCTAGGACCTGGAAACCTACGTGCACCCTGGATGTTCTAAGCATGGGTGGGCATGGCAGTGTTGGATATCTGGGGACCAGAGGGAAGCCCACAGAGCCTGCAGGGTAAAAGGACCTTGATGACCAAGGGGGCTGGGAATCTCTCCCCAGTGCTCAACTGCCCAACGAGTTTCCCTGGAAGCAGCCACAGGATCCTCACCCATTTGGTGCTGTGACCCCCAAAGCCAATGACACCCTTGAGCCTCAGAATTGGGTCTGGGAGAAAATGCTGAAACAGATAAATATGTAGTGAGATCCCAGGAGACACGCCCCATACAAGGCCTGACCCTCTAATGCTGGGGCTGTGTCCTGCCACTCAAGAAAAGGCCACCTGAGGTTGGGGTGCAGCTCCGTGGTAGGGCACTTGCCTAGCATTTGCAAGGCCCTGGGTTACATCCTCGGCACCACCAAAAGGAATAAGAAAAAGCCACTTGAGTCCCAGGTGGCTCCTACTGGCAGCTTCCCTCAGACTGGAAGCCAGGACCCTGGCTACCATGCCAGACCCGGGAGCTCTGGGTCCTGCTTTCCCAAGCTGCCTGGACTGGGGTGTTACTTAAGACAAGTCCTTCCTTACTCTTTGTGAAAGACTGCTCACTGGACATGCACATAGGGGTCATGCCCAAAGCTGTCTCCTGCCACCTCTGCATCCTGCCAGGAGCCTGCATGAGCAGGGACACTGAAGGCAGGCTTGCCTGATGTAGCCATGGTGAGCCCAGGCTGGGCAGCTCCTTACCCATACCCCACCCATACCTTGCCTGCTCTGGATGGGCACTCACCTTGCAGGAGCCAGCATCAAGAGCCACAGGCATCTCAGTCGACTTGTGGGCAAGCACATGGCCATTACTGACCACTGTGTGCATGTCAGCAGCCTCTGCCCAGGCCGTGGGATCTTGGGTACTGGTGTTAAGGCCACTGACCCTGGGCACCTCTGAGTGCTCACAGGACAGGCTGGCTTCTGGAAGGAGACTGGGTGCTGAGGGAAACTGGGGAGGCTGTGGGGAACCAGAGCACATTGGTACCTTGGCGCTGCTGTCCCCTAGCCCTCTCCTGGGGGCACTCACGGCTGTGGGGCTGGGCATCTGGACCAATGGGGACACATTCTGCATGGGCTCTCCAAAGACCACTGGGGGAGGAGGAAGCTGTGATGCTGGCCCCAAGAAGACTGCAGCAGATAAAGAACCCTAGTGATTTTCTGAGCAGAATGACAAGATGTCTGCTGAGAGGGCTGGCAAGGGCAGGGTAACAACTGGCCCTGCTTGTCCACCCTGCAGAAGCCACACCACAGCAGCTGCTCGCCATCCCACTCCAGACCCTGGCATCCCCTCTTCCAGTGCCAAAGTTTGAGGCCCCCAGCCCACCTGCTGCAATAGGGGAATCACTCTTCTGGACCAGCTGGGAAGGCACTTTTGGGTTGTCCCTGGGAAACCTTGGTGGGCAGGTGGAGAGAGGGTCAGCCCTGCAGGCCAAGGGGCCACTTGCCCGTGCCCAAGGCTTCCTCAGGAGGGCAGACTGCTCACCGGACATGCACGTAGCGGTCATGCCAGCTCTCCCCCTTTGGCACTGGGAAAGCCATTTCTCGAGGCACAGGGGTGACTGGCAGCTTTGCCCTCCGAGCCTCAGCCACACTGACAGCTGCAAGGAGCAGGGCTGTTGCAATCGAGGCAGGCTGGTCCAGCTACCTCTTCTAGCCCCAGGCACAAGTGCTTTGTCTGGCCACTGGCCCAGCCACTACCCCCACCCTAGGCTACATCTAGAAATCGGGGGCTCTGGCCTCCAGCTGCACCAATTCAGAGCTCAAAGATGGCATGGTGCCCTGGTAGAAAACCTGGGGCTACTGGTAGGGATGGACACACAGAGGGAGGAGAGCTGACACAGACTGGGTGGGGTGTGGGGCCTGGCCCTCACTGGGGTCGAAGCACAGGTCGCTGGTGTAGAGGTTCCTGACCAGCAGGTTGGCACACAACCTGACACTCTTGAGATGGCCGTAGCGCCGGCTCAGGTAGACTGACAAGATGTCACACAGGTCGAGCTGTAGGCAGGTCCAGCGGGCACAAGGGGGGGACACACCTGCTAGGTCTGCAGGATATATATCCAAGGTCAGCGCCTACCCTAGTGCAGCCCCCACTTCCACAGTGATGATCCTGTACCCATCCCAGACCACCAAAGCAGCCTGACTGGACCTCCACCACCCAGCTATTGGCTGTGAGGCTGCCCTTACTAGATCATTCACACTCAATTTTGGTATCACCTTTCCTGGATGTCCTAGCCTCAAAGACAAAAGGGAACTGCAGCCAAGTGGCAGAGGACCTGAACTCCTTGAAGAGGCTGGAGAATGACACACGGATGACCTGGCCATCCTGCGGGGGCACAGCAAGGGTGTGAGAAGGGGATGACAGGCTATGGTGCCCACAGGCAGCTCCCATCCCAAGCCCCACACCTGGGTGGACAGGTCCAGGTGGATGGCAAAGTGCTTGGTGGGCAGAGGCCGGAAGAGCACATACAGGTATCTCCCAGTTAGCCCCAGGGACTGGGTGCTGGTTTTGGGAAGCAGGATGTAATTGCTGGCAGAGACAGAGCCCTGGATGCGATACACGGTACTCTTAAGGGCCTTGTCCTGGACAAAGAAGGGAGCAGCGTCCAAAGGGATCCAGGGCTGGGAGCGGTGGCGCTCGCCTGTAATCCCAGTGGCTCAGGAGGCTGAGACAGGAGGATCCTAAATTCAAAGCCAGCCTCAGAAACAGCAAAGTGCTAAGCAACTCAGTGAGACCCTGTCTTTAAATAAAATACAAAATCAGGCTGGGGATGTGGCTCAGTGGTCGAGTGCCCCCGAGTTCAATCCCCAGTATCCGCCGACCCCCACCTCAAAAAAAAATAAAGGGACCCAGGGAGCGCCCAGGAGAAGCGTCCACAACGAGGTTTCCCAGCAGGAGGAAGGCCCCGCCAGTACCGTCACCACAGACACATCGCCCTCCTTGCTGGACCGCTTCCACTCGTCCACCCTGAAGTATCTGAAGATGTTGAGGAACGGGTGCTGCCACGCTGGGGGAGAGCGAGGCGGCTGAGGGCCTGGAGGGTATAGGGCCAGGGGGACCCTCCGCCTTCCCCAGCGCAACCACGGCGCGCACGGATGGGCTTCCGCACAGCAAGGCCGAGGCTCCCTCGGACAGGCTCCGAGTGGTGGGCGCGGGGCCAAGTCAGCGGCCGGGCCGGCAGGGCCCCTCGCCGGCTCCCGCAGCCCCAGGTACCCCGAGCCCACTGGCCCTGGAGCCTTCCAGACCGGGACCCCACCCCCCGAACCCGGGTTCCAGGACCCCGGAACGCCAGCCGCGCGCAGCTACCTCTGGCCATGGCCGGGCAGCTCGCGCTTCCCGCTTCAGCCGGCGCCCGCCCCACGCAGGGCACGCAGCGCGGCACCTAGCAACGGCCGCCTGGTAACGGCGCGTCACTTCCGCCTCCATGGCGGCGCCCAGGACCCACGTGATCGCGGGACCCGGCCCCCCTGGAGGCCAGAGCCTGCACCCCGCAGTCGCTCCCTAGGGCTGCGAAGGGCCTTCCCGCGAGGTTCTCCTTGGCCGCCACGCACAGGCCGCTCCTGCAGACCCTCCTGTGTGGCGGGACTGAGACGCACCCCACTACGAGTGGGGCTGCACGGGGCAGGGCCGGGAGTGGGAGGGAGGCTGAGCCTCACCTGGGCTCTGTAACCCTCTGGAGGGACCCGGACAGCACCCGCGGTACTCCGGGTCTTCTTGCCTCAAGACGGGCAAGGTCACCCTTGACCCATCAGAAAGGCAGTGCTAGTTTCAGTGCCCAGGGGGACTCAGGTTCCCAAACAACCATGTTTGTCCCCACGAGCTTACTACCCACCCCTAGACCTGCAGGACATCTTTACCCAGTCCTTTTAAGTCAGGCCTGGTGGCCTCAGAGAGTGAGACTTGGCATCCCAAGACCTAGCCCCAATCTTGGGTGGCTAGATTCCCATTTCAGGGCCAGTTCTTTAGCCTCTCTAGGCCCTGTTGCTTTGGCAACAGTAAATGCCAACAGGAGAGCATTAGATGGGGCAGAGCTGGGTCTACAGACTTCCCAGCAAAAGGAGCTGGCTGAGGGCCCCAGGAAGACAGCTAGGTGAGAAGCCGAAGACAGAGTTGGACAGAGCTATAGCCCCTGCTGACCCAGAAGCACCAGAGTGGATGGCTGAAGGTACACTTAGCTGACACAAGGACACCACACTCTCAAGTCAAGGCCACTCCAAAGGGCAGTTTCTCAACTTTATTAGCCTGCAGCTCTTCCCTGCCAGCCCCAGGGGCTGGTCCCTGGGCAGTGAGCAGGACTGAGGTCAGACAGGTTCCGCTTCTGGCCCCTGCCAGCTTGGGACAGCTGGGCCAAGGAACCAAAGGTACAAAAGTCCAAATGTGGCACTTCAGGTGAGGCCAGCTTCTAGCCGACCACAAGGTGGAGGATATCATGGCCTTCTCTGGCCAAGGGTCCGTCTTGGCAGTGTTCATTCCCAGGCAGCCACTATGAACAGCTGGTGATCCTAGCCAGGAACTGCTGTGCCCACCACTCGTCCAGGTCGATGGGCACAAAGTCTGTGGGCAGAGCAGAAGCTGGACAGTGACACCACCTTCCAGACTGGTCACTGTCTCTGCCCTTAAGCTGAGCACAGGCCCCTCACTCAGATTCCAAACATCAGGCATTGGGAAGAAGGCGTCCAGCTCAGGAATCCCCTCCCCAAGCCCCTGGCAGGACCCAGGTCAGGACAGAGAGGCTAAGGGAAGACAGTAACATGGAGTAGGGCTCCCTTGGGGTACGGGGTCTGGGAGAATTCCTGGGAACAGGGCTGGGGGCTCACTCTGTAGCCGGGGATCGGGTGTCCTCTCCACGTACTGCACAGGCCTTGGCCCACTCTCACTGGCCTGGCCACCATCCAGCTGTCGCTCCACCTGCTGCCAGGCTATAGGGGATGGGTGGTCAGGCTGAGCCAGACCCCTGGCAGCCCCTCCCTGCTGAGGGCCTAGTGGCCACCCTAGACTCAGGCCAGCATTGGGAGTAGGCAGTCTTCTGGGTGGTCACAGGACAGACTACAGAGAGCCAAGGAAAAGCACAGCCAGTCAGGCTGCAGCAGGCTGGAGGACCTGGGGTCATCCCAGTTCACCTCACTGGGACCCATAGCCCAAGACATACCCTCTAGCCCTTTGCTACCTTCGGACACAAAGCGGACATTCTCCTCGTGGGCCAGTGTGTAGGTCTCTTGGGTTCTCTCAAGAGATGGGGATGTGGTGAGGGGCCGACGGCCATTCACTCGATTGAACACAAGTCTTGGCCCTGGACTGTGGGAGGGAGGAGACAGTATGGTCAGTACCCATCCAGGCCCAGGTGCCACCTGGCAGAGCCCAAGGGCAGTCTTGGACCATGCCCACTGTTCCAGACCAGGCCCAGCCTGGCCCTTCCTCAACCACAGAGCAGTGGCCTGCAGCAGTTGATGGTGTAGGCCTCTCTTGCAGGCCCTGGGCAGTTCAGCTCACATCTGCAAACCTTGGTCCCAGGGAAGCAACTTTGGGTCAGGGAGGGATCACCAGCTGTATCCGATCTTGGCAGAGGCACAGCCAGTGCCCCTCTACACTGCCCTTCACCCCCACCAGACAGGCCTTCAACAGCCCAGGTAGACCTCAGTCATGAGTAGGTCTCTTCCCCAGCCCCACCTGGCAGGCGCATTTACTCCTCTACCTACAACTGATGTGGGAGAACAGACCTAACAGCTGGATGGTCTCTGCCACTCCCACTCCCTGGCTGCCCCCAGGCCCTGAGGGATGAGTACTGAAAGCCTGTGAGAATCAAATGGGGAGAGCGTGACCACAACCCAGCCCATTCCCCATGAGCCAGAGACAAGGGGCAATACAAGTGAGATGGCCCCCATGGCGCTGCACAGGATGTCCAGGGGGCCACTGAGCAGGTCCCAGCCAGGCAGGCCCAGGGCAGGGCTGAGCCCTGTGCACATGATGCCCACACGAAGCCCAGGGTGGGGCCGTGGAGGGAATGGAGCCGCACCTACAGCAGGAGGTGGGAGCCAGAGTCCTGGGCTGCGCCTGCCGCTCCACCAGGCACTCGCGGTCCCGGGCGGCCTGCTCGCCTTCCTGGGCTCAGGTGCCCCACGCCGCTCTGGGTTCCTCCTCAGGTGAGAGGGGCACTAAAATAAAGAGGAGGGTCTTGAGGGGCGCAGGGTCCTGCCAGCCCCAGGGCCGGCAGGGTCTTGTTGCCACAGAGAACCTTAGATGTGCAGGTGGAGACTGAGAAGGGGCAGCGGCTCCTCCCCAACCTGGAGACTGCCTGAGCTTCTGCGCAAGCCGGGGCATAAAAGTCTGTCCTCCTCTTGACAACCTCCCCTTGCCTGCAACCACCCCCACCCTGAAAGACTTCAAACACCAGGAAAGCTTGGAGATGGGACATCAAATTTTTAAGAGGAAGAAATGCAACTGGCCCTATGAACTACAAGGGATCTAGGTGGTGATGCTCAGGCTGATATGGGGGCCCAGCAAGGCAACCCACTACCCCACAGTTATATAAAGCCCAGGCTCTGTGAGGGGAAGAAACAGCCCCAGTGTGCACCTGTGAAGGATAGCCAACCTATATCAGCTTTTAGGAATGCTGTGCAGGCAAGTGCCAGCCCACAGACCTCCTCTTTTATCACTTCCTCTCATGTATCCCCTCTACCACTTCCAAGGTAGACCAGCAGTCTATTTTTTTGGCCCAAGAACCTGGGCTGGAAAGAAGTGGGAAGGGGACAGCAACAAGATTCAGCAGTAGTCCTGGCCTCAGAGCTCACACCCCTGACCCAGTACCAACCCTCAAGCCAGCCTCCTTCATGTGTTCTTGCTGGCCACAGGCCCTACCTCCCCACCTCTGGTGGTCCCTGCATGCCCCCTACCGCCCTTGGGGACAGGTAATCATACTGCCCCATTTTGTCTCCTTCTCTCTCAACAGGACTGCCAGAGGTGCAGATCTAGCTGGCCTGTCCACTTTCAAAGGCAATGCCCACATCCATGCCTAGCCTGAACTGGAGCCCATACATTTAGCAGGTCAGGAACTCTGGGACTGCTGTGTGCCAGCAGGACAGGCAGTGGCCACCACTGCCCTTCTCCCACAATTGGTCAGATGAATGATGGGTGGTCAAAGGTACTAAGCAAGGAAGCTGTGGGAGTGTTAGGTGGGAGATTTTGGAGGGTGGCCCCTGAGAAGAAGCAGGAGTGGGGGCCACATATGGAATTGCCAGAATCTCCTAGCCGAAGGACTAGGACTGGGTGCAACCCACTGACCTCAGAGGAAATGAGAACAGTGAGTCCTGCTCAGTCCAGCAGAACTGAAGGCCACCCCCCCACTCCACTTTCCCCTCCAGCATGCCTGGCTTGGCTGACTAATGGAAAATCTCAGGTGTCCACACCACATCTGGTCTCCTGGGGGTCTATGCTCTAGAGAAAACAGCCAGTGGGCCTGGGGGTATCCCTTGCAGTCCTTACCCTCTTCCTTCCTGCCTCCTTGACACTGCTCCCAACTCTGCCAGGGACCTGCCCTTGCTGTCCGCAGCAATGGAGCCTTGGAGAGGAAGAAGCTCCCCCAGGTAAGAGGTGTGGGGTCCATCAGCCACTCCAGCCTACACCCCCTGACTGAATAACCACACGGTGGCTACACACTAGGGTGCCTCAGCTTCCTCCACTGGGTGGAACAACCAGGACATGGACTGATGTCAGCCAAATGTCCCCAAGACCCCATTCACCCCCTCCCCAGGGCGCACCTCTGGCCTAGGACACTTCCACCAGAGAGCCTCAGCATGTCAATGTGTCCTTCAATCAGGAAGCACCCCTCTCCAAAAAGTCAGTCACCTGACCCTACATCCCTCCACCTGTGGATTCTGAGCCCCAGCAGTTGAGAGGGGCATGGAGACACAGCACCCCCAGCTGTAGCTAATCTGCAATTCTAGACCCCTGGGGGCTGTCAGTTCTCAGCTTGGAAAGCCCCCACCTCCTGGGGTGTGCCCCACACTGCCTCAGGGAGCCCTGAGCTGATCCTGTGCCACCCCCACCTGGGGCCTAGGCAGGAGCAAAGTCCACAGGCTCCAGAAGGAAACAGTGGAGTAAATTGAGCCAAAGGAGTAAAAGGTTCAACCCTGGGGGAGGAGGCTAGCCTCCAGGTCATGGTCCCTAGAGGGCAAAGTGGCTGGGAACGAGCCTCCTTGGGGCACTGGGCAGGCGGCTGGTTAGGAAAGGAAGGAAGCTGTAGGCCCTAACGCACGGGGGCATTTGCTGGAAAGGAGGGGACTCCAGTGCCCCAGGATGTCTGGGGTGAAGGGCAGAGGACTGGGGCCTGGCAGGGCAAGAGGGAAACACGTGCACCTCTCCCACAAGGACACCCAGGAGACCTTGAGGGCCTGCGCCCTGGGCAGCTCTTCCCAGCCCTCGACCTCGGCCGTCCAAAAGAGGTCCGTCATACAGCCCAAGGTCGCCCGGCGCGTCTGCCTCTGCCACCCGGAGTCCCCTTGACCCACGAGGGGATCACAGGCCGGCGGGCCCCACGTGGCCAGGAGTGTCCGCGCTAGCCAGGCCGAGCCCTAAGGCCCAGCCAGGTGGGCGGAAGCACGAGCAAGCTAACCGGTGCGCCCCGACGGCGTCCACCGACCTCTCCCCAAGGTCACTCTCCAGGCCGCCGGCGGCCACGCTCACCTCGACAAGGGCCAGGGTCCGGGCTGCGGCGCCAGAGGCTGAGCCCGCGGGGGTGGCGAAGCCGGCGGCGCGGGCTGCCGGCATTTCAGGAGCTCACCGAGCCTGCTTTCCACCTGCTGCTGCGGGGGACCTACGGGCGCGGGGAGGGCACGTCAGTAGCCGCGGGTCCGCGGTGCCCGCGCCCGCCCGCGCTCCCGCCCGCTGGGCGCACCTGTGCGGCGCTGTGCGACCAGCTTGCTGGGCCCCTTGGTGATGGTGTACATGGTACGCCTGCCCGCACCCAGGACCGCTCCGCCCTCACTCGGCCGCCGTCCCCGCCCGCCGGCCGGATCCGAACCCTCCGACCGCTCCAGCTCCGCGGCGAGGCGGGCGTGGCCCCTTTAAGGGCAGCGGGCGGAGCAGGGCAGAAGGCGGAGCGGCTCGTGCACGAACCCCCGCCCTTAAAGGGGCCGCGTGAAGGTGCCGGACTGGCACGTCTCACTGGCGGCGCTCCCAGCTGTGGGGCATCTGGTGATGATGCGATGCTGCAGTGCAGAACGAGGTCGGCGGTCTTTGCGACCTCCAGGCGGAGTCCTCCGTGAGCGGTGACTTAGCCCTTAACAGGAGAGAGGGCGCTCTGCCTTGGGTGCTAGGGAGCTTTACTGGGGGCCTCTCTGCATGGGGGTGGGGGTCTGTGCTGAGGGTATCTGTAGTGAAGGGGAACCTGTGCTGAGGGGTGCTCTGCACACGCTGGAAGCAAGGGAGCTTCTGCGTATGTTTGAAGGTCCTCAACCAGTGCCTGGAGAGGTCTGGGCCGGTATTGGGAGTCACCTTCATCCTAGGGAGTCTAAGAAGAGAAAAGGGGTGAATTTAGCAGGGAATGGGAAGTAACAGTGCCCCCAGGTGGATGCAGGAAGCCTGGAGGCCCAACACCAGGTCTAAGCTGGGAAGGGTGGAGGAAGGTCAGCTCCACTCCAGCCCCAAGGCTACTCAGAAATCAGATCCTCTGTGTCCCTTGCTGGGCTGCCCCAGGTTGACTGAGGCAGGAGGATAGCAAATTTGAGGCCAGCCTGGGTAACTTAGTGAGACCCTATCTCAAATTAAAAAGACTGGGGATGTAGCTCAGTGGTAGAGCGCCCCTGAGTTCAGTCCCCAGTGCTGTAATGTGTGTGTGTGTGTCTCTCCACCTGGCACCTCTTTACTTGGAGTAAGAGTTTTTATAAATGTAATAAAGGCAGCGACTTCAGTATGAAACTATCCTGAATTAAGGTGGCCTGAGGGTTGGGGCCCTTTTAAGGGAGAGATCTGGTCACAGAGGAAGGCTGTATGAAAATGGAGCATAGGGGCTAGGGTTGTGGCTCAGCGGTAGAGCGTTCACCTAGCATATGTGCAGCCCTGCATTCGATCCTCAGCACCACATAAAAATTAAAAAAAAAAAAAAATTGGAACAGAGACTGGAGCAATGTGGCCATAATCTGACAGTCTGGTTTCTAGAGTAAATAAATGTATTTTCTAAAAGTCACCATGTTTGGGGATAATTTGTTATAGCAGTTAAACAAACTGATATACCCAGGAGAGTGGTGGAAGGAGGGATGGGAGGGAGCGCTGCATAGGGCCTGAGAAGGAAAGTGGGGATGTTGGACCCCCACTGGATAGTGGGGGGCAGGCAATGAAAAGTGGGCAGATGAGCTGGGACCTAGGAAAGAGGCTGGGCCCTGCTGTTGACTTGGGGTGAGGTGGGACATGGCCCACAGGCCCTTTTGTGAGTGAGAATGGCATAGGATTGACCCTCACTCATCAGGCATTGCCTAAGCATCTTCTGTAGGCCAGACCCCAAGACAATCACAGGCTGGGAGGAGGGGAAGTGTGTCCAGGGAATAAGAATGAGGATGAGGCAAGGGCCAGTAGGTGCTGCAGGACAAGGGAATCCCTTGTTTCTTTCCACAGCATACAACCAAGGACCTGTGGCTTGCTGAGTCTTGGTGATTTGATCACATGTGGAAAGGTGGCCCCTGCTATGGTGCCTCCTACCCAGTATACATACATCCCTCAGGCCTAAATTCAGTCTCTGGCACTTGACTTCAACAAGTTCAACCCTGGCTATCCAGGGGAATGTTATCCCACAGAGGTCCCAGACAGCTGCTAGCATCTAACACACTTGCCTGCCAGGAAATGTGTGCTCCCACACACGGATTGCGGAATAGCCGCTCCACCACCTCATCTGCTTTTCTGCCAGGCGCTGAGCTCTGGCAGTGCGGAGGCCAGGTGGAGTGATGGATGCAGCAGGAGTGGGGGTGGGGGTGGTATCCGCCAGAGTCCAGTACCATTAAGCACAATGCCATTTGCTGAACACTGTGAACAGTTCCTTAAAGCAGGATTCCTGCCTGTGTGCAGAGAGTCCCAGGGGAAGCCTGGGTTGTGAGTGGCACACCTCTACCTAGGTGGTCCCCTGGCTGTCAAAGTCCTCCAGGTCCTCCTGGAGCTACACCCTCACCTGCTGCAGAACCCAGTCAGGGTCACTATCAACACTGTATGTACATCAATATCCACTTCACAGGGCTGGGGCTGTAGCTGGTTTGATCCTCAGTACCACATAAAAATAAATAAAATAAAGGTATTGTGTCCAACTACTTCAAAAAATAAATATTAAAAATAAAACAAAGGCATTCAGTCCATTTACAACTACAAAAAAAAGTTGATAAAAATGAAAAAAAAATATATATATATATCCACTTCACAGTGCTGTTTGGAGGAGGGGGAAGCCCGCCAGTCCTCAACTGGCTGCTTCTCTCATTTTAAAATATAAATGGACACAATACATGGTGCAGAGGATCCAACACAGTGCCTCACACTTGATAGGCAAGTGCTCTGCCACTGAGCCTCAGCCCCAGCCCAACTGGCTGCTTTCTTGAGGGAGCCATCCTAAGTGGCAGCCCTACAGCATTGTCCCTGGGACTCTTCACTAGCCCTCCCTGGTCTAAACACATTCACATCCCATCCATCCTGGCCATTGGCCAACCTTGGATATGCCCTCAGCAGCAACCACAGGCTAAAGTCCTAGTCAGCGGCCACCCTCAGCTCTGGTCCGCAAGACGTGGGGTATGGGGGTTCTTGGCCAGTCCTGACTGCAGAGCACTGCCCTCTGCATTTTCTGGAATCGGAACCTCTGAGAGGTGGACCCCAAGCTGAGTATTCTGAGAAGCTCCCTTGAGTACACACACATCGCAACGTCAGACTAGATTTCATGGGTCTCTGCTCCCGCTATCTATCCCGCTAGGGACCCTGAGCGGGCGCTGGTCATCTCAGGGTTAGAGAGAAGTCCTGAGCATCACCAGCTGGGTCTGAGTAAGATCCCCCAACCAGGGCCCCAAATCGGGCCCTGCCCATCAGGCCCCTTTCACCAACCCCAAGCAAGGCCCTGCCCACCAGAGGACCTCACTAGGGCCACGCCCACCAGACTCCCACTACGGCTCCGCTCCCATCGACAACCGAGTGCTCATGGTTGTCATGGTTTCCATGGCTAAGGCTCGAATGAAGGCTGTCTTCGGATTTGCATTCTCCGTCTGCGTTCGTTCTTCGGACTCCTAGATGTATCACGAGACCAAATTCAGGTGACGATAACGCATGCGCTGTGCCCGCTGCGCGGCCGGCTATGTCATAATTCTTAGGTCTTGTGGCAGCTTCCTTTACTCAGCTGCGCCGCTGGTGTAGTGGTATCATGCAAGATTCCCATTCTTGCGACCCGGGTTCGATTCCCGGGCGGCGCATATGATTGTTTTCCCTTTTTCCGATCTCTGGAACCGGCTCCAGCTCACCGCAGCCAGGAAGAGCAGAGCAGTCTTGAGGGAAGTAGGAAGCACCGGTTCCGGTGCAAGGAGAGACAGGCTCTCTGAAAACACTGGCGCGCAGTGGTGACGCGGTTCCTAACCAAGAGGCGTCCATAAACCAGCAGCATCGGCCGCCGGGGCCCCTCTCGGGGCTGCGGACCCACCCTTTAAGGGGTGTCGCGCGTCCTTGTGTCAGTTGTCCGACTCCCGGCAGCGCGGTGGCGATGCTGGTGGCGGCGGCCGCGGAGCGAAACAAGGAGCCCATCCTGCGCGTGCTGCAGCAGTACGTGGACCCCGCGCAACGCGGCGTCCGCGTGCTCGAGGTGGCCTCTGGTTCCGGCCAGCACGCCGTGCACTTCGCGCGGGCCTTCCCGCACGCGGAGTGGCAGCCGTCCGACGTGGACCAGCGCTGCCTGGAAAGGTGCGAAGGGTGCGGGCTGCCAGAGGGCGGCCGGGCAGGGGTGCGGGACCAGGCTGTGGAAGCGGTAGGGCTGCGGGCCCGCTGCTCAGCCTCTCCGGGCTCCTGGTGAAGCGACTGCAGGGCCCTCTGCCTCTCGCTCATCCGCTGCCCTCCACAGCATCGCCGCCACCACGCAAGCCCAGGGTCTGTCTAACGTGAAGGCCCCGCTGTACCTGGACGTGACCTGGGAGTGGGAGCACTGGGGAGGGATCCTGCCGCACTCGCTGGACCTGCTGCTCTGCATCAACATGAGCCACATCAGTCCCTTAAGCTGCACCAAGGTGGGTGGCTGCAGAGATGCCTCCCGAGGGAGTGGCGGCCAGGATAGCCCTGTCTCCAGCAGGGGTTCTCCAGGGTCTGGGAAGGTGACTCACCCTGCCTTGCCTCCTCCTCCCCAGGGGCTTTTCAGAGCTGCTGGACATCTGCTCAAACCCAAGGCTCTGCTCATCACCTATGGGGTGAGTTGTCCTGCCCCAGGGCCTTTCCCCTCTTATGGCCTGCTGGGCTCTGCCCAGGCTCCACCTGGTCCTAGGCTTCCCCTTTTTGGGGCAGAAAAGGGGTGTCCTTTTCATTCTTCAGACCTCAGCCTGCCAGCATGTCCATGGCCCACTGGGGAATGACTGACCCTGGTTCTGTGCCCCCTGTCCATGCAGCCCTATGCAGTCAATGGGAAGATCTACCCCCAGAGCAACGTGGACTTTGACTTGACCCTAAGATGCAGGTCAAAGCTGGGTGAGAGGGGCCTGGCTTAGGGAGCAGGTGGGCTGGGTGTCCCTGGTTGGCCCTGGACAAGACCCTACTTCCTCCCTGCTGCAGGAACCCAGAGTGGGGACTGAGGGACACAGCCCTTCTTGAGGACCTGGGTCAGGCCAGTGGCCTGCTCCTGGAGAAGATGGTAGGCAGGGTGAGCTGGGGTGGAGTGGCCTTCCTGGGGCCCAAGGGCCACTCCAGCAAAGTATTTCTGTAGGTGGACATGCCAGCCAACAACAAGTGCCTGATTTTCCGGAAAGAATGAATCCTCCCCTTCATCCTGCGTGCATGTGCCCAAGTCTGGGCACAAACCAGAACTCCATCCCTATCTCCCAGGACCAGGTTTCTGGAATGACCAGCCCCACCAGTCTGGGCTCGTGGAACCTGGGCCCAGACTGCCTTGGAATAAAGCACTTTCTGCTGCCCATTGAGTATCTACCACACTGTGGGACGGGTGGGAAAAAGGGTCTGGCCTGTGGGGTTGGGGTTATCTAGGGCCTCAAGGGACAGGCAGAATGGAGTTGGTCCCCACCTGTGAAACACGAGGTCCCCAGGGTGAGCTGCTTCTCCTTGGAGACCTCAGATGGAGCCAAAGCCCCAGTTGGTTGAAGACCCCAGCTTGGTAACAGGCCAAGGGGTGGGGTCACCTGGAAGGGTAACAATCCCCCACCGACAGCAGCCCATGAGTTCCAGGGGAAAGGAAGAGCTTTTATTCATCAGAAAGAAGGGCAGGGTGGGGAAGGGCAGGGCTAATCTTGGAAGCGGTTGAGCAGCTCACAGGCCTTCTTCTCCAGCAGCTCTGATATTTTCTTCACCCGCTTCTCACTGGCGGCGCGCACGTAGCTGCCAGGGTCCAGCACGGCCACACCATCTCGTACTTCACCCATGATAACCAGTGGCCCATCGCCGGCAGACACATTGGGACAGGGGCAGGCCCAGTCCATGCCGCTTAGTGTCACCTCCAGGTACTTGGTGCCCAAAAACTTGAGGCCCATCTTGTCATCCTTCAGTACATCGTCCAGAGCCACACGGGCAATGCCGCCTGCAGCCTCTGGTTCCTCCAGCACCTCAGTGAGCCGCCCTACGATGGCAAAGTCACTGCGACACAGGCTCAGCGCCAGTTTGCTTCTGAGGCGACAGGCCCGGCAGGGTGGTGTGCGAGGCACAGGGCAGGCGTCCTCACAGCGCTCTCGGCTCTCAAAGTTGTTGCCATTGCCCTCGCAGCCACTGTATAGGAAGGGCAGGCACCGCTGCAGAAGTGGGCTATAGGCCCAGCGTGGCTCCCAGCCCTGGCAAGGCCCCTGCACCGCTGGCAGGGTGCAGGCATCCCCAGGGCCACGGGTGCAGGCCTGTTGGCACGCCTCGTATGTCTCGAAGCCCCGGGTGGCCCCATCACACTCGAGAGCGGGGAAGGTCATGCAGCCTCCGCGCTGTGGATCGAAGTTCCAGAGCACATGATGTGGGGAGGCAGGGCCCGAACAGGCCTGCGTGCCAGGCAGGCACTCTGCCAGAGTGGGCACACCATGGTCCTTGTCCCTGGCTGGCTCCCGCTGGACCACAGAGAGTGGGAAGTCAGCCCTCAGCAGGCCTGCGGCATTGCGTGCAGTGCAGGTGTAAAGGCCAGCATCCTCTGGCCTGGCATTGTAGAGTACCAGCTGCCCGATGCTAGTGACCACCACATTGCCATACATCTGATCAGGGCGCAGGATCAGGTTCTCCTGCTGGTGGCTCTGCTTTTCCCAGGTCACAGCAGGTGGCGGGCGGCCACTGACCTCGCAGTGGAGGCTGGCCGTGCCTCCCACATGCACTGCTTGTGGGGAGGGACTGCTGTACAGGGCAGGTGGCATGGGGGCAGCCCCCAACGTAGGCCGGGCTGTGGTCTCTGGTGGCCCTGGACTGCTGGGTGGCCAGCTAAGGACATGCTTGCAGGGCACCACGTGTAGGTGGAGGCCTCGCAGGCAGGCCTCAGCGTCCATGTAGCAGCGATTGTAGTAGGTGAGGCCATCGGAGGCACAGGTGAAGTGGGGCTCCTTCTCACAGCGGTCACGGCAGCGGCACACAGGCTGCCCATCCCAGATGTCACAGTCAGAACCCTGCTGTGGGCACTTGAAGCCCTCACAGGAGGCTGCTGTGGTGGGTGCAGCTGGGCCATCTGGGAATCGGGCTGCCACGCAGCTCTGCAGCCCACACACGTTGGCACAGCACTTCTCCGAGGCAGCACAATCCTGGGGGAGGCAGGTAGCTCAGCAGAGCCCTGAGGCCCTCCCACCTGGCCCAGGGTCTCCACCTTGCCCCTGCACCAGGGAGTACAGATGCCTGCAGCTACAGCCCCTGTGCCTCTCCCTGAGCTGGCTTTCCCTCTGGAAAGTGGAGGAAGTGCTTTTTGTCCAGCATGATAAGCTTCAAAACTGGTCACATATCACCTAACTGAATCCTTAACATCCACAAGCAGGACTCACCGTGGTTCCTTCCCCGTGTGCCAAGGCCCTGGGCTCAATGGCAGATTTGGGCTAGGGTGTGGCTTAGTACGAGGGAGGACCTGGTTCTGCCCTGGCATCATACAGAAAAAAGCAGTCCCCCACCATCACAGATGGCCATGTGCCAACCCTCTGGTCACCCCTTTCCCAGTGTGAGGGAAGGGCGATGGCCCACAGTAAGATTGCTGTGCAAGGGAAAATTCAGAGGCCTGTGTCCACTCTGGTCTTCACAGGATAACTGCTGCCCAGGCAGGAAATAGACAGGTCTGGTGAGGAAAAGGGGATCCCATTCTCAGACAGGTGAGGGCAAAGATAGAGTATGACCCAGGCCCCTTGTATGGGGAATGGCCAAAACCTTGGCATAAGAATGTGGAGAGCCCCAGTAGGAAGTGGGTTCCTAGGGCTGCCCTCCACCCCCAGGGAAAGGGCTAGGGTGGGGCCAAGCACCCAAACTCCTTGGGATTCCCCACACTCACCTGGTCCCTGGCGCACTCTCGCTCACAGGTGCTCTGGGCGTCTACCCACAGGCTGGGGCTGAGCTGGTTGGGGCACAGGCCGGGATGGTTCCCTAGCTCTGGCAGCAGGCCAGCCCCCAAGGCCAGTCTGATGATGAGGAACAGAGGCAGGAACAGTTGTAGGGCAGGCATGGGGACCACAGGGCCAGGGGGCATAGCCGTGTGGCTGCCAGCCCCTCCTGGGGCCCCACAGAGCCCAACACTCTGTAGGCATCCACTCTCTGGAGCTACCCGGCTGGCCCTTCCTCTCCCCTGATTATTCTTTGGGTTCCCCTTTGGCCCCTGAGGCTGGAGCCCACTGAAAATGCTCCCCCAGGCCCCAGTTGGGTGGGTTTTGGAATCTCAGAGCTCTCTCTGTGTAGCCCTTTCCCTCCCTAGTCTGTCTCCTCTCTCAAACACTGCAGGCCGCTCCCAGGTCCTGGTCAGCATAGGGAGAGGAGGGGAGGCTGGGGAGGGGCCAGGGCTCAATAGCGCAGGGTCATCGAGGGGCGGAGAAGGGCTAGCTCTGGCCAGAGAGGAGGAGAGGAGGGGGATGACACAGTAGCTGGAATCCTTCCCTCCATAGGCTGAAGTCAGCTGGGGTCAGTCTCCTTGAAGACCCTCCTCCTTCAATTTAGGGGGGAGGGGTGAGGCCAATAGAACTCAGCAGCTTTTGTCCCCACCCTTTGGTCTCCCATGTGGGGGAGTTCAGGCCCCTACCTCACCCCAACTGACCACAGGCCTGGGTCTCCCCAAGGCAGGTCCAAGTGGTACCTGTCACCTTTGAGTCCAGGTAAGGCACAGGGGTGCTATTTCAGCCCAGCAGATGGGGAGGGGGTCTGTTCACTTCCTGGGAAGAACACCACTTTCTACATGTCCCTGTCAGGGTCACAACCTGCCAGCAGATCTTGAAGTACATGTGGAATCTGCAGGGGTGAGGCCTTGGCAGCTCAGGCCCTGAGCCGACACAGAACTTTGCATTCCCAGAGATACCCACTTTGCTGGAGCCTCTGGCTCTGGCTCTGGCCTTGGCCCAGGCCCTTCCTGGGCTGAGCAAGGAAGGACAGAAGTGAGGCCTGCCCAGCACCAGGATATGGCTCCACATGGGTATCCACCCAGGGTCCATAGGGATGGCCAAGTCCAAGGGCCCTAAACGAGCAAAGTCCTACAAACTACCCAGGGCCCGCAAGCACCCAGGAGTCTCTCCCTGCCCCCAGCTGCCTGGCCTGACCTGGGGGCCAGCTGGGCTGGAGGCCCCTCCTCCACTGGGGAGATCAAAGGCTCCTGGCAGGACAAAGGGCGGCCTGGAATTTGCCCTTCCAAACCCTTCTGAGGCTCCAGAGGTCTGGGGGCCCCAGGATGTAGCCCTGAGTCTGACCTCCTGACCCAGGAGGCAGGGTAATAAAGAGCTTGGTCTGGCCAGAATGGAACCAAGAGATGGCTGCCAGGCGCCAATGACTCCTGACTTACCCAGGAGCTATGGGGAGCTGGCCCCTGATAATGAGGGGTGGGTGGCTAGGCCAGCCTACAGATGGGGTCAGGACAGGAGCTCACTGCAGCCTGGCAGCCCCAGTGTGGGGGTGCCCAAGGCCTAGACCACTCCCAAGGAGCAGCATGTGTCCCATCTGCGAAGGGCCATCTGCGGAGTACAGCATCCTTATCCTGCTCAGGTCTGACCTCCAGGACATGACTCACCCCTGGCCGAGCAGGACTCGGCAGAGTCCTACCCTTGGGGTTCCTGAAGCTGTGGCAAACTGTGGGTGCTGGAAATAAGGACTCCACATGAGGAGGCGTTTCCCTAGGAAACTGGCTTGTATACTGTGCACAGACCAAGCCAGCCCAGCCCACTCTCAGCCCTCGTATACAGGTATGCAAACCTAGTGTGCCTGCAGGTCATCAAGGTCAGCTCCTGAAGACAAAGGGCTCAAAAAAGCTGGGGCTCAGGTGGGCAGGCACAAAGCTGTGGTGGTCCCTGTGCAGGGCACCACTGCCAGACCCACCACCCCCACCACAGCCCATAAAATCCGACTGACCTTACAAAACCAACAGGGAGGGCACAGCTGAATTACATTTACTGTACAAAGAAACGGAAGAACAGCTCAAAGGACACAGGAATGCAGGGTCCAGCAGCAGTGAGGGTAGTGTTGATATGGTGCACGTGGGACTGTCCAGCTCCTCAAAATGAAGTCTGTGTAGCTCTGTTCACAACTCCAGAGAAAAGGGCATTGCTGGCAGCAACAGGGGTGCTGGGTTGGGAGATGGTGGAGCTACCCCTGACACAAGCTCCCCAGCACAGGAGCCATCTCCCAGTACAGCCACGGTGCTGCATCTGCATGTCCACCGGTGCCCTGAAATACCTGCAGCAGGACTGTCCTGTACCACGTGCATTATGAAGGACCCAGAGAGAGGGGTCCCAGCCCAGGGAGGGCTCCTTGGTGGCTGGGGCCCTAGGGCAGGAGGTAGAGTTGAGCACCAGTGAGGCCGAGGGTGGGGGTGCCAGGCAAGGGGGCAGCACTGAGAAAGACCAGGCCATGGCTTCATGGGGTGAGGATAAGGACACTGTGCACCGGCACAAGGGCTGCTGGGAGGTCCTCCAGAGGGGCCCAAGGTGCAGACAAGGCTGCTGTCCAGGCAGTACCACTAAGAAACAGGTCAAAGAGGTTCCAGTAGCATGTGACCTCACAGGCAAAAGGGCACCACAGATGAGAACGAGCTGCTGGGAAAACAAGTCCTGGCAGTGTCTGGAGGTTCAGATGCCAACAGTGTCACTCCAGTGTCACTCGCAGATCTACAGAAGGCTCTATAGATCTCCTTGACCTGGAGACCTGATCTATGTAGTGAGTATTACTGAGGGTGCTCAGTTATAACAAGCAGGAACCCTGGAGTGGCTGAGGGGGGTCCCCTCACACCCTGCTTCTCCCCTTTCCTGTAAGTCACACATCCTTGCCTATGCCCAGCACACTGATCTCCAGAGTTATACGCTGGGGCCAAGACCTCTGCCAGAAGCTTCTGGGGTACCCTGTTTCTCACTGGCATGGGCAGTGCCAACACCCCAGGCAAATTTGATGTAAATCTAAAGAACTCCTGTTCCGACTGCACCTCCTGCCATCACTCCTCAAGCCCCTCTTTCCCCAGATGTATGGGCCCTCCTCATGGGTGCTGTGGCGTGAAGAGGCAAGCTCACCGCACAGATGCATCCATCTTCCCTGACAGCCTTTTTAAAAATGTACAAAACAGGCAAAATGTTCTCTATATAAATAAGGAAGGGGAGCCAGGCTCCCTCCTGGCCCAAGCCCAGGCAGCCTGGAGTCTGGGGTTGATTCAGACCAGGATCTCCGTAGCACCAGCAGCCCAGCTACCCAAAGGCCCCTGGGCCTCATCCATGGAGTGTGCTCTCCCCTCCACCTAGCTGGGTGTGGAGGAGAACCGGACGCTTCCGAAACAGGCTGTGTGGCCAAGTCTTCCTGCCCGGGAGCGCTCTTCCACCACTGAGCCTTCCCGAGTCTGCAGAGTGGTGCCTGCTGGCCTGCTAGGAGATCTTGCAGTTGCTCCGAGAACAGTTCTGGGGAGGGCTCTGGGGCGGGCGGATGGACTTGGACCTCTTGAGACTGTTGCCCTTGCTACTGCTGCCTCCAGCCCCACTGGCCAGGGAGTAGGAGCGACCATGCATCATGACGGCATTCATGCCGTTAGCCATGGAGAACGACTTGAGGTGGCTTTTGATGGTGACGGGTAGTGGAAGCTTGTCAATGAGGTGCACTGGGGTGCAGGAGACGATGGCACGGCAGCAGAGGTCCTGCAGGCTGAACACTGTGGCAGGGGGAATCAGATGGGGGCCAGGAGGCCCACTAAGGTATGTGCTGAGGAGCTGCCCTCTCCCAACCAGGACAGGGCCCTGCCTCAGTCTCCCAGCACAGACACCGTGCACAGAGTGGCTCCCTCCTGCCTTCCCTCTTAGAATAGAGTGCACTGCAAGGTGCTGCTGCGAGACCAGCAGACCTAGGAGCCATGGTGGGGCAGAAGCCGACTTGCTCTTGGAGCCACTCTGCAGCCCCTCCCGTAGCTCTGGTTAGAGTGCAACTCAGCCCAGCCTGGCGGCACCCAGCTCAGGTCTGCACAGTCTGCAGATGCTCCTGTGGCAGAGTAGGCCCAGGGTACAAGAAGGTTCTCTATGGCTCCTGTTAAGAAGGGAGGGGTTTGGGCTCCACTGTGACCACCCGTTTGCCCAGCAGCCAACTGCCAGGAAGCACGGGTCAAATGGCCCCATCTCCTATGGTTTCTGGTCGAGGTATGGAATAGGGCAGGCAGAACACTGCAAAGCTGCTGGCGTCCCATCTCCAGAGGGACCCCCACATGCAGAACTGCTCACTGCATGTAGCATAAGGGGACTGTGGCTCTGGAGGACCCTTCCCATTTTCCCCCCAGCACTCTCAGCTCCACCCCCACATCGCCACCCACCTCGATTGGGCCTCCAGATCTTCTCCATTCCATGCCGCATAAGAACAATGCGTGAGAGTTCGGTGAAGGATTCAATAACATTGAAGTTGCACAGGGGGCTGACCTCAAAGAACGTCATGCAGTTCTTCTCCGCATAGGCACGGGCCTGCTCGGTTGGGACTTGCCGCTTGAAGGCCAGATGCAGCCGGTTCCCAACAAGGATCCGGGGGACCCCAGGTGCGTGCTTGGGTTGGGGAGACACACAGTATTCAGAGGCAAATCTCAGGACACACCAACCCCTCAGTCTTGAGCAGACCCCCATCACCCACAAGCTATGGAGTGGTTATAGCAGGCAATATACCCAGGTACAGCCTAGTCCTGTGCCTTCCCCTGCAGGGGTGCAGACCCACACCTACCTCATCAATCTCTTTGATCCACCGGTCAATGCCATCAAAGGACCAGCGGTTTGTGATGTCATATACCAAAAGGATCCCCTGCAAGGGAGACATATAGAGGTCACCTACAGAGGTCACCTAAGCGTGGACCCAGTAACAGTGGCACAGCAGACTTCGTGGGTTACTAGCATGAACATCAGATGGGAAATGTACCTGCTGCCAAACAAGGGGGCGGGTGGGGAGGGGACCTGAAGGAAACCTTCTGTAAGAGGGGGTGGCTCAGATACTACTCCCTCCCACCCCTGAAATGTCTTCAATTTCTGATCTCCAGGCACAGCACAGGCATTACTCTGAAACCATTCAAACATCACAGAAGCTAAGCTGCAACACACCCAGGTATGGGCTATGTGGCCACAGAGCTGCAAGATGGGAGCTGAGTGTCCTTGCAGTCAGTCCAGCAGTGAACTCTGCCCCAGGAGTACCTGGGGGCTGAGCAGAGCTGAACAGAGGCATTTCTGAGTCTTCCAACCAGAAATCTGCAGAGCAGGGTGTTAGTTGCTACAGGAGCAGGTTTTCATGAGGGCTCCCCGCAACCAAGCTGAGCAGGATCTGCTATGGGGTCTTTCCCTGCTACATCCCTTAGAGACCAATTAGCAGGAGCTCAGCTCTGGGCTGTCTCACCTGTCCTGAGTATCTCTCAGCAGTGACACCCTCGTGGCTCTCCAGCAGGCACCCAGCCACCACAGTATTCAGCAGCACTCTGAACCCACCCAGAGAGCCACAAAGCTGCATATGACAGAGGACAGGCAAGGGCTGAGAGTGTAGGCAAGGGCAGTGTGCACCTCAGGGCCAGGGCTCAGAGCCTTCCCCTCCAACACACCCTCTCGTTTCTGCAAGACCAGTGTGGCCCCAGGTCTCCTGCCTCCTGTGGATAGCAGGCCTAGAACAGGGCCGCATCCACATCCAGGAGAAACCCCTCTAGCCCAGAGTGGAAACCCCCAGGCCAGGCACCCCTATGAAGAACTGACCAACCTGAGCCAGATGGGTGGGCAAAAAATGGTAAGACTTACAATAAATTAACACACATCTAGGTGTAAGCTCTGTTGCTCTGGCACAGGGACCTAGCCTATCGTTTGCTGCAAGGAGAGGGGTGGCTTGGGGGGTTCAGTGCCTCCTGAAGCATCATAGCAAGCCCTAGTGTGGCAATCTGAGTCGGAGCCCAAAGACTCCCCTGTCAGGGGGCAGCCCAGCACTGCTGAGAGCCAGGAACAACTATATGGTAGGCCAACACTCACTGGGAAAGCCGACGAGGTAAGGCATAACAGTCATGCAGAAAATGAAAATAGCAGAAGTGCACTTCACAGGTATGATCGGTGGTCAGATAGTGAAGCTCAGGGCGAGAGATGGCTGAGTGCTGTGCACAGGATGATGATTTTTCCCCCCGGTACAGGGAATTGAACCCAGGGGCACTTTACCACTGAGCTACATCCCAGCCCTTTTTACTTTGAGACAGAGTCTTGCCAAGTCCTTAGCACCTTGCTGAGTTGCCCAGGCTGGCCTGAACTCACAACCCTCCTACCTCAGCCTCCTGAGTCACTGGGATCACAGGTGCGGCCGCTGTGCCTGGCACCATATCTTACAGAATGAGGATAAATATAAACACAATACTGCACAGAGAAGTCTGGGTGGCAGGTGATTTCCACTTTCTTTCTTATGTTTTCCCCATTTCCTGCAATGACACTTGTGTCACATTTTAAAGGAGTGAGTAGAAGGCTCACTGAGGCTGGACAGGTTGGCTTTGGCTTCAACTGTGCCCTGAGGTGGTTGAGAGCCCTGGCCACCCCTCCTGGCTAGTGCCAGCAGTCCCAGTTCTCCTCTTATGTGCCCTAAGCAGGCAGGCCCTTTCTGGTACTGTCTAAATCCAATCAGTTGGGGTTATGAGCAGAAAAGGCAGGGTGGAAGGTCACAAAGACAAAGGCCAGCACTGGTCTCATTATAGGCAGAAAGACCCAGTAATCATGGATTTGTCTGGGAAAACTATTTGGGATGAACCAGAGGCAGGATAGCCAAGAAACCAAAATGTGGTTCCTTTTTTTTTGTTTTGTTTTGTTTTTTATTTTAATATTTATTTATTTTTTTTAGTTCTTGGCGGACACAACATCTTTGTTTGTATGTGGTGCTGAGGATCCAACACGGGCCGCACGCATGCCAGGCGAGCGCGCTACCGCTTGAGCCACATCCCCAGCCCTGTGGTTCCTTTTTATCAGAACCAATCCCAAAAGAATCCCAGCATCACTCCTGTGTTTCAAAGAGGCAGAACAAGGGGAAAATAGACTACTTACCACATTTTGCCTTTTTAGTGATGAAGTAATATATGCTCTGATTTTTAAAAGCTAAGTAGTACTCTAAGGCATAAGTAAAAAATGTAGGTGCTCCCTTCCTCCAGCCCCCTGAGTGTCTCCCAGAGGTCCCCATGCCTCCTGGCTTACTTCTCACACTCAGGATGTCCCCTTCTGAAGCTCAGACCCACCCTCTCTGACACGAGCCAGTTCCCAGCCTCAGATGCTGCCTTTGGTAACAACCTGCTGTAAGGCCCCTTGGAGCGCCCCTGTTTTTGCTCAGCTCAGCCTCTAGGATAAACTCCTGGAAGTGTGACTGCTAGGTCCAAGCAGGGATGCCCTTCTGTTATGACTGCTTTCTGATCTCCAACCCACATGCCAGAAATACACAGGCTGGAGGCACAGCTACTCTGAGTTTCTGACAGATACATGGACCTATGTTATGAACTGAGATGGAGAGGTGCCTCAGTTAAAAACAAAACTTAGGGGCTGAGGACATAGCTCAGTTAGTAAAGTGCTTGCCTTGCTTGCATACACAAGGTCCTGAGTTCAATCCCCAGCAGCCCCACCTCACACACACACCAAAAAAAAAAAATGTATCCAGGTATCATCCTGCAGTCGCACAGCTCGGGAGGCTGGGGCAGGAGGATCTCTTGAGCCCAGGAGTTAGAGGTCAGCCTGGGCAACAGAGCTAGATTTCATTAAAAAGGGGGGCGGGGGGGGGGGGGGGGAGGGAGTTGTGGCACGGGCGGGGAAGGGTGGGCCTGTATGTGTGAGGGAGGGGATTCAATTCCAAGCACCACATATAAATAAGCAAATAAAATAAAGATCCATCAACAACTTAAAATTAAAAAAAAAAAAACAACAGTATTTGACAGGCTGGGGGTGGGGTGAAGCTTGAGTAGAGCACTTGCCTGGCATGCGTAAAGCCCTGGGTTGGGTTCAATCCCTAGTACTACAAAACAAACAACAGCCAGAGTGAAACCCTCCTGCCTGTTTCCTCAGCACCAGGCTCTGCCCAAGAACAAGTGCCACACTGTGTTCCAACATGTGCCACCCACACCCACAAGTGGCTGCTGTCCTCAGCAGTCATCTTGTATGGCTTTCCATATGAAGCCCTCCTCTACCTTGAGGAACTCATCACTACCACACCAGGTGGTTCTAAGCCAGCTGATCCTGAGCCCTCAACAGAACAGGACAGTTCCTTCACTGGCACAGCCAGATTCCCCTGCCCCCAGGCCCAGGTTCTCACACCAGGGTGACCATCTTACTCCCTCCGTGGGTAGCACCAGCCTTTGGGGCCTTAAGAGGCCACCTCTGACCTCAGCCACAGACAGCATATGTGCTTGGCCCATAGGTGCCAAGAGAACAGCCTGTGGCTCCTTGGTGAAAAGTAAAGGGATTCTGCAGCAGCCACAAGACAGTGCTGTACATGACAGGTGACGAGCAAGACAGTGGCCAGAGGCCTCTGTTGGTGCCATCTTCAAGACCCAAGATCCACAGGCCTCTGTCGTCATGAGGGGGTCAGAGAATGACACTGCTTGATCTGGAAGGATGGTGCATGCCATCAGGGGCTGCACACAGAAGCATTGCTACACTTGCTCTAGAGACTCCATTACCTCCCTGCTGTTCCCCAAGCAGGACACACACAGGAGAGACAGGACAGTACCAGGGCAGGCTCAGGGGCTTCTCCTGGGACAAGGCCACTAGGAAGCACCTGGCACTCCCCACCTGAGCCCAAGATGTGCACTTGGGGTTTGTAATTACTCTTCTTAGCCAGGATATGGCAACTAAGAACTTCCAAAAGTAACAAAGCAAATCAAAACCCACCTATTGCCATAGATACTTTGGAAAGAACACAGAAATGATGACACCTGCTTTGCTTCCCAGAAAACAGTCTGGCAGAGGCAGAGCTTAATAGTGCTATGGTGGAAACACCACAGGTGAGCCCAGCCAGGCTTACTCTAAACTGCCTTTCCATGACTTCCCAATAACCCTCTATGCCCCACCAGGGTAACTGCTCTCTTTACTATATTGTCCTATTGTAAAAGTCTACATGTTTATTGCAGAAACTAGAAAGTGCTGAAAAGCAAATGGAAAATAATAAACTTTTTTTGTTGTTGTTGTTGTTACTGGGGACTGAACCCAGAGGTGCTCTACCACTGAGCCATATCCCCAGCCCTTATTTTTTGAGAGAGGGTCTACTAAGTTGCTTAATCCTCACTAAGTTGCTCAGGCTGGTCTTGAACTTGCAATCTTCCTGTCTCAGCCTCTTAAGTTGCTAGGATTACAGGCGTGTGCCACGGTACCAGGCTTTATCTTTTTTTGCAGTGCTAGGGATCAAACCCAGGGCCTTGAACATGGTAGGCAAGCACTTTACCACTGAGCTACATCCCCATCCCCCAAAACATTTTTTTAAATATTTTTTTTAGTTGTATATGGACACAATACCTTTATTTTGTTTTTATTTTTAATGTGGTACTGGGGATCAAACCCAGTGCCTCACGCATGCTGGCAAGTGCTCTACCACTGAGCCACAACCCTGGCTTCCCAATAAAATATGTTTAAAAATAGATGTAAAAGCTGGGCACAGTGGCACATGCCTATAATCCCAGTGGCTTGGGAGGTTGAGACAGGAGGATTGTAAGCTCAAGGCCGGCCTCAGCAAGTTAATAAGACTCTAAGCAACTTAGTGAGACCCTGTCTCAAAATAAACAAAAAGGGCTATAGGTATGTGGCTCAATGATAAAGTATCCTGGGTTAAAAAAAAAAAAAAATGTATAATCCTTTTTTTTTTTAATGTTGCCCAGGCTGGCCTCCAACTCTCCAACTCATGGACTCCAGCCTCAGCTTCCAGAGTAGCTGGGATTACAGGTACATGCCATCACATCCAGCTTAACAAGATGTATTTCAATAGCTCGGGGAGGGTGCTGTGGCCATTGTGCTATGTTCAGGGCACATTCCAAAGCACCAGGCAAAAGGCCACTGGCCACAGCTTGAGAATAGCAATGCACTGCAGGGACACTGAAAGCAGGTGCACTGAGGACATGGTCAACACTGCGGGGAGGCTTCCACGCTCAGAAAGAGCGTCAAGGAGGATGGCTGTGTGCAGTACTGGGGATTGAACCCAGGGGCATCCCACCACTGAGCTACATCCCAGCCCTTCTGATTTTGAGTCAAGACCTCTCTTGAGCTTGAGACCCCTCCTGCCTCAGCCTCTCAAGTGCCTGGGATCACTGGTGTGCATTACTGCGCACAAGTGCCATTTCTAGAAGACCTATGCTTACTATGTCTTGAGGTTTTCTTTTTTAAAAAAAAAAATACTGATGGGTAAAAAGTCAGTCCCAGAGAAGTTGATTAGAGCAGGCCACACTGGACATTTAATATACAGGCTATCAGGGAAAGCCTGATGTTCATATGTCAAAAAAAACCCTAAAAAGGAATAATGTGCTTTGGATATTGGACAGGACAGCTGCCTGACCAGAAAAGGTCACAAGAAACCAACTAAAAAGCAGCAAGAGAGTGTCACTGGTCTTACCTGTGCGCCCCTGGAGTAGGACCTGAAGATGGTGCAGAACCGGCCCTGGCCCGAAGTGTCCCTGAAACACATAGGGAGTCAGAGGGACCTGAGTGAGGGGTCATGTCCTCCGCTCTGGCTCAGCAGCTCATCTGGACATCCTGGAGAGACCAGGCGAGGGAGCCAGAGAAGCGCAGAGAGGGTATGCCAGGAAGATGCCAACTACACAGATCATGCCAGCCCGGTGAGTAACACCACAGAGGCAGACCAAGAGGGCAGCCCTTGTCTACCTGCTCAATGAGTCCCACTTGGGCCTGGAAGTCCAGGACACTATCTGGAGAACCCCAGAGACCAATGAAATTGTTGTCGCAGACTTTGAAGTTCTGGGAAATGTTTTTGTTGTTGTTGTTGTTGGGCCTTTATTTTATTTATTTATATTGGTGTTGAGAATCGAACCCAGTACCTCACACATGCTAGGCAAGCACTCTGCCACTGAGCCACAACCCAGCCCATGAAATGTGTTCTTTAATGTGTAGCCCAGGAAAATGCCAGGAGAGGCAGCATCACCCACTGTGGAAATATGTCTTTTGGGGCAAAGAGGGCATGGGCCCTGTCAGGAAAAGATGCCTTAAACCTCCTGTTTTCCTATCTCGGAACAGAGTCCATTCCCTGCTTGAGCAGGGCCTGTTTAAATGGCAACTACAAGCAGGATATAAAGAGGGTGCCTTCCTATTTTACCCCATGGCTCCCCGTCTCCACCCAACACCCCAACTTACCAGAGCTCCAGCTTGACACGCCTCCCGTCCAGCAGGATGGTGGTTGTCTTGTAGTCAATCCCTGTGAAGAAGCACAGGGGTATGGCAACCCTCAGCAACCAGCCTCTCTAGAGCTCAGACTCCTCAACTGAGCCTGTGCTGCAAAGTGGAAAAAAATGTCTCCCTGCAACCTGCTGGGGAATAGGGCAGGAGTACTCCCTGTGGCCCCAGCCCAGCCCACCTGCACACAGCAACCACAGGACAAGGCAAGTGCTGAGGTCAGGACAAGGCAATGACTGCAGGCTGGTCACACCAGCCTTTCCAGGGGCTCTGAGTCTGGCAGGCTGGAAGGACATGGCTCACCTCCACTTTCACCTACTAAATGTGGATTCTGAGGCTAAACTCTCAAAGGCCTGCTGTGGCCCCAGGAACTCACAACTGAAGCATTATCAAGGATGAGGCAACTTAAAGATGTTGTTTCCTTCCCATCCCCTCCTTCCCTTCCTCTTGTGTGTGCAGTACTGGGGATTGAACCCAGGGGCATCCCACCACTGAGCTACATCCCAACCCTTCTGATTTTGAGTCAAGACCTCTCTTGAGCTTGAGACCCCTCCTGCCTCAGCCTCCCAAGTGCCTGGGGTCACTGGTGTGCATTACTGCGCACCAGTGCCATTTCTTTGGAGAGCTGTCCAGAAGACCTATGCTTACTATGTCTTGAGGTTTTCTTTTCTTTTTTTTTAAAAAAAACACTGATGTGTAAAAAGTCAGTCCCAGAGAAGTTGATTAGAGCAGGCCACACTGGACATTTAATATACAGGCAACAAGAACCCTGTCCGCAGCTCCTGCCCATAGTGCTCAGTCCTCATTCATACAAGCCTTAAACATATCAGGTTCTCCTTTTTTTGTTTTTGTACCAGGAATTGAACCCAGGGATGCTTTATCACTGAGCCACATCCCCAGCCCTTTTTTTTTTGTTTTGTTTTTTTAATATCTTTATTTTTATGTGGTGCTGAGGATTGAACCCAGTGCCTCATGCGTGCGAGGCGACCACTCTCACTCTGAGCCACAATCCCAGCCCCCAGCCTTTTTTATTTTGAGACAGGATCTCATTAACTTGCTCATCTCAAACTTGTGATCTTCCTGCCTCAGCCTTCTAAGTCACTGGGATTATAGACTGTATCATGGTGTCTGGCAGGTTCTCAGCTTTTATAACCCTTGCTCCAAGGGGGCTGGAAATGGGCATTTTTTTTATTTTTATTTTTTTTAGTTGTAGATGGACACAATATCTTTGTTTTATTTATTTATTTTTGTATGTGGTGCTGAGGATTGAACCCAGCATCTCAAGCACGCGAGGTGAGTGCTCAACTACTGAGCTACAACCCTAGCCCGGAAAGGGGCATTTTAAACATACATGTCACTCTCAAACGATGGTGTCTGTATATCTGTAGGTGTGTCTGTCTTTATATCTGTGTCTGTGTCTCTGCATATCTCTATATCTCTGTGTTTCTCTATTTTTGTGGGTCCATGTGCCTCTGCATGTATCTCTATACCTCTGCATATCTATTTTTTTGTGCATGTGTCTGTGCATGACTGTGTGTGTGTGTGTGTGTGTGTCTGTGTGTGTATGGCTCTATCCAGGCAGGCAGACCACTTGGCACCCCTTCAGCCATCAGGAGCTCCTTTCAGGCATTTGTTGGCCTAGCAAATTAGTGACTGTATATCAAAACCTTGTTGTTTTGATATACAGCCAATACCATGCTGGTTTTGGTGCTATTGCTCTGTAGTATAGTTAAGATCTGGTATTGTAATGCCTCTTGCTTCACTCTTCTTGCTGAGGATTGCTTTGGCTATTCTGGGTCTCTTATTTTTTCAAATGAATTTTATGACTGCTTTTTCTAGTTCTATAAAGAAGGTCATTGGGATTATAATAGGAAGTGCATTAAACCTATATAATGCTTTTGGTAGTACAGCCATTTTGACTACATTAATTCTGACTATCCAGGAGCATGGGAGGTCTTTCCATCTCCCAAGGTATTCTTCCATTTTTTTTTTTTCTTTAGTGCCTTCCTATTTTACCCCATGGTAAATAGAGCTCCTTCACCTCTTTTGATTAACTCCCAAGTATTTATTTATTTATTTTTTTGAGGCTACTTGAATGGGGCAGTTTTCCTAATTTCTTTCAGTAGATTTATCACTGATGTATAGGAACATGTTTGATTTATGGGTGTTGATTTTATATTCTGCTACTTTGCTGAATTCATTTATTAGTTCCAGAAGTTTTCTGATGAATTTTTTTTTTGATCTTCTAAATATAGAATCATATCATTGGCAAATAGTTTGAGTTCTTCTCTTCCTATTCATACCCCTTTAATTTCTTTCTCCTATATAATTACTCTGGCTAGAGTTTCAAGGACAATGTAGAATAGAAGTGGTAAAAGAGGGCATCCTTGTCTTGTTCCACTTTTTAGAGGGAATGCTTCTTCTCAGCAAATGAAAGAATCAATAATGTGAAAAGACAGCCCACAGAGTGGGAGAAAATCTTTACCACATGCACCTCAGATAGAGCATTAACCCCCAGGATATACAAAGAACTCAAAAACCTTAACACCAAAAATAAATAAATAAACACACACACACACACACACACACACACACACATCCCAACCAATAAATGGGCTAAGGAACTGAACAGACACTTCACTGAAGAAGAAATACAATTGATCAACAAATATATGAAAAAAATGTTCAACATCTCTAGCAATTGGAGAAATGCAAATCAAAACTACTTTAAGATTTCATCTCTGGGGTGAGGGGGTGGCTCAGTGGTAGAGCACTTGCCTAGCACGTGCAAGGCCCTGGGCTCAATCCTCAGCACCACATATAAATAAATAAAATAAAAGATCTATTAACAACTAAAAAAATATTAAAAAGAAAAAGATTTCATCTCTCTCTAGTCAGAATGGCAATTATCAAGAATACAAGCAATAATAAATGTTGGTGAGGATGTGGGGGAAAAGGTACACTCATACATTGCTGGTGGGACTACAAATTAGTGCAATCATTATGGAAATCAGTATGAAGATTCCTCAGGAAATCTGGAATGGAACCACCATTTGACCCAGCTATCCCACTTCTCAGTTTATACCCAAAGGACTTAAAATCAGCACACTACAGTGATGCAGCCACATCAATGTTTACAGCAGCTCAACTCACAATAGCTAAGCTATGGAACCAACCTAGGTGTCCTTTAACAGATGAATGAATAAAGGAAGCATGTTATATATACACAATGGAATATTACTTAGCCTTAAAGAAGAATAAAATTATGGCATTTGCCGGTAAATGGATAGAGCTGGAGAATATCATGCTATGCAAAATAAGCCAATTCCCTAAAACCAAAAGCCGAATGTTTTCTCTGATATGTGGGTGCTAATTCACAATGGGGGAGGAGGCTATGGAAGAATAGTTACTTTAGGTACAGGGGAGCGAAGGGAGGGGAGAGGGCCCGGGGATAGGAAAAACAGTAGAACGAATGAGACATTATTACCCTATGTCATATACAACTACATAACCGGCGATTCTATATCGTGTACTACCAGAAGAATGAGAAATTATATATCATTTATGTATGATGTGTCAAAGTGCATTCTACTGTCATGTATAATTATTAATCAGAACAAATTCTTTAAAAAGTATAAGGCCAAGCATGTTGGCTCATGCCTATAATCCCAGCAGCTTGGGAGGCTGAGATAGGAAGATCACAAATTCAAAGCCAACCTCAGCAACAGCAAAGCACTAAGCAACTCAGTGAGACGCTGTCTCTAACTAAAATAAAAAATAGGGATTGGGATGTGGCTCAGTGATTGAGTGCCTCTAAGTTCAATCCCCAGTACTAAAAAGGAAAAAATAAAAAGTATCAGCAGAGAGAAAAATGTAGCCCACAAAATGGAAGAAAATATTTGTAAATCATGTATTTTGTTATGAACTGAGAGTTCTATAAGTCAACTTGATTAAAAATGGGCAAAGGCCTTGAATAGATACTTCCCCAAAGATGATACACCAATAGCCACTGAGCACAAGAAACCATGCTGAGACAGTGGAATGAATCATATATGAATACATAACCAGTGTAATGCCACATGATGTACAATCACAAGAATGGGAAGCTATGCCCCATGTGTACATAACATGTCAAAATATATTCTACTGGGCTAGGGATGTGGCTCAAGTGGTAGTGCGCTCGCCTAGCATGCGCGAGGCAGTGGGTTTGATTCTGAGCACCACATAAACATAAAATAAAGATATGTGTCCACCTAAAACTAAAAAACAAATTTAAAAAACTACCCCAAAATTAATATATAGTCTACTACTATGCATAACTAAAAAAAAATGTGGAATACCGCCAGGAAAAGTGAGTCAGAACCAAGCTGCTCCTTCATGATGATGCATGTCTGTAATCCTAGCAGCTTGGGAGGCTGAGGCAGGAGGATTTTGAGTTCAAGGCCAGCTCAGTAACTTAGCACGGCCCTTTCTCAAAAAAATAAAAAAAGCTGGGATGTGGCTCAGTGGTTAAATAGCCCTGGGTTCAATCCCCAGTACCAAACAGAAAAATAAAAATAAAAGAAAGAAACGAAGGGCCAGTGTGGCAAGGGTGTGGAAAAGAGAGCCTTCCATGCACCAGGGACTGTAGTACAACTGCTAACAGAACAAGTATCCACATGCCACTGAGCTGTGTGCTCCAACACGGTTGAGACATCAGATCTCTCAGAATGAGGAAAAGTGAGGGCATCTCATGCACACCCTCAGGGAAAGACCTGCCCAGGCCCAGCCAAAGCCGTCTTCCACCCCCTTCTCCTCAACTTTCCCTCTGATTTTCTGGAGGAAGCTTCTAGAATTCTGTCCTATATGAAACTCAGTGCTGACAGCGGAGGTGCCACAAGAGACCCATGAGGGACAGTGCTGCAAACAGTGATTTTTGAAGTGCCTGCTTGAGACCAGAATTACCATCTGTCCCCCCCCCAAGGAAAGGTGCTGCCCTGCTGCCAAGCTACCACTAGAGGGCACTGTGGCCCTGTGCCTGGC